AACTCCTCCTAGGGCACTCCCTTAGAGTGCTCTTTGAATTGCCTGTCTGAATTAAATGCTAGCTTTTAAATATGTCTTACTTTTGTGACAGTGGTGGTAGTTGTATTCGTGGTAAATGTAGTTGTAGTAGCATTCGTGGTAGTAGCATTCGTGGTAGTAGCATTCGTGGTAGTAGCATTCGTGGTAGTAGCATTCGTGGTAGTAGCATTCGTGGTAATAGTTTACGGTAGTAGTTATACGGTGGTATGGTGTAGGAAGAGAGGTTACTTGGTGCAACTATTGTGTTTATATTATCTATACACATATATCTATCTCTTTGTGTAATAGCTCTAGTAATAGATTTTGCGTCAAGTACAATCTATACACAACTGCTACATTTTTTAATTTAATATCAGATGTTATTTTCTACCAAAAAAAGAAAAAGAACCTGTCACACAAAATTTTTATTCCTGTTACTACTGCTAATACTACTTCCTTGCTTTCTCAAAAAAAAAAAAAACAATCACATTGCTGGCAAGTTCCTTTTACTTGTCCATCGTCGTCAAAACTACATGTGCTTTAAATCATATCATTATTCTCAATATGTATAATCGTCTGTGGTGGTCCTTGTCTTAGTTAGTCTTTTAACGTAAAAGCTAATTCTCTTACACAGCTTTTCTTTCATAAGATTACCTAAACTATCTTGCTAATAAAACATATTTTGTCACAAAAGACTCGATCTCTTTCTGATAGATACTTTTATAAATATTTTAACTGTAACTAATAATCCAAACCACCCATCTTTAAATACTTGGCAAAGCAAATAAATATACATAAAATGATTCTATACTATTTTTTCTCTGTTATTTCTAAATACGACAGTTATTAATATTTCTATTGGTATAACTTGTGCCGCAAATTGTATTCATAATGTTATTAATTAGCTGCATTTCTAGAAATCTGCTTTCTAGTAATTAACAATCCTAATCAAGTCATAGTCTTATTATTAGTCTAGTTGATAATCTATCCTTTCTTATATATTCTGACTTTTCTAAATCATTTTGTTGTTGTGAATAAGCATATTAATTTATTTTATCTTTTACTATTCACTGGCTTTCACTTTGCTCATTAGAGTTCATGTAAATAGTTGGAACAATGCACTAAATCCTTTATAATAAAAAAGTTCCATAAAACTAGATCCAAGATTAAGAACGCAAGGAATTTCAAATTGTACCAAGAAATATAAAACACTGACTTTATGAACATTCTAAAAAAAATGGTAATCTTAAAAAAAAAACAAATGTCCTTTTACAATCAGGAATAATGATCCCAAACATTCTTCCAATTCTACAAAAGCTTGTACAAGAAAAAAAAAAAAAAGACATACCCTGTATCTCACATGCACAAACTACCTACTAAAATATAAACAGTCTATTATATTAGTTAGGTAATAACGGGTTTAACGTTGGTCGTTTAGGAAAAGAGACCAGAAAAAAAAAAGGTCGCGTTATTTATCATACAATTTTTATTATTAAACTTTCAACACCCTTCATCAAATATATTGTACCAATAGTTTGCTCATTAATTTAAAATGCACCTCAAACAAGTTAAATATAACATAAGTTTGAACTTTTTATATTAAATGCGGCATTTTTTTTAGTATGGGAGGTAACGAGAGTATATGAATATCTCCTCTGATAGTTTTCTGTTAAAATTAAAATAGATGTATACATGTGTTAGGCATTTGAATATAATTCATGTCTGCTCTATCTGTACATGCTTAGGTACTAGAACTGAAGCCTGGCATATAAATATTTTATTTTGCGTGCATGTAATTCTCAAATATACATTATGATTATTATACCAGAAGCATAGTAGATGCTTGTAGGCCTGATTACTGTTATTGTATATAGGCTAAATAGTTTTTTGACAGTTTATTTTTATTAAAAAGATTGGTTTAGAAGATATCATATATCTTTCCATAATAATACTATTTATAATGTCTATTGTATTCATCATATATACACATTAAAATAATAATAATAAAAAAAAACTTTATATTGAATAGGATTTAAATAGAATGATATTAAAAATATTATACTTGTATTTATAGATATAACTACATAAATTAAATAAGATGTTTTATCTTATGAGCTTATATTTTATAAGCATTCATACTTTAATAACAATAAAGGAAAAAAAAACGTGTATTCAAGTCATTAGTTAATCATTAAGCATATTTAATGAATAATTCACCATAGATTTATGACTTGCTTCTATTAACTGTTTATAAACACTAATAACAAATTTTTATAAAAGAGCAGTTATACTCTATTCTTTGACATTATTTAAAATTCAAAATGATACATCTCACTCAAACTTTAATGAAACATTGACGTTTGATTACAAATCTATATCAAATTAAAATTTAACCTAAAAGTAGTACTAGTTTTATTATTTTGTATGATTTAGAATAATAAAAATGCTTTATTTCTTATTTAATTGCTCAAATATGTAAAAAATAGAATAAAAAATAATAGTAAATATTATTACATTTTCATTGAATTACTCTTTCGAAATGGAGCTATTCTTGCCTATTTGTAAACAGAGGATTCATTTTTTTTTTTGAGCTGTTTGTATATTAGGCAAAAGAATATCAAATATATTGTTTATATACAAAATGGAAGGATTATTAATTCCCTCCACTCATCTATCTTATGTCTTCTTTATTATAAGCATAGAAATATTATAAATAATCATATACAAAATAGAAATTAAAAGTAATGCGCATGAGACAATGGCTAAATAGAAAGGACTAAGCCATGGTCTTGCTTTCAATGCTATAAATCGACATTGGTTATTAATGGTATCTTGTCTATTTGGAATATTGTTTTTCTCGTTCGTTGGAATTGATATAGATATTTGCTCCCTTAATATTGAGGGCGAACTACTATATGAATGCATCCTTCTGGTATGATTATGTATTGTTGAGGGAATAACTACTTGTTCTGGAAGAGATGATGAAATATTATACAATGATGAACGATCACTAGGTGGACATAAAGTCTCTGTTTCAAAAGAGTCTCTGCTTAAAGTGTCATGAATGGAAAACGAATGATGAGACACTAATTCTGGTGAACTTTCACTTGAAGGATAACATAATGTATTATTTTTAACATTGTAAGTTGAGTTTACGCTATCAATTGAATGTGCATAATTAATAGGGCTTGTCACTCTGTCTATATCATTATCTGTCGAATTTGTCATTGTAGAACGTGAAAGAGAACTTTTTGGAGATACAGGGGCTGATTTATTATGAAGGGTTAAATCTGAAAGTGCTATTTCTTCTGAACAAACCAAAGAATATTTTATATTTTCATTCTTGAAAGAATCTGCGTATTTTCTAGAGACAAAATACAAGACAAACGGTAAAACAAAATTGATAGTCTTTTAAAATATTAGTTATATGTATTTTTTGATTTTTTTTAATAAAAATACGTACTGATTGAAAGAAGAGACTTGTCCAATTTTGAAGAGATCCAATCCAATCCTTTGTTTGAATAATCCTAAAATAAAAGCTATGTAATGCCTTTTTTTTTCTTTTAAATATGTATACCACTTGAAGAAATTTAAAGATTTATATGATAATTAAACATTTCGCAAATATGATAAAGGTGAAAACACCAATAGTAAGAATGAATAATACTACTGCTTGCTATCTTAATTAGCTCCAGCTAAAGTATATAAATCTATTTACGTTGCAAATACTTCTTATAAGAGTGGCTCAAGTTTAAGCTATAGGAGCCTTTATTTTTTTTTTATTTTTTTTTTTTACGAACTAGGACAACACAACGTATTATAACTCTATATGCTATTAGTTATTATTATTATCTTCCTTTTTATAAAAATTTATTATTTAATCATATATCAATAAACTTCCTATGGGATCGTTTTGATGTATAGCATAGTAACGTTGGATAACTTGATTCAAATCATCCCATAAATTATCAGTTGTTTGCTGATATTTTTCTTGAATTTCAAATAATAATTCTTCCAACTCATTTCGTTTAATATCTACAGAAAGTGTTAGACATATGCACATTATATTATTTTCTAACATATATTTACCTATAGGTTTTTCTATAAAACAACGTGAAATCCTTTGTAGAAGTGTAGCTTCCGTCTTAAATAAAGCTGGTGGATAAATGGATTGAATTGAAAACTCAATCATATTAGTTTTTAGTCTAGATAATTGAAGAATAATAGGACATCCTGGATAGGCTGCTAAACTGAATATAGCTTCCTCCGCTCCATTCTGTAATAAATGTTGGAGATCCTCTCTATAAAACACTAATTAAAATCTATTTAATCAATGCATATATGTAAATAAATAATAAGCTTACAATGTTCTTCCTTCGTTAAAAATAGAAGCCATAATAGATCTATACTTTTCATCACTTAAATCCTCTTCAATTAAATATCGTACATATATTTTCGTATCTTTAAAATTAAATAATGATGTATCTTGCTTGTTAAACCCTAATGCAAAAACTGTATACAATTTACTTCTTCTATCGTGCATTGATTGCTTATTAAGAGATTGCAGTAATCTATTGGAAATTTCTTCTAATCCTCTTTTCTTGATACTTAAATTAATATCTTGGGTAACTGGTATTGCAAAATGAAAATCATCTAATATCATTCTGGAGACTGGAAAATGAAACGCTGGAGACATGACTAATTCAGTACTAATCTCTAACGGTAATATTAATGATGATAAATCGATCTGAATATCGCGCTCCCATATAAGATATCGTTCAATACCCATTTCATAATGTGGTTCAAATCCTACTAATGATATGAGATGCTGTTGCCCAATGCCATTATGCATTAAATAAACATAAAGATCCCAATGTTCCAACTCCAAAAAATTAGATGTTTTAATACAAACACGTAAATGACATGTCGTATTAAACTGACAAGATTCATATGCGTTCGTTTTCATAACCGGACGTACTGTCAATTCAAATCCTGTCGTTTCTAATGAGTTACCAATACCCAATTCTCTTTGATTATTGATACTACGTAAAGCATAGAGTGTTCTATTGATCGAAATAAGCTGCTTATTGAGTGATTCATCTTTTTGAGTGACGGATTGAATAACAGATTCACTTATAGCAAGTTCATCTAGAGCGTCTTCAATAGCAAGTTGTATCGCTTCTGGGTTGTTTACGATAGATACTGATGAATTGTACTTGTACTGGACCATAGTGATAGTTGAAGATGTTACTAGCAGTGCTTCAAATAACGCTTTGTTAGTATAGCAAAAAATTTGATGCGCACCAGAGGTGCCTTGTAGTTGAGTTGATTTCAAATTTATATCTTTATCAAATTCAAGTAAGACTAATTTACTAAATGGCAAGCATAACATATAAACAAAGTCCTAGATATTAGAGATTTTAGTATAAAAATAGACACAAAATAAATGTATTTCTTACTTTTATCTTTTCAATCTGATAAACTGAAGTGGTTAATAAGTCAAATTGCTTTAACTCGACTAAATTATCAGAGGATGCTTTCGTATAGACCATAATAGTTCCTTGATCACTAGTATATAACTGTCAGCCTATTTTTTTCATTCTCTACCTCTGCTTCTCTCTCTCTCTCTCTCTCTCTCTCTCTCTCTCTCTCTCTCTCTCTCTCTCTCTCTCTCTCTTCCTCTCTCTTCCTCTCTTTTATTTTACCCAAAGACAAATAAAGTGTTCAGCTTATCGGATAGCTCTGGTTTACAAATAAAATCAATTTTTTTGATTTGTTCATCAGGCAATATCAGCATTTTTATCTCTTCATTATCTTTTCTCCAAATGACTGAGCCATCCTTTTTTCCTAGAATTGTTCCATTATCACTATTTAAATGAAAAAATTCCATAAAACTGGAATCTACTTTTTCAATAGGACAAATAATATCATTAACAGTTGATGATGGATTAATAGATTCATTTTCAAGCAATAATGTATTATTTTCTGTTATTTGCATTCGTTGTGAAACAAACTCATTGCTACTTGTAATCATGTCACTTGATGACTTAATACGCTTTATCTTAGGCTGCTCATCATCCTGACTACATACTAAATCAGAAATGCTAAATAAAATATTATCTGCGTATTACCTAATCTTTAATTGCCATTGATATATTTTATTATTTGAGGATTTTAAATAATATTGACAATGTTCAAGATCATTTTGTTGACAAGCGTTAATCACTTCAACAATGTTTTCTGGAAGTTTATTATTATACAACTTTGTTAATTAAAACATAAGCTTAAAACTATGTACAATGATAAATCGATTTTTTTTGTTTTTTGTGTTTTTTTTTTTACCTCAAAGGTAAATGAATACACCTGTCCAGATTCTGTTAGTGCAAAGCTAATGTTATGGTATGGGCAACCAAAAAGATGACAACCATCAATGTCATTTGAAGTTATTTGCTGTGAATGGATAACTTCTGTTTCAATCCATTCCATGATTAGATAAAAAAAAAAAAAAAAGAAAAGAAAAGGAAATATTTTGTGACCTAAATATGTATTTAATGGTAAAATTTGCTTTATACACCACAAAACTATAAAAAATACCAGCGTTTTCCCAACTTTTACAAATTTATTCGTATAACATAAAAGTAAATTATTATTCTTTGAGAATTCTATATGCATTAATACCATAAAATATACCAAAGATAATAAAAAGAATTGAACCAGCAAAAGTAACTAAAATAGAACATTATTAATTATAATTTTTTACTAATAGTAATAGCAGCGATATGTACCTGTTTTAACAGATATCTTGGATGCTAACATACGACCACCAATAACAGCTAATGCAGTACAGAAACCATGACCAAGAACAACACCCATTGTAACATAATAAACGTTCTATCAGAATAGTTATTAATAACACACATTGTATATACACATTTCATTATTTATTGATTGCTTACATTAGCAGCAGCTAAAGCGATTGTTGAGATCTGTGAACGATCACCCCATTCCCCCAAAAAAGTTAAAACAAACGTCTGCACAAAGATGGGTGAAAAGACTAATTGCATTAAATTCACTAATCCTTCTTTAGCTTTCTCTTGTGTAGAATTATGTTTTAATGCCTTATTATCTCCCTCTTCCTCCTCTTGATCATCATCTAATAAACGACTACCACCTACTTCCATTGATTCCAATTGGTGAGCTCTTTCACGATCCTCTACAGTCTTTAACTCTTCCTCAACTTCTGCAATTTCTTCTTGTCCAGCCTCTTTATCCATTACGTAAGCCTCATACATCATTCGTAAGCCAAAAATCAAGAATAAGATAGCAGCTGCCATATCGGTATATTTCTTGGGAATTAAATTGGGCACAACATGACCCATAAAGGCAGATAGAATTGACATGATGGCTAATGATGAAAAAGCCCCCATAAATACAACCAACCTAGAATGTTTCATTGCCATAATAGCTGCTATTAAAAAGGTCTTATCACCAATTTCAGAAACGATAATCATGAGTAGGGAAATAATAAAAGATTTTTCGACACCAACATCTATAACTGATGAAGCCTGCTTTGTATTAAATAATTCAGATGATGTATCTAGATTTGTGGCATCTAAGATCTATAAAAAGATAGATGAATGACTTGTATTATAAATGCTTTTATGTATTATAATTATTTTACTTCTTCAACAGGATCATTTAAATCAGCTTTAGATAGTGCTATTAATATAGTTAAAAGAAGTAAAGACTTTTTCAATGATTTCATGATATATACATGTAATTAAGGAGGGGTAATAATTAAAAAATGTAAGAAAAATAAAATAAAATAAAATAAAGAAAAATAACAATAATAAAACCCATCAAATTTTTGGGTCTAATCCAATTTTCAGTTTCATTCAGTTTTTTGGGTCGACTGTCAATAATAAATTAAACTCCGATACACCGCGAATTTTCTTAGAAATAAGATAAATAAATACGTTTTTTTTTTTTTTTTCTTGAATAATGATAATATTTTATAATAATAAAAATATGAATACATAAGCTTGAATTTATTCTTTACTATCTTTTTTTTTCTTTTAGTTGAGTAAGAATCATTTAGTATTATATATACTCCGCACAATTTATCTAAGACTATGATCTGCAATGAGATCTTCTTACGATTAAATTCTGAGTTTTATTATTATTATTATTATTTTTTAAATTTTTTGGCAATGAGCATGTAGCGACGAAATAAATGCGCAATATTGCCCGAGCCAGTTATAGAGGGGAAATAAGAATAAAAACCTTCCTAAAGGACAAGAAGGGAAAAAAAGAAAACGAGAAGGAAAAAGAAAAGAGCAGTATTTTGGAATTAAGAGAAAATATAAGGAGGAAAAAGCGAAAAAGTGAGAAGAAACAATTTAAAAACAAATAAGACCAAAGTGACCAGGAAGACGCACACTATTACTTGGATAACCAATTCAACAGCTTGAGACCAGGATCGACAGGATCAGGAGGAAATTCATCATGGAAGTAGTAATCAAGTTCATGTAGAATCGTACAAATAATAGGCCATAAAGTATACCAGCTCGTACAATCAGAAGGACGAAGAGGTTTATGTAGTGGAAGCAAGTTGAGGAGAAACGAGATGGGATCTTCGACTGAAGCAGGCATGTGAAGACGATGATGTACATGTAAGCACTCAATAGCATGTTGCCGGCTCCAATTATGAGACGGACGAATGATACATTCTTTAGGTTTACCACCCGGTAGCCAGCCAAGTCTCCATCGAAACACTCGGCTACGTTCTGAGGTAGTCATTGGTAAGTAAAGGATGGGATCCAATTCAAGAGTGGAGCGTGAGGAAGACAATAGGAGGGAATTAGTATCTTGACGAAGGTTTTGGAATTGATCGTCTAGAAACTTAGCACGAAGAGTGTAGAATTGTTTTCGGTCGAGCGTTGAGATGTTTGGTGAGCATAGGTGTTTCCACAATGTAGTTTGAGCCAATTTATACCAGTGGGAATGACTATTTGAGAGCTAAACATGAGGCAAAAGATGGGCAAGAAGAGTATCTGCTGGTAATTGGGAAGTTCGAAAGAGGTGTTGCGCTTGGAGGACTGCAATACGGGTCTTCATAGATGGTAGGTCGACAACATGAAGCATGACTTTCGCCGAGGACCGCGAGTGACCACCAAAGATACGTCGAATGCATGAATTTTGAAAGGTATCCAGTTCTTTGCTAAGTTTAGCAGAGAGAGGACTGATTGCAAAACCATAATCTAATTGAGGACGAACCATTTGACTATAAAAACGACATGCAAGCAGAGGTGAGATCTTCTTATTACAGTCGACGAAACTAGGTTGAGCCAATAAAAAAAAATTTGGTCATTTCCAAATTAAATTAGGACAAGGTTACAAAATTGGGACACCAATAGGAAAATGGGTCACAGATGTGAAAATAGGACACGCATACGAAAATGAGACGCCAATACAGATATAATTAAAGATTTATTAAAATAGAATAAAAAAGCCAATGGGCACGTAGGGGTTATGTTGCCACTGTTTTGCCCTAGCCAAGTCGAAAAGATTAAGAAAAACCCTCTTCAGAGGCTAGAGGGAAAAGGATAAAAAAAAACGTAGACAAGTTAAAGAAGACTAATATTATGCTGGTCCATAATATACCCAGAAGTATACTTATAGGGGCGGAGCACGGTCAAATGACTTCAAAGTGTCAAGGTCAAAGTATCCCAACTTCATAAAGAAGTCTGGCTACAGAATTGTAGATAGGAGTCTTGAAAGTCTGTATACTGCAGCAAAAACACTAAGAAATTTTGAAATCTGACTGCAACCAGTCTATCTTCAGTAGACAGATTATTGAGCTTAGGGTGGCGGCAGTTGGCGGGGTCAGTGATATTGAAGTTGTCAAGCGCAGAAATTCAGAATTTCTGCAGTTATATGCGTAACTCGGACTCATATTCGTCGTGAATGAGGAAGCTAACCACCTTGTCCTGAGGATAATGTGTGATATTTGACTCAATTTAATAATGAAAAAGAAAGTAAAAAATCCATCAAATAATGAGAAAGAACTTTTGGTTCAGTTTTATTTTGTGAATAAAAGAGAAAGAGGCTTCTACTACTACGAAGTATTGTCCTATTTATATGTTTTAAGCTCGTTATCCCGAATTGAAACATGGACAATGCTATTGCTTCTTTGGAATTCCGTGCATCGGCTTAATTAGCAGTTGCTATATCCCAGAGGGTCATCATATATACACGATGTCCAATACTAGACTCGCAATCCGAGAAACATCCTTATTAACGGATATTTCTATCCTTTGTCAACTGATATTTGTCGTAATGGTTTAAAATCCGGGTATCAAGGCTGTAGAGCAATGGTAGTACTAATTGATGAGTTTTAATGTTAGAACAGTATTGGTTTTCCCGATAAAGGTAGGTAAGCCCTTTATGTCTTAAAACTACTTTTATCTCAAATAGTAATTTAGTCTAGTTGCATAAGTTGAACTTCGAAATTATCTACTTGTGAATTCTACAAATGTCTGTGCACAAGCCAATACTATTATTTAGTATTAAAGTAATAAATAAAAAATAACATTGTTTTTGTAGAGGTTAATCTGTTCTTAACTCAATGTAAGTTAGTTAGGCTTACATTGAGATCAACAACCTAAAACTTAATGCTTTTTATTATTTCTTTTTTTATTATTTTAATTCATGCACCTATTATGTGCTTTATCATGAATTAAAATATATTTGTCTAACTCAATCAACGTACTTTTCTGGTTTCAATTCTTTTATTATTTTGACAGCCATGCTCGTTAAAATATAATTAAAATTTTTATTTATTTAATCATTTCATCTCAATATAGCCCATCAATCATCTCAAATACGTCATAATGAATACCTAAAATGCGGCGAGTGTTGATGTTGAGCTTACAGAGGTTGGCACGCATTTGCTGGAGAGGGAGTCGATGTCCACCATGACAATAAATAGTGATAGACAATGATGGATTTATCAACAGTGCTAATGCCTAGTGATAATGCTTATCACCAGTGATGGATTTATGGATTGATTTTTTTTTTTCGAGAGCTCACAGCTAAAAAAAAACCTTTCCCAATTAAGGCTATTATTAATTTTTATTGCAATAGTTTGGCCGAACTACAAGAGTTACCCAGACAGAAGGGGCGCATGTTTTTAAACAGTATATACACAGATGGATATACTTGTAGAATTTCTTTTCCAAGGAGAGTCCCAGAAGTCCTTGATGAAGACAAAGTAATTCTTGAAATGGCTGATTTCAACACAGACGAAGTTGAAGAATTTTTCCGTCCTTGTTTTCTGGATCCTGGCCGTAAGAATGCATATATAGCGTATTATGGAGATGAACAGGTCAGGTCTCTGACAGTGAATGAATACTATCACTTTTCTGGGTCTATAAATCAAGCAAGAGAACAAAACGCCTTAAAAATCGGACAAGGCATAAAAGATCTGGAGACTGGAATCCCGACGACTAAAACTTCTTCTGTTGATTCTTATATCAACCATATAGTATATGTATTGACTCATTTGGGTCGTTTTTTTGGCTTCTATAACTTTAGGACAGTTTCAGATAAATGGAATAATTATTATGGAAGACAGTGTGCCCTCGAAGAAGCTTGTAATATTTTGATTAATGGAGGAAAAAAATATAATCGCAATAAAAGAAAGAAGACTGGTTTCAATAGAAAGAAAAGGAAGAAGATGGCCGGGCGAAGAAGTACTAATAGGCGTAACCTCCCTATAGAAATAAGGTAATAAGCTATTTTCCAAGTTTATATGATCATCTTACTAACAACTATTCATATTTTAGAAGAACTAACCACAAAAGCCACTTTAATGAAGGGGACACGGCAAAGATGCCTTTAGTAGTTTTTGGTGATAGTGTAAAAGGGAGAAGCCATGTAAAATATAGAGGACGAAGAGTTGGCGTTTCGGATATTATTTATAAGAATTTGAAAAGAAGACAAAACCTTGATGAGGTTCTTTTGCTTGATATAAATGAATTCCTGACATCTTCTGTAAGTCATTACAATACAAGTTAACGCTTATTAAATCAACTAATTGTGCTTCTATAAAATAGGTTTGTCCAAATTGCAAAGAAATGAAGCTTAGAACTCATAGAGTTGAAGACAAATCTTTCTTTAATCTATTGATCTGCAACGATTGTAATATATTCTGGAACAGAGATATCCTCGCTGCCAAAAATATGATGTTCACTGCATGTCAAATCTGGGCTGGTATGGACCGACCAACATTTTTTACACGTCAAAATTGACAACGCGCCACATAGAACGTGGTTGTTTTGCGTCTTTGGACAAAAAACTTAAAGATTACTACAGGTAAGAGAGTATATAAATACATGACTAATAGAAAGTTAATATATACTAACACTCAATATGCCCTATTTTCACATCTGTGACCCATTTTCCTATTAGTGTCCCAATTTTGTAACCTTGTCCTAATTTAATTTGGAAATGACCAAGTTTTTTTTTTATTGGCCCAACCTAGTTTCGTCGACTGTACTAAACTGGTGATGTTAAAATCAGATAATTTCATTCATATTCAGACCAGTTAAAAATAAAGTAAAATTAGTCAAGAGTAAATGTTGATTTTTACTTGAAAATACTTTAGTTCTTCTAAGAAGTATTTATTAGATTGACAAAATTATTACATATTTTGATGTTTATCTTGAAAATGGTAATAATGCTCTTTTCTGTATCTATCCTTTTATCAGTATCATTTATATCTCTTTTTTTTTTCTTAATTTTACAATGTAGGCTATCATGAACAAAGATGCCTAATAGTTGACTCAAGCAATCTAATGTATTGTATAATAAATAATACTATTTAGTCAGTTCTTAAGATCAAAACTTATTTGATTAAATGAAAACTAGAATATACGTATCTTTGTTTTTCTTTTCAATACAAGAAAAGTCTGTAAAGGTTTAGATTAAATATGTAAAAGATTAATCATGAAAGAGAGTTAACTATCTAAAATTTAACTTGAAGACTATCTTATAAATCTGAGTAAACTTCAGTCTTTAACATTATTTACAAAACGATACAATTTGTACTATACACCGACAAATATCTTTGATTGTTATAATATGTTAGGGTATTACTATATTTTAGTGGATATTGGAACAATCTGTAAGTAAATTATCACAATTATATATTAACTAAAGAGAATTTAAATACATTTACTAGGTATATTATCTATTACTCTTAATCTATGTATACATATATAAATACAAATAGGAAAGCATCTCTAAAGTAATTTAACAAGTTGCTTCTAACGAGTTAAAGGGTTATGCGTATTATTTAATTACCTTCTCTTTATGCTACTTGTATAAAGAGGGAGAGAAATCTTTGAAAAAAAAAGACAATAATAATAATACAAGCTCAAGTTCAGACTAAGGATCACTGTATGATATCCTTCTTTACATAATCACATGAGAAACGCGTTGTCTGGTTATTTCAAATAAAAATAATTTTGTTAATTTTCACCCCCTTTTTTATCTTTTTTTTTTTTTTTTTTTTTTTTTTTTTTTTTTTTTTTTTTTTTCAAATACAATATGTCTCAACTTTCTAATGCAAGTTATGGACAAATAGATGAAGAAAGTGAATCCTATAGTCTGTCTGATTTAGAATTTGCTGAACAACAACAAGAAATACAAGACGAACAATTATCTGCAGATGGATCAGTAACAGAACAAGATAATCAAATTCAACCTTCTGAAGAATACAACAATCGATCTAATGTTGAACTTAGTAGCTGGGTTTCACCGATCTCCTCCATTATGAATTTACTTTCTAGATCATCAAGAACTAATAATCAAAATGACGAAAGCCCATCAGAACAATCAAAAGAAAGTGCAACTGATGCTCTAGATGAAGAGTTAGCTTGGTAGGCATTTTATATTAATGTTATACTACTATTAACTATTTTTTAGTCCTATTTGTCAAGACATTATGAAAGAAGTTTATGCTACAAAGTGTGGTCATTCATTTTGGTAATTATATTACAGGAAAGTCTTTCTTTAATTAAGTTATCAATATTTTTTTTTTCATAGTTATTTCTGTATTTCACGTCATTTAAGAAATCAAGAAGATTGTCCCATGTGTCGATCAAAATTATTCAAAACTGAAATATACCCAAACTTTCAACGTAAAATAGAAAATTAAATTAAAATTAAAATTAAAAATATATTTCTCTTTGGTAGTGAACAAGTTATGCACATATCGCATTAAATCCAGTAGTAGATTCAGCTTATCGGACTCCTCTGTTGAAAATTTTATCGAAAAAAGTCGACAAAATCCAGAGAAGATAGTTTATTCACTAGCTGAAATATTATCCTATGATGGTAAGAAAGTTTTTTTTTTATTTTTATTTTTTAGAGACAAAACAAAAAAGTAACTTTTAGGTCTGTAGAATTGATTGCTATTTGCAGAACAGCCATAGAAGAAAAAAACAAAACTAATTGTGATGGATATGATGTTAAAAGATATTTATTAGCTCAGTTCCTGACAAAACTTAAACAAAGAAATGCAGATGTAAAATTTATAAAATAACCTATAACATTATATTCATATTTTTAATAGGTGATTCGTGAAGTAGTTCAAGAGATGAATGCTATTGAGGATGATTTAAGTTATTTAGGAGGAAGATTGAATCAGGATCAACAGATATATAATGAACAGTCTTCAACAAGGAAAAGACGTCTCTCTGTACGCATTTATCAATTTCTGTAATTCTATAGATAGATGCTAATGTTCTTTTTTTTTATAGCAAATATTAAGAGAAGAAGAGACTGGACAGCAAGCAAAACGTCAAGAGGAACAAATATCTGAACAGCATGGAAATGAAAATGAAGAACAAGACAACACATCTTCGAGTGATGTATATAACTTTCAAACCCCCTTAAGCAGTGATAATGAAGAGCAGCCACAAAGGGAAACTAGAGAAGAAAACACTCTCCCTCTTCATTCGTAACTATTATATTTTATATTCTAAATCTCTTGAAAACTAATCTAGTTTTTTTTTCTTTCTTTAGATCAGCTAGTTATGAATTAAGGAAAATGAAAAGACGTATTGATCAACGTTTCCTTGATCTTCGTAACATTTACAAAAATCAATTTTCTGGCCTAGAAAATCGCTTAGAAAAATTGAAAACCTTCTCGAACTTGCTTTATGAATACACACGTTATGATAGATTTGTGGTCCTAGATACTCTTTATTATGCTGACTATCCATTCATTCGACGTCGTTCGCAACAACCTACTTCATCGGCTATTGTTTCATGTATTGATTTTGATCGAGATGAAGAATTCTTTGCTGTAGGTGGAGTCTCAAAAGAAATAAAAATATTTGATTATAATTTAATCAATAAATCGAAAAATATACCATCATCTCAACAAATGCAGCAGCGCTATCACTGTCCAATACGTGTTATTCCATGTCTAGCTAAGCTCAGTTGCTTAACTTGGTCACCTTACTTGAAATCACAGCTAATTTCGTCAGACTATGATGGCCATGTCACTGTTTTAGATATTATGACAGGTGTTCGAACGCATAATTTTGATGAGCATACAAAGCGTGTTTGGAGTGTAGATATTTCAAATGTCAATCCTACTTTAACAGCGAGTGGAAGTGATGACATGACAGTCAAGATTTGGTCACTTTCTCAACATACAAAACAATCGGTATGCCAATTAGAATCTAAAGGAAATGTATGCTCTATACAATTTGCTCCTGATAATGGGCATCTATTAGCTGTTGGCAGCGCAGGTAATAATTTCTTGCTACATATGTATATATATTTATTTGTAAAATTATATTATTTTATAGATCATGCTTTGTCATTATATGATTTAAGAAATCCAGTTGAGCCTTTAAAAGTCTATGAAGGGCACAAAAAGGCCGTTTCCTATGTGAAATGGCTTAATAACCAAGAACTCGTTACCGCTTCTACGGACAGTACATTAAAACTTTGGAATCGTGAATCAGGGGAATGTATTCGCACGTTTAAAGGACACATGAATGTCAAAAATTTTGTTGGTTTATCTACTCATAATAATTGGATTAGTTGCGGTAGTGAGAATAATACACTTTATACATATCATAAGCATTCTTCTACACCTGCTTTTGCTTATGAATTTCCGAGATCTTTAGTAAGAATATAAATATAAGCATCTGTAGTTTAAAATTGTATATTAATTTTTTTTTTTTTTTTTTTTTTTTTTTTTTTTTTTTTTTTTTTTTTTTTTTTTTTTTTTTTTTTAGTCTTCACATGGTGATGATGTGGCTTTAGATTCTACTAACCCTATTTTTGTGAGTGCTATCTGTTGGAGGAAATCAAGATCAAAGTTGGTAGCAGGAAATAGTAAAGGCATTGTAAAAGTGCTTGACTTTGCTTAATTTATAAATTCATTTGATATAAGAAATATGCCCAAAAAATCTCTTTTTTTTTATGTTCATTATTTCATATTATATACAATAAATAAACAAAAAAAAAAATACATATATGACTACTAATAAAAAAAAAACTACAAGTTTGCTCTTTTATTCAGTTTTTAAGAATGATACACTTATTTTCTGATATCTTTGACACGCACAGCAACAGCATTACGGTGGGCTCCCAAACCTTCGATTTCTGCCAAACGCATCACTGTATCTGCCAAATCATTCATGCCTTGAGCTGTACATTCTTGTGATGTAATATGTTTGACGAAACCATTTGTGTTGACACCAGAATACATACGTGCGTAACCATAGGTGGGTAAGGTATGGTTTGTACCAGAAGCATAATCACCAAAGCTTTCGGGTGAATAAGGACCTACGAAGACAGAGCCTGCGTTATCTACCAAGTCCAAAACCTTGGAGGCATTTTCAAGATGCAAAATCAAGTGCTCAGGTGCATAATCATTACTAAATCTCATAGCTTCTTCAAGTGTCTTGACACGTAAACTATATGAGTGAGGAATGGATTTACGAATAATGTCACAACGAGGTAAGGCAATGGCTTGATTGTGAACTTCTTCTTCAATTTGCTTCATGTGCTCATCTGTAAGATCAACAGCCAACAAGACAACTTGAGAATCAGCACCGTGTTCAGCTTGTGACAAAAGATCAGCAGCTACGTAAGCAGGGTTAGAGGTCATATCGGCAATCACAAGGACTTCAGAGGGGCCAGCTGGCATATCGATGGAGACCAAGCAGGATGTATCGTTTTGTGCAACCATCTTAGCAGCAGTAACATATTGGTTACCAGGACCAAAGATCTTGTCGACCTTAGGCACTGTTTCGGTACCGTATGCCATAGCGGCCACAGCTTGAGCACCACCTGCTTTAACAACATGAGAGGCACCGATTTTATGAGCTACATATAAAACTTCAGGAACAATAGAACCATCTGCTCTAGGTGGTGTGGCAACCACGATCTCTTTACATCCTGCCACCTTGGCTGGAATACCCAACATGAGGGTAGTAGATGGCAAGACAGCAGTACCACCCGGTACATACAAACCAACACGCTCAATAGGTCTTGAAAATCTTGAACAAACAACACCAGGCATTGTTTCGACAACCAATGTTTCCTTTTCTAATTGAGCTTCATGGAATTTATAAATATTATCGTAAGCATGATCAATAGCACGTTTTGTGATAGGATCAATTTCCATAGCAGCAGGATCAAAAGGTGCCTTGATAGTAACAGAATCTAATTCGACACGATCAAATTGACGTGTGAAATTAAGAACAGCTGAATCACCACCTTGACGTACTTGTTGCATGATAGGTGTGACACGGTTGATAATTTCAGTTGAATCAATAATAGGACGTAATAAGAGTTCACGACGCTTTTCTTCAGTGATATCATCTAATGTAAACTTCATCATCTCAATACGATCTGTAGATTCAATAGGGTCGACTCTATTAGCAGCTACAGATGAAGTCGTCGTGGTACTTGTAGCAACTGCACTTGCGGTTGTATTTGCATTTTGTACTTGCCATTGAGGTTTGGCATTACCAGGACGACGTGTGACCTTTCTAGCCTTCTTATTTAAATTAGCTTCAATATCAGCAAGTGAAACGCCAGCAGAGACGCATTTAGTGAGAGCAAAATAGATTAAATCAGCAGCTTCCCATGCAACATCGTCTTTAGTAACAGCTTGACAAAGTTCATCCGCTTCTTCCATAATTTTAGCAGATAATAACTTTGAATCATTGAACAAACGTGCTGTATATGAACCCTCGGGGGCATTCACCTTGCGAGCTTTGAGTGTCTTTTCAAGTGCTGAAATACCTGAATCAGCACCAAAACATGTGCGTGTATTCAAATGACAAAAGCCTATAAAAAAGATGTTTAGCATTATATACATTATATCTATTTATATATATATATATATATATTTACCAGCACCGTGTTGCTCAACAACAAAACGTAAAGCATCACCATCACAATCATAATCAATATGCTTTAAGGTTTGTGTAGCACCAGATGTCAAACCCTTATGCCAAAGTCCACGACCACGACTTTGATAAACACCTTGACCCAATCGAATGGCCTCAGCTACACTTGCCTTACTAGAGTAAACAATTCCCAAGGCCTTGTTAAATTCATCAACGACCAAAGTCGTATAGAGACCATCAGGACGATCCGTTTTGGCAGTAGCCAAAAATGCCTCGGCAATATTCAATTGATCGTTGTTATCAGCTGTTGTAAGACGACAAGCGGGTACAACTACGTCAATATGATCCTTACCCAATTCAGCAATTTTATCAATAGTAGGATTTGTTAATTCTAATACTGTAGTAACACAACCACCCTGAGGCTTCAGTAAGGAATCCTTAGTAAAAGTAGCCCAAGCTTTGACAGATTCGATATCCGTTTCAGCGTCAGCAGATAAAATATAAGTAGAAACAGATTCTTGAGCATCGGCCAAATTGGCAGTTGATTGAGCATGAACTGCTACACGATCACTAGTAACAAGACCATCAAGTTCAGACTTGATTTGAGTATAGAGATCTAATTCAAATATGACCTTGAGGACACCAATATCCCAAAGTTGAATAGCTTCTTCGAGAGACTTGGCGGGTGCCCAATAGAATGTAGAACCAGTTTGGTTAATGAGCGATTTGATTTGATCAACATGGCCGTTTTGAAGAATGACAGAAGAAAAATAAGCCAATGAAGAATAAAGGGGAGCCTGTGAAGGATCAGAAAGATCAATAGAAGGTACGAACATGGCGTATACCTTTTTAAATTAGTAATAAAACAAAAAAAAAAAAAGAAAATAAAATAAAATAAAACAGAGATGTTCGACTGAAGTGTATATTACAAATCAAGTCACAGTATGTGTCATACTTAACTGCTTCTTTTTTTTAATGCGGAGTTTACTCCCTGTCAGAAATCGAGCTTCAAATAGCAATTGAAAAAAAAAAAAAAAAAAAAAAAAAAGAAATAGCATTTTTGAATATGTATAATAATTTGTACATTTATGAATTTATTTACAAGTAAATTTAAATAACGTATATTACATATTATTTAAAATATGTTAGAAAATAGTTAACTGTGATCCTATCATGATAATGTATTTCGTTATCTGATCATTACGAGCAATTATATTGGGTTTTAGACAAAATAAGCCAATAAAAATGAAATAAAGTTATGCTTATAAATAGAAAAAAAAAAAAAAAGAATGAAGAATATCAAAAAGAATCAATCATTTTAATTGCATTTAATAAAATGAACTTTTCTTTTATTACATTCAAGAAAGACATAAATAGACAATAGACTAGAAAATAAAAGTTTATATTTCTGTATAATAATGCAACTATTTTTATTTTTACTAGTTGCTATTTATTATCCTATCTCATTACTAATCCCTTAGTAATTATATACACTTTGAGGACAGAGTAGAGAAGAAGTTATTAAAGAAGAGTATTTAGTTTATTTAAGAGTGTAAGTAATGATGCATTCATTCTATTTTGTCCTTCTGATAATTTATTTGCCAGTAAATTTATTATGTTTCTTCTTCGTTCCAAACTTACTATCTAAAGACTCCTCTTCAATCCAGTATAATATTTATTTTTATTTTTATTTTATTTTTACTTTATTTTTATTTTTACTTTATCTTTGGGTCTTTTATAGACTGCCATCATGATCAATGGTAATAAAATCAAGATTATCATTCAATTAGAATAAATAATAATGATGTGTGTCTTCAAAACCAAAATATTTGAGCTTTCAACAAGATAGCTCTTAATTATATCAATACAGTTAGTTTGCAAAATACAAAAAAAAAAAAAAAATATCTTTTTATTATTTCTAGACTGAATGTTTTGAAATGTATCCCTTTGTTCTTTTAACAAGTCAATGTAAAAAGATAAATATTGATTATGATTAATTTCACTCAATATAAGCTTATCTACAATAATAATCAAGCTTGTGAATTCTGCTGTTCAGTATGATTTTACTTTATAAAATAAATTATAGAATACGTTTCTTACAAAAGCTTAGAATAGGAGGTAACCTGGTTTTATTAAATTGATTAGTATCATTTTAAAGTATTTCGATAATTATATGCAGTAGTATAAAGTAGAGTAGATAAAGATATTAAAATTAGCAATGTAGCTTTTGCTATGTAAACTATAATACCAGACTTATGTACACAAAACTATTTCACTATCATAAGTTTTGTTTCTGATCTATTTCGGCTTAAATTAGAAGAAAGATAGTAGTATTTTTTTTTAAAAATTTTCTAATCTTTTTCACTCTAGTACCAGAAAGAACGTTATAATGCATTCTAATCCCATATTCTTCCAATAGTTAAACAATGAAAAAAAAAAGTACAATGATTATTAAGAGTAGTGTCTCATACATGGTTTTCAGTCCTTTTATCCAGATCAAGTTAATATAGAAAACCGTCTTTATATTTATACTTTTAAATCTTATCCAAAGCACAAGAAGGAATCCAAGTATATCCTTTCAGCAGTAACTATTTAAACAAATCTTCCGAAAGCATCTACAAAACAAAAAAAAAAAAAACTTTATTTCTGATTTGGATACAATACTTTTACTATTATATATCAATGAAAACATGTCCATGCATCCTTATTGATTGTTAATCTTATTCATTCATATTTTGAATTCTTATTTTATTATAAAAAAGAAACTACTACAAAGTAATTTAATTTATTGATGTCTTTAACATCAAACTTGCTTTTATTAAAATAAAGAACACAAAGAATACTTTCTGTTAAATCAGTTCCTTTAATTAATGTAAGTTTTCTTTTTTCATAGTTTGTTAAATATGAATAATACAAATACATATATATCCCTGGAAGAGCATAGTTTTTTTTTTTTTTTTTTTTTTTTTTTTCTTTCTTAATGCTTACAAGTTAGTGATAACTTATTTGATTCAAGTTGTAAAATTTAGGTTACATTTTTTCATAATCTTTAACAAAGAAAAAAAAAAAAAAAAGATACGTGTTTTCACGCGATATCCAATCAAATTTAATCTTGACGTGTCATTTTCTTTGTTTTTTTTTTAATTTCATTTTTTTTTTTTTTAGAAATTACATTTCTTTTCCTTTCTTTAATAAATAAACTTGCATAAAAAAAAATGGCAACGTTGGATGCATTTGGATTCTCCAGAGGTTGTAAAAGCAAACGTTCAACTAAACCAGATTCAGAGCAACAATTAGCATTTATTTCTCCTTCAACAGTTATTGAACAAAATAATATTCTTGAAAAACAAATTATAAAGCCATTAAAATGTAACACTAAAAAATTATCACCAAGTCGAACAAAGGATAATAAAATTACAAGATACTTTGCATCAACACCAATCGCTACTGTAGCCATGGAAATAGATGAAAATGAAGAAGAAGCAGATATCATTTGTATTGTTCGCAATAAAAAACCATTTTCTAATTTTTGGAATAATCTTCAGAATGAGTTTGATCTTGACGACGATGAAGAAGATGAACGCTTATTAATGCTCGATAAAGCAAACAATAATACATTAACAAAGAAGCGTCGTCATATTGAAGAATCACAAGTGACTACTCAAAGACAGAAAAAGATGAAAAACAAGGAACCCCATTTAACTACAACAATTGATATTGACTTTTCACAGTTTATGGTGAAATCTTTAAACTTAAATGGCAAACATTGTCAGTCGTTAACTACTACTAATAATAATAGTAATATATATCTCAATACATTATTTCAACAATATCAGCAAAAAGAGAGTCTAACACGAGTTTTACGATATAAAATGTCACTCGAAGAATCAAAATTACTTCTTAAACGTATCGAACAAAATTTTCTTTATTCTTAAAGAAACAAAATACCCCCTTTTTCCTTTCTTTATGTGTTATAATAAATGAATCTAAAAATATGATAACAATTAATATGCATTTAAATACATCTGCATATATAAATCGAATATACCATTTTAGCATTGAATAAAGAAAAAGTATAAGTATTATATATAGAGTTGAAGCATTTGTTTGTCGCATACTGTTATATGACGATATTCATTTTTTACTTTTAAAGGGAAAATTATCATTTCATAGTATTTATTACACAATGAATTCATAATAGAATATAATCTAAATATATACTAATGATAGTATTTTGCAAAGAAAGCTGTCTACCTATGTCTACTAGAAATAAGACTACCAGGTCATATGAATGCATTTATTGTATGTTTTACTGTATACAATCATGAAATTGTTCACTCTATATTGCAAGATAATGTAAAGTTGGATTTTATCCTGTTTTATAGATAATGATATTCTAATACTTTAAATCAATTTTGTCTTGGTTTTTAAAATAAAAATACTGTAGTGTAGAAGTAGTAAAATAACGATTTTCTTCATTACGCTAATAATAGATTTATTTGTATAATTCTCTTTTTGTCCCTCGAGTGAATTCCTCCTCCCCTCCCGATCTAACTAATTTAATTCAGTATATTCTAGTAATTGTTAGTGCTATGTGCCCACTGTTAAATCATAATTTCTCCTTTTTTTATTGCGGCAAATAAATTTGTATTGTCTATAATAGTCTATTGAAGATAAAATCAAAAAAAAAAAAACTCATTTTGCTTCTTTTCTTTTCGTTTTCTTTTTCTCTAATCACAAAATGATGACTAGTAAATTTGTTAACTATGTACTTTTCCCAGCTACAACGATTGGGTTGATTGGAACAGTTATGGTTCGTAGTAAAGCAAGTCCTTCTAAAGCACATACACAATTTATGAAATCAAATGATGTTAATACACAGAATCATCAACAGTGGAAGCAACTGAATGATGGTCTTGGTGTAAATGATGTTGGAAGAAGCTGTGGAGGCGTTTAAAACAGAAAGATAGCTTATATACATACATTCATAAAAATATGCATTTTAATTCAAATAAGAAACATACGTTGGATAAAGCAATAAAATATATGTATTTGTTTATTATGTGAAAACAAAAAAACATACACACACTATATTTATGCAGTTAATTACATTGGTGTAAATTATATATGTATATATCTATCTTTATCATTGGGCAATCCAAAAAAAAAAAAAAAAAAAAAAAAAAAAACTGGCTAATAAAGTTTAAATGATCGTGAATTACTACAAACACTATTTATTTATGTGAGAGTATATCTATTGCTGTACTATTGATTTGTATTATGTAATATAAAGTAACAAAGTAATCAAGAACAGTAGTACGTAATTAACTATTTGCTTTTATATTCGTTTTTATTTGATAGTATAAATTTATTGATCTTTGCTTTATCAGTGGTGTGTATCCAGTTATAAAAAAGATAAAATGTTGTATAATTTTATCGTCATAATTGCTTTATCTGTAGTGTATTTAATATTTTTTTATTTGTATTTCTTGGAGAGGGTTTCCATAGACATATTCTTCTTTATCATTAGATTATTTTCATTACCCTATTCTATTTAAATTGTATTGTGAATGCAGCATCTTAATTCTATTATGTTAGCCAGCAAATATGCCATAAATATGTATACATGTATTTATTTATTTTTTTGTTCAACTAATTTAGACTAAAGCTTTAGTACTTTTTATTATTAGCATCATATATATTTGAATCTTTACAGTTGCTGAAAATAGAATAATGTGCTACTTATTAGGGATATCTTCAAAAGAAGAACGTCAAAATAAAAAAAGAGACTTATTAGAAATAGTTTCAATTTAATATAAAATGGTTTAGCTTATAATTACTGCATATACAAAAAAAAAAAAAAATCAAGTTAAGAAATAGAATAGATCACAAGTAAATCTAAGAATAATATCAATTAATTTATAGGCCTACAATAAAGATAGATTTCCTATAACAGACCATCATATTATTATTATTGATAATAAATAAACTTAATATAAATCTGTATTCTTGAATTACTACTACGGTGGCTCATTAAGACATTTATGACAACTAATAAAAGTAGTAGTTCTTTATCTATTATACAAACTAAATATTTATCAGATTCTATTCAGATTTTATTTAATTTTACAGTGCTACTAGAATTTATATATTTGTATTGTCAAATAACCTCGCATTTAAAAAGGTTCATTTTAACAATAAATTACCAAAGCTACTATCTTTTTGAAGCAAGAAAAGAAGGAAAACTTAAAACTTGATTCAAAATCACTATTATTAAATCCATACAAATCTTTATGCCGATGTTAGTTACACGTAAAGTAGTGCATATCTGTTTCTTTTTTTTTTGAAATAGAAATATCATTAATTGCGCGCAACTTATTCGAGTTATACTAAACGGAATCTTTATAACGTTATTCAATATGAATGAATAATATATTTGTAATTGTAGTATGTGTTAATATGACTCATTTTATGTGTATACAAATACTGCTGCTGTTGTGTACCTTAATTGCTTTGAAATAGGATTGTTGTGGCTTGGCTAAACTTCCTTTTTTAGACATGACTCATTTTTTTTTTTTAAAAAATAGGACAAAAAAAAAAAAAAAAAAAAACTTCTTACAACTTGTCTTCTTTACAATATTCAACATGAGTTTGACAGTTCCTTTTCAAAACATTCCTGTTGGCATTTTAGCTATTCTTACAGCTAATTCAACTATCAAGCAATCCTTAAATGTTCAAGTTGATAACGTCGAATCAGTTACCCTTAAGCTCGATAATATTGAATTTACTACAACCGCTAACATTGCTCGTTATCTTATTCGCGCTTATAAACTCATGGATGAATCTGCAGCTGACCATCAATGGTTAGCTCACATTCTTGACCTTGCCTTAAGTAATCAAACTGATGCTTTGCAATCACTTCTCAGCAATCAATCTGATTTCTTATCCAGCTCATTTTCTGTCGTTGATATCCTTGTTTGGTCTGTTTTGCAGTCTTCTAACACAGCTTACGTTAAAAAGGTAGAATCATTATCTGCTGTTCAAGAAGCCCTTCAATGGGCTTCTGAACTTGCTAAAACAACACCTTCTGTCGAAATCCCTCACATTGAAGGTTCTGATCCTTCCACAAACCCCATGGATACCTTCCGTAATCTCATTGCTGTTCAAATTGCTGCCTTTGCTAACCTCGATCCCAGTTTTGTTTACAGCTCCATCGACTTGCCTCGTTCCCTTGAAAACGGTGACTTGGCTATAGCCGTCCCCCGTTTACGTGTAAAGGGTAACCCCGCTGCTTTCGCCGCTCAATGGGCTAAAGACTTTAAAACCTCTCAATACATTACTGAAGTCTCAGCTGCAGGTCCATTTTTGAACTTCCGTATTAACAAACAAATCTTGATCGAATTAACCATTCACCAAGTTACTGAGCGTACTGAAAAATATGGTCATAACAGTTTTGGTAGTAATAAGACAGTCATTGTTGAATTCTCTTCACCCAACATCGCCAAGCCTTTCCATGCTGGTCATTTGAGATCAACTATTATTGGTGCATTTTTGAGAAATGTATATGATGCTAATGGTTGGAAGACCATCTCCATGAACTATTTAGGTGATTGGGGCAAGCAATATGGTAAGTAGTATATATATATATGTGTGTGTGTGTGTCATGTATATACATACGTTTTATTAATTACATTATTATTGTTATCTTAGGTCTTTTGGCTGTTGGTTTTGCAAAATATGGTTCTGAAGAAAAACTTACTTCTGATCCTATTAAACATTTATACGACGTCTACGTTCAAATTAATAAGGATGCTGAAGAAACCCCCTCTATTCATGATGATGCTCGTGCTTATTTCAAAAAGATGGAGGATGGAGATGAAACCGCTTTGGCTCTCTGGCGTCGTTTCCGTGATCTTTCTATTGTCAAATACCGTGATATTTATGCTCGTCTTAATATTCACTTTGATGTCTATTCAGGTGAATCTCAAGTTGCTGATGGTATGGAAAGAGCAATGAAGATGTTGCATGATTGTAACCTCTTACAAGAATCTGAAGGCGCCCTCATTATTGATATGGAAAAGTACAAGTTGGGTAAGACAGTCGTTCAAAAGAAGGATGGTACTACACTTTACTTGACTCGTGATATTGGTGCAGCTATGGAACGTTATGAAAAATATAAATTTGATAAAATGATTTATGTTGTTGCATCACAACAAGATCTTCATCTCAAGCAACTCTTTAAAACTTTAGAGTTGATGAATTTTGAATGGGCCAACCGTCTTGAACATGTTAACTTTGGTATGGTCTTGGGTATGTCCACTCGTAAGGGTACTGTTGTGTTCTTGGAGGACATTTTAGAAGAAGCCAAGGAAACAATGCATGAAGTGATGCGTAAAAATGAAGCTAAATATGCTGAAATCGATGACCCTGAACGTGTTGCTGATGAAATTGGTATCTCTGCCGTCAAGATTCAAGATAACTCTGCTCGTCGTATCAAAAACTATGACTTTGATATGGCCCGTATGTGCTCTTTTGAAGGTGATACTGGACCTTATATTCAATATGCTCATGCTCGTTTGGCTTCTGTAGAACGTAAATCAGGTCTTAAAGTGAATCCTAATGCCGACTTGAGTCTCTTAACCGAACCTCAAGCCTTAGATGTCATCCGTACTGTGGCTCAATATCCTGATTTAATCAAGTCACTTTTGAATGGCTATGAACCTTGTAATGTTGTGACTTATGCATTTAAATTGAGTCATGATATTTCTGCTTGCTTTGAGAACTTGTGGGTACGTGGTGCAAGTCCTGAAGTAGCTGACGCTAGACTTTTGATGTATTGGTCTGCTCGTATTACGCTTGGAAATGCTATGCGTATGTTAGGCTTAAGACCATTAGAGCGTATGTAAAGAAGAAGAAGAAGAAAAAAAAATTGTGTATAATAATAATAATAATGATAATAATAATGATAATAAAAAATAGTAGTATATATATATATATATATAGTAGATTCCCCTCCTTTTTTTTTATTATTAATGTTTTATATAAAATTAAGAATGTTGTCCACTATTTTCTTGATTATATTTTTGTGCGTTCTTTACTAGATCAGCAAATCTATTCTTTTTATTGTCAGTTGCACCATAGTGATAAGGTGCACTATAGGCCATAGATGAAGATCTTGAAAGAGTCTTGGATTGTTGTTGTTGTTGTTGTTGTTGTGATTGAATCTCACGTGGCTTACTTGCACGGTTTCTTCTTAAAAGTGAATAAATGCGCAACTCATCTCTGACATCACCAATGGCACTTTCCCAGTGCATACGTGAATAACTGGCCAAGGGCTTAGCCTCTTCATTAAATCTTTTTTCACATCCACAACAATCGGGTAACAAACGAATGATTGTACCGATGGGTAATGAAAGAGAACCGATAAGGATAGTTATAAGCCATTGATCCCAGGTTAAAGGAACAGTCTTGAATGCAATACCACCAAAGGTGACAATCAAAAATTGGCCTAGGATCACGGCTATTTGAACAGCAATAAAGATCCAATTATCAAAGATATCCTTAAAGACATTGATGGTGTTATCAATACGACGACAGTTAATTTCATTAAAGACTTGTAAAAAGACAAAGATATTGAAGACCATGGTACGTAGAACAGCAGGATCATTTTCAATGTGGAAGATACGTGGTCCCAAATAGATAGCAATCAGATTGATGATAATCTGGAAGAAGGCTTGACCTAGGATCATCTTGGCCATACGATAATTGATTAAATGGGCATATTTGCTAATTGGTTTACGGTGCAAGAGATCATTCGTAGGTGGTTCAGTAGCTAATGCTAAAGCAGCCAAGGTATCCATAATCAAATTAACCCAAAGTAACTGAACAGCACTTAAAATCGACTCTGCATTCTCAGATCCAACGGCTGAAATAAATGACAAAATAACAGCTGCAATATTAACAGTCAATTGGAAAGTAATAAACTTACGTACACCGTCATTTACAGCACGACCCCAGAGAAGGGCTTTAAGGATTGAATTAAAGTTATCATCCATCAGAATAATGTCAGAGGCTTCCTTAGCGACTTCTGTACCTGTAATGCCCATAGAGAAACCAACATCAGCCAATTTTAATGCTGGCCCATCATTTGTACCATCGCCAGTCATACCAACTACTTGATCTTGTTCTTGTAGGCGAGTCACAACAATCGTCTTATCAGTAGGAGAAGAACGAGCCAAGACTTGTAAACGAGGAATTACTTTACGTTGCTCTTCAGTAGACATGGCACGTAATTCAGGACCTGTCATAGCAACACCACCCTTTGTCAAAATACCTGCATTACGAGCAATAGCCTTTGCCGTGTTTAAGTTATCACCTGTGATCATACGTACAAAGACACCTGCTTGTCTAAATGCTGTAACCGATTCAACAACACCAGGACGTAAGGGATCCATAATACCTACAATACCAATCAAGATAAACTCCTTAAGGGGAGGCTCATCATCCGAGATCTGTTTATAATCATCTTCAGAGATATCACGATAGGCCAAGGCAATCGTACGTAAAGCCTTATCTGCATAAGCACCAATCAAACCATTAAACTTCTTACGCGCTTCTTCATCCAATTCATGCTTTTCGCCTTGAGCATCTATATAAGCTGTACAAGTATCTAAAACAATTTCAGAGGCACCCTTAACATGAACACGATAATCAGATTGTGTTGTAGATGGGGCAGCATTTAGATCTTTAACCTTGATGATGGTTGTCATTGTTTTACGCTTTGAGGCAAAAGGATACACCTTAGCCACTTTGGCATTATGTCGTAATTGATCATAATCACTACCCAAGTTCTTTGACAAACTCAATAAAGCACATTCTGTCTTGGAGCCTACAAAATTCATGTTACCGTTTTCATCTTTTTCTTCAAATGCAGTTGAATTCAAAGCGACCGTTTCAAAAAATAATGACAAGATCTTCTTGGCCTTTTTAGCCCATTCCTTAGCCTGTTCAGGTGTATCAAAAGTCTCTTGAGCTAAAGTACCTTCTGTAACAGTCATCTTGTTCTGTGTTAAAGTACCTGTTTTATCAGAACAAATGGCAGTTGCGTTACCCATTGTTTCACAAGCAGCCAAGACACGAACCAAGTTGTTATCTTTCAACATTTGAGTAGTAGCAAAGGCTAAAGCCATCGTCACAGCCATTGGTAAACCTTCAGGTACAGCTACAACAATAATAGTAATTGCTTGAATGACTATACTGATCATAGCAGCAGCAATATCACCAGCAGGAGGGAATTCGGGAGCTAATGCAGCAGCCACAAAGTATTTAATAATAAGGGCAATTAACATGATAATAGCAGCAGTAAAACCCATCTTTGCAATTTGCTCAGCTAATATATCAAGTTTAGCTTGTAAGGGAGTACCCTCTGCATTTTCACCACGCATGGACATCATGGTCTTTCCAAAAAAGGAATTTTCACCTACAGCCACAATGACTGCACGACCCATGCCTTCCAATACTTTTGAGCCTGACAAAATAAAACAATCGCCTTCACCTTCAGGCTTCTTTTTCATTGTATCTGATTCACCTGTTGCAGAAGACTCATCACAAGCTAAATTATGACCTTCTAAAAAGAGGCCGTCTACAGGAATGATATCACCAGGTTCTAACATCAAAATATCACCGACATTTATATCATAGACACTAATTTGTTGTTCACGACCATTACGAAAAACCTTAACTGTACGATCTTCTTTTTTTGCATTCAGTTTTTTAAATTGAGCTTCCTTTTGATAATCATTGATGGCGTTTGTTAATACAACAGCCAATACAGCAACTAGAATAGCTGTTCCTTCAACCCTTTAACAAACAAACAAAAAAAAAAAAGGTTAAATAATTGTTATACAATATGATATGCTATTTACCATCCAACTCGAGGTTCATCTTCAGGATGACGAGGAGAATAATCTTCCCAGATACCTACAGCTAATGAAATAACTGAAGCAATACTTTAAAAAAAAATTGTTGTTAATATCTATAAATCATATTGACGTCATAAATTATACCTTAACATAATCAACGTCTTATCATTATAAGCAGCCCATAAAAGTTGCCAAAAACTTTTTGTTTTAGGCTCTGGTAGGACATTTCTACCAAAATGGGCTTGACGTTCTCTAAATGGTGGTTCATTTGATTGAGATGAACCTTCATCTGCAGAAAGACCCACAGAGACATCTACTTGAATTTTTTTACAAATTTCTTTGACACCTCCAAGTTTATGTAAAAGGTCTTCATTTTTAGGGTCAAATAGATTAGATAAGTCTTGAGCTGATATATTAAAAGAGGAAGAGTCACGACTACCACTTGGTAGAAGTGATTCCCTTTCTTCACTTGGCATATTTTAAAATAATTTAAACAAGAAGAAAAATGTTTTTTTTTAGAAAAAGAAAAAAAAAAAAAAAAAAAAAAAAAGTCAGAATAATAATAATTAATTTATGGCTTGTTTATGTCAGTGTGTGGTGCTTTTGTGTAAGCAAATATTATAGAATCTGTAGATCTTTCCTTTTTTATGTAATAATGAAACCAAGGTCATTTCTCTTTCTCTCTTTTTTTATTTTTTTTATTCTAAAACTTCATCTAAAATATCAGCAAATTCATCTAAACTATCTTCGTTATCACTAGAACTACCACTACTGCTATTATTTGAAGGAGAAAGAGTTACAACTTTGGATAATTGTGATTTACCACGTTTTTTTGCTTTTAATCTTCTTTTAGCTAAAAAACTCATGACTTCATCTTCAGAACCTTCTTCGTCTCCGCCACTATCTCCGCCACTTTCTACTACTACTCGTTTCCTTTTCCAGTTTGTGTTATTGCGACGACTAGGCGTGCTTTTACGGGAAGTAGTAGGACTGTTATTGTTTTCAATCATATTTTCTGAATCAGTGTCACCCCAAACATCATCAATTCCACTTTCATTAATAAAATCTTCAACTTCTCTATCAGCTTCATCCCAGTTAATATTCTTGACAAAATCTTCTTCTTCTTCTTCTTCTTCTTGTGTCTCTTTCTCTTCGTCATCTTGATTTGAATATTTCAATTCAGGTAATGCATAATTCTCTTCAGATTGAATAGCCCATCTTGCTGTACTGTCAAACAGCCAACCTGGTGTTACAACATGCAGATTAGGTTGGCCATATCGACGAGCTGCCTTCACTTTATTTCGACTAGTAGCTGGAATAGCAATTAGATGCGTTGTTTTGCCTGTTAAATCAATAGAGCAATGAGCACCATATGATGATGCCATTTGCCAAATCCAAGATAATGAAGGGTCATTTTGTTGAGGTAAGATGCGATCAGAAAAGGTAATGATGGTATCCTTTAGGACTTGTTGCTTCATAATTGGTATAATTCGAGTTACATCAGTTGATTTATCTTGAATTGGTTTAGAATAAAAGGTTTGATGGACTTGTTTAAGGATCTAAGAGAATGAAATGAATTACATCCAATCATGTAGAAAAAAAATAAAATAAAATATAATGTATTATCATTTACCTTTAACATTGTATATAACTCATTATCGTTATCATTTTGCGTTGTTGTTAGATTGTGTTGGATATGATCTTTACAGAAAGTTAGACATATATTTACATGCTTATTCTAAACATCTTTACCTGTTGTGTTTGAATCATCATCATCATTATTTATGTTAATAAAGAATTCATCTACAAATAAAAAGTAATTCAGTATATGGATTCTTAACTTGCTTTTATTTCCAGAAATTTATTACATGGTTTAATTCGTATTAAATTAGGTGAAAAATTCCAAATATCCCATCTATCATCTAATACTACTACCATGGATGTATCACAAGGGAACAATCGTTGTAACTTTTTCTGTGTTACGCCTATTATAACAAGTCACAATTAGTCACTTTTAGTTCTAGTCATACTACTTGTGTACATACTTCCACTTTCGTTTCTTGACAAGATCCGTTCTTTAAAAATAGTTCCCTTGGGATCAATTTCTTTTGTAATCATATCTGCGTACTCTCTTGTTCCCATTGTATAAATATGAAGTTCATAGAATTGACTGATTTCATTTAAGAAATCCTTTAACCCTGGTCTAGAAACATATATGTATAGAAAAAGGGATATGGTAAGATGTTCCTCTTTATACAAGTATAAAATAGGATTGTTTTTTTATACCTTAATTTCACATAATAAATTATGTCACTGCTACTAGTAGTAGATAGCTTAAATTGTCTTATATCTTGTTTACCTACATCTTGTGGTGTAGTCGGTTTATAGTGTTGAGATGTAGTTGCATGAGCTATTGTTCGATCCAAATCAATAATTAATGATAATTTCTGTAATTTAAGTAATCGACGTGCATTTTCTGCTTCTAACCTTTCTGCTTCCTAAATAAATAAATAAATAAATAAATGAATAAAAGGTTTTCGTTTTAAAATTTACTTATTACCTCTCGACTGATTGATAATCCTACAGTATCATATCCTATCACGATAGGACTTCCTGTAACACCTGTAAGGTCATCCAAACTGTTATACTATTTTTTTTAGTTTAAGCTTTTCAAATAACTTATTGCACTTACTCTAGTAATGAGCCACAGATGGCACATAAACCGTTGTATTGTACTTGATGTATGCATTCTCCCATGCTTTATTATACTAAATGCCAAAATGTCATGTTTAAATGTTGAGATCATCTCTTTCTTAATATTTACCTTATCTCTTATTGGACGTTATTTTAAAGAATTAATTTACATAAAAAAAAAATAAAAAAAAAAAAAAAAAAAAAAAAAAACTCAAAACTTTATGCTTGGAAGGGAAAAAAAATGTCGTATGCTTTATATTTTTTTTTTTTTTTTTTTTTTGAAAATCTTTGAATATATTTATCTGCATAAAATTAAATAAACCAATAGTTTTCTTTTTCATAATGTACTAAAGAGTTTTATTTCCCGACACATTTTTAATTTATTGTTCTTATTGGGCTGACTCAAAGTGTGACTTGATAGTCATTATCCACTACTATATTCAAGTTATCTTGGATATAGAATTGCATCAAATAAAGAGGGCTTCTTAACTTTACTGCAAATATGATCTAGATTCTTTTTTCCTCGAATGGGTCCGTTTTTTATATTGATTTAATAATGTCTTCCTAGTAGTAAAATTATTCTACTTGGCATTTGTTGATACATTTATTTTATCACTACAATTAAACTCATATCATCTGTTATTCTTGACTTGAACATTTCAAGTATAAAATTCTTAAATACTTTAGCAAATCCATCAAGCGACAATAATAAGCAATTACATAAGGCTGCTATATTATGTTGCTTATTTCTTGTTTCCAGTCTTTATTGTGAACATGACAATATTTCACTTGTTCATGCAACAAAAGTTGGCGGTAATTGAATTTTTAAATAGTAAAAACAGTAACTATAAAGTATGAATCAAGCTGCAGTAGTAGTAAGGATATACCCTTCCACCTTTTAAAGGTAAACTTTATAACTTGCTTATATTATAACGGATGGATCATTGTATATATAAATGGATTACTTCTTCTTCCCCTCTACCTTTTTTTTTTTCGCCTGAAAGATTTTAGATGGATGGATGGATTGGATATAGTTATCAGTATCACATAATACCAACATTTTATGCATCAGCAGCTTAATGAAAATTATAATCTGAATTGAACAGTCTTATATTTCTTTAAAGCATTGATGATGTGCAATTTATCTTGAGAAATTCTAGTAGCTATATTATTGTAGCATTATTACATATGAACAAATATTATACTTTGAACATGTTAATACTAATTAAGTGTGAAATGGAATTGCATGTATTTTTTTGTTTGTAATTATGGAAGAAAACAAAGCATTGATACATTAGTTTTTTTTTTTTTTTTTATTTTTATTTAAGAAAAAAAAAAACAAAAACTATTGATTTTACCTATTCAGTTCAACATCAATCCATCAATCAGTCGATAGTTCATCTTTAAAAAAAAAATAAGGCATTCTAATACATATATACGATGAATCTTATCCATTCATGACTTTTTGATTTACAACTAAAACCCTCTTTTATAGACTAAATAAAATACAAAGATGGGTCGTGTTATTCGTGCTCAAAGAAAAGGTGCTGGAAGTATCTTCAAGTCTCATACAGTAGGCCGTAAGGGTGCTGCTAAACTCAGAGTATTCGACTTTGCTGAACGTCATGGATATATCCGTGGTATCGTTAAAGATATCGTTCATGATCCTGGAAGAGGCGCCCCCCTTGCTAAGGTCGTTTTCCGTGACCCTTACAAGTATAAGCTTCGTACTGAAACCTTCATTGCTACTGAAGGTATGTACACGGGTCAATTCATTTATGCCGGTAAGAAGGCTGCCTTGAACATTGGTAACGTCATGCCCTTGTCCTCCATGCCTGAAGGTACCGTTATCTGTAACGTTGAAGAAAAGGTCGGTGATCGTGGCTCTATTGCTCGTACCTCCGGTAACTACGCTACTGTCATCGGTCATGGTGATGATGGTAAGACTCGTATTCGTCTCCCCTCTGGTGCCAAGAAGGTCATTCCTTCTACCTCTCGTGCCGTCATCGGTATCGTGGCCGGTGGTGGTCGTATTGATAAACCCATGTTGAAGGCCGGTCGTGCTTTCCACAAGTACAGAGTGAAGCGTAACAGCTGGCCCAAGACTCGTGGTGTTGCCATGAACCCTGTTGATCACCCTCACGGTGGTGGTAACCATCAACATATTGGTAAAGCTTCTACTAAGGCTCGTGACTCTCCTGCTGGTCAAAAGGTCGGTTTGATTGCTGCTCGTCGTACTGGTCTCCTTCGTGGTACTAAGAAGATCAAGGATGCTTAAATTTTTATTTTTGTAAATTGTTTGGTTTAGAAGGGAGAAAAAATAAAATAAAATAAAATAAAATATTTATACACACACTCTATTATTATCAATCAATCATTTTTTTTTTTTTTTATATGTAAATCATCATAATAGAATAACTACTTTATAGAGCCCTCCCCCATTTTTTTTTTTTTTTTTTAGATTAGATTAATGTGTAGTAATAGACAGTTGTTCTAATACAGATGCATGCCTACGTTTAAGATGTCGTCTATAATTTGCAAGACTAGAAAAGGTAGCATCGCAGGCAAGACAATAACCTTTTGGATCCTTAGGATCTGGTATAACACCAGGTCGAATATGATAAACAGGTACTAAAGGTTTTAATTTCATTTTATGTTTCCCTCGAAGATGTTGTCTGTAAGCTCCTAGACTTTTAAAACTCGCCTCACACGCTTTACAAAAATTATCAGGGTCATTAGGATCTGGTTGAATATCTGGTTTAGGTGTATAAACTGGGGCTAAGCTTTCTAGTTTTATCTCATGTTTCTCTTGTAGATGTTGTCTATATCGTGCAAGGCTATCAAAGGACTTGTTACATTTATGGCAAAGAAAGTGATTCTCAAAGGATGTGTCATTGGAGAAGGAGGAGGATGATTCGAGAAGAAGAACAGTAGTGGTAGTAGTCGTAGTCGTAGTCGTAGTCGTAGTCGTAGTAGTAGTAGTAGAAGTAGTAGAAGTAGTAGAAGTAGTAGAAGTAGCAGTAGTTCTTTTACGTTTATTTATAGTATCTAATGATTCTGCTGAGTCTTTTGTTGGTATTGTTGGTGTTGTTGTTGCTGTTGTTTCTATTGTCGCTGTTGATGATGGTTGCATATTATGTATACGTCCAAGATGTCGCTTATAAGATCCACGACTAGAGAATGTGGCCTCACAAGAACAACAATATAAATTAGAGTCTTCAGGATCCGGTACAACTCCAGGTTTTGATTTATAAATGGGTGTTAAAGGTTTCAATTTCATTTTATGTTTCTCCCTTAAATGCTGTCTATATTTTCCACGGCTTTTAAAACTGGCATCACAGGCTCTACAGAGGTGATTTGGATCCTCTGGATCTGGTTCAACTCCAGGCTTAGGTTTATAAACAGCCTTAGGCTTTTTCATTTGTTGTTCACCATGTTCTGTCTGCATATGACGACTATGGATTTTAAAACTCGAAAATGCGCTTTTACAAACAGGACAATGATAATAGGCTGTCCGAATAGGCTCTAAAGTCATATTATGTTTTCTTTTAAGATGCTGTCGATACCTTGCACGACTATCAAAACTAGCCTCACAGGCTCTACAAAAGTGATTAGGATCTTCAGGATTAGGCACGATACCCGGTTTAGGTTTATAAACAGTGTGAAGAGAAGGAAGGATGATGTGATGTTTACTTTGAATATGCCTCCTGTATTTGCCTAATCTAGGAAATAAAATATTACAGGCACGACAATAGTTATTAGGATCTAATTCAAAGTCTATTGGTGGTGGTTTTATATTGTGTTTTTCGAGGAGATGCTGGTGATATCTTTCAAGTGTAATAAAAGTAAAATGACAAGAACGACAGTAATTATCCGGATCTTTAGGGTCTGGTTCTATAGAAGGATCAGGAATAGGTGGGAGTGGTTCGAGATTCATCATTTCATGTCTTTCTACAAGATGCTGTCTGTATATTTGAACATTACTAAAATTAACTTTACAAGAGTGACAATAATTATTAGGGTCTTTAGGATCTGGTTTTGGTTCTGATTCTGATTCTGATTCTTTGTTTTCAGTATCAGTAAGTTGAGAAGAATGATGACGACTAGGTGGCAAATTCATTTTATGCTTTAAATTAAGATGTTTTCGATATCTCCAACGATCAGGAAATGTACCTTTGCAGGATCTACAATAATTTTGAGGATCCTCAGGATCTGGTTCAATATCTGGATTCGGATAAAAGATAGTTCTCAAAGGCTTCAACTTCATCTCATGTCTTTCTCGAAGATGTCTTCTGTATTCTCCAAGACTTATGAAAGTCATCTTACATAAATAACAATCATTATTTGGGTCATTTAATTCTGATTCAATAGCTTGTTTTGGATCGTTATCCTCCTCATAAGATGATTCTGATAAATTGGTATCATAGTTTGTGTATCTTTCAGATTTATCACTATTGTCTTTTTTTTTTTGAACAAATAATAGTACTACTACTTTAGTATATTTATTTGTGTACTGTAAAAGGATACATACATACCTTCATTCTTATCCGCTTTCTGTAATTCACATTCGGCTAAAATGAGTTTTATATTTACCTCTTCTTCTTCTACTTTAATATGCATGTCTTCAGGTATACTAATTTCATTATCATGGCGCCCTGTTTTATTCACAGTTTCCTCTTCTCTTTTAATTATTGGTTCTTGTTTGATGTCACACAATACATTAGAACCTTCTACTCCCATTTTACCTTTATTTATTTCTTTGTTTTTAGAAAAGCTGAAGAACTGTCTTTTGCTTTTTGATCTCTTTACTGATAGGCTGAAACTAAAAAAGAAAAAATAAAAAAAAAAAAAAAAATAAGAAAGAGAAAAAAAAAATAAATTCTACCAACCAGCCAGTGCACTTTGTTGTAAGATAACTACTAGGGACACCATTATGCCATTTTTAAATCTCCGTCTATCTGACCTTTTAATCGTTATAGTTTCCAAATGAGTCGAGACAATGAAGTTGCTTATTATGCTTTGTTATTTTATAAGCAATGAATTATAAACTTGCATTTAAAGGAAACATGATTTTAGACACTAAAGAACTAACTTTGTAATAATAAAATTGCCAAGTCAGCTAAAATTGGAATAAAAGTTAGATATATGTATATATATATATATAAAGGAATCGTGATGAAGTGCTTATCAAGACTATTTATTCATGTTAATTAAAGAGATCCCTTTAATTACTACTCTTGTGCACATTGATCCAGGATTAGTTGCACAACAGCTTAAGGAAGAATTGAATATAGTTCTTGTATAAAATATCTTTTTTTTTTTTCGATATAAAGTATAAATTCATACAAGTATATTCATCTTTTTTTTTTTTTCTAACATTATTAACAAATTCATATTTTGTGATTCTTCATTAGCCATTAATTGTTCTTTTGAGCCCACAATTATTAAAGTATGAATACAAAGTAATGACCCCTTGTATATACATGTATAAGATCAAGTGGAGCTTTTAAGCATAACAAATTTCAATAGCTGAGGATAACACTAGTTTTTAAAACATAAAGTTAAGGTACAAGTTTCAAATAGACTTGTCATCACCCATACTTTAGCCTGTAGTCCAGAATTGGCTGGCTTTTACTCTTTCTGTAGTAGGTTAGAGCCACTGTTGATAGTCTAGTTTAGAGGAGCTCTCTAATAATACCATATTATTTAATAATAATATTTTTTTTTTTTTACGAGAATATAAAATTATCCCTTTTTTTAACAACTATTATGAAACGACTGTTCAAAACGGAGGAACGCTTTATTTTCAGTCACACAACAAGAAGCCATAAAAATAGATATATCTCAAATTTTCATAAATTTATCCCACTCCTTTTTCTTTTTCCATTTTTTTTTTTTTTTTGAACAATGCGTATTAAAATCAATACCGTTCCGCCTTTACCCAAATACACATGTTGGTACCCAATTCCTACAAAAGTAGAATCTCAAACGATCCATCAATTAAGACAAATGATGGTGAAAAATCTTAAATTGAATCATGAAGCAGCTAGTTTAATTCTGTCAATGGATGGTTTTACGTTCTTACCTCAACTTAAAATTAAGGATTTAGTTCGCGATGGTGATTTGATTAGGTAAGGATAATATGGCAATGTTGAACTTGTAATTGATTTCTTTTTTTTTTCTCTCTCTCTTTAGTATAAAAATTGAATCAGTAAAACAATCGAAAGAAAGGAAAAGAAAGACACGTAATTTTTTTTTATTGTGTAAATGAAGTAAAAGAAACTAAAGTTTTACTATAATAGAAATGGATAAAGATGATGAAAGAGATATTAAAAAGGCTAGGATAGAAAAGAAAAAGAGAAAAGAAGAGAAAAAGCAAGAAAAGGGAGAGGAAGAGGAAGAGGAAAAGCAAGGAAAAAAAAAGGAAAAAGAAGAGAAAAAACAAGGGAAAAAGAAGGAAAAAGAAGAGAAAAAGAAGAGAAAAGAAAAGAAAAAGAAGAACAAGATAGTCGAAAAAAAGCAGACAAAAGTTATAAACCAGCAAAAGATTACACTGGAAAATAATATAAATAAAAGCCAACTAATAACAAGCGTACCATTTGAAGGAACAACAAAAACAAAAAAACGTAATTTACGTCGCAAATTATTAAAGAAGGCACTTCGTGAAAAAAATCAAAATAAACCAGCTCAGCAGAAGGAGATATTAGTTCCAGAGCAGTCAACACAAAATATAGAATCAAAAGAAGTGACTTCACTTTCTGTTGAACAACAATCAACATCTTTACCTGTTTCTCTTTTAAAGAAAAACAAAAATAAAAAGAAAAATCATTTAAAGAAGGGCAAGGCTGCACAGCAAGAAAATTCGGCAAAGCATGTCCATTTTGAAGAACTAAATAGTCAACATTATTATGACGAATTATATAATGACTTGCAAGAACAAAGTTATGTGGATAATAATAATTTATATGGACGTGCTTTTGTTACTTTTGCTGAATCACAGCCTTCGAATCGTAATACAAAGGGTAGTTATTTCTCAGCATATGAATATCCTGTCAATAAAGTACCTACTTTGTTTTATGCAGAGGAGCCAACACAAGATAATGAAATTGATAATACAATCCAGAAAAACACTATAAAGGAGGAAGAAGCTGTAATAGAGAACGAACAGCCTGTCATTGTTAATTATGATGAATATCCTGATGCTAACTTTGAAAGTAATGTTCCCTCCATTGGTGATCATCTAGCCATCAAGGTAACTAACTATGTGATATTCTAATAAAGATAGTAGTATCTAATCAACATAATATAGACTTTAGAATTGACTGCCAATTATACACCTGAAATATCTGATTGGAAACAAGTTATACTGAAAGAACTCAATTTACCATCAACAATAACAATTGAATATAAAAAAGGATTTAAAAGAGATTCTACAAAAGGTGGTAAATTTGATATAAATCAAAAGAAAAATGATGATGATGAAGAGGATATTGAAGAAGAAGAAGAAGAAGAGGAAGAAGATCCTATTGTTATATTTAATGTTACTGATATCTTGGCTGTAAAAAATATGTCAAAAAAATAATTTATTTCTTTGCTGCTGCTACTAATTGCTGATATTGCATTTGTAATTGGGCAATCTATTGAAAAAAAAAAAAGTATTAGTTTATAAATAATAGAAATATTTCGATAGTTGTATCCTTTACTTCTTGTTTCTTTGTTTCTGTTTTTTTAGTCAATTCATTTAATTGTGTTTCAACACGTTTACTACAAAAAAAAAAAAGGATAAATTAATTACTATTTTTTGTTTTGCCTATTTTAATTTACATTTCACTAGAAATTAAATTTAATCTGTTCTTGACATTGGTAGCAGCTTCTGCTTTATCCTGTTTCACTAAAACAGGCCCAATAAGTTTGTAGATGTTGCTATCATCATCTAAATGTTCGAATTCCTTAAAAGAAGTCAATGTTGGTAAAAAGAAAATGAAGATGAAGTTTTTTTTTTTTTTTTTTTTTTAATTTACAGTATTGACAAGTTCATTTTCTTGTTGTTGTGCTTCTAAACGTTGTCTATTCTCAATTACTTGAGTAAGTTCTAATATAATAATTAATACACTAACGAATAACCAAAATGATTTTTTTTTTTCTTTTGCAATACCTTTCTGTAATTGTTGGAAAGATTTTGATTCGGCTTCAAGTTTAGCTTCAATGACAGATAAACTACTCATTTTTACAAACTAAATCCACAAAGGTACAGACTAAAAAGAAAAGAAAAAAAGAAAAAAGGAGGAGAAACAATGTCAAAATGAGCATGTCCCAAGCCACGTTTCGCGTTTATTTTTTTATTTTGTCTGGACGTAAAATTCTATAAAGATTCTTTTTTTTTTTTTTTTTTTTTTTTTTTTTTTTTTTTACACATTTAATGTGAAGACAATCAATAAATACATGAAAAAGGAAAAATAAGAAAATGTATCAACTTGTGTAGATTTATGAAATGTATATAAATATATTTGTATATATTTTGTATATTGAGAGGAAATGCTTATAGCTTTACAACACTAATTTATTGAAAAAGAGTATCCAAAACTTTGCAAACTTCTTCAGGTTGATTATAATTTAATCTATATAAATGGTGAAATGTTAATTTTATAATGTATTTCTTTTTTTTTTTTTTCTTTTTACCTATCCATATATTTAAATTTATAATCATCACCATCAGGATCAAAGAAACGATGTTCCCAAATAATGTTCTTTTCTTCTCTTTCCTTTCTTAATTCACGTTCTCTATCTTCTATCTTTGTCTTTTCATCTGTAGCTTTATCCATATTCTTTTCTAAAATCCCTTCTGTTAATTTGGTCCAAAGTCTTCTTGATTCCTTTTCTTCTTGTTGTTCAGGCACTTGAAGTGGATATTTGTTATACTTTGTAACATCAACTAATAACTCTGGTTTTTTTTCCTTTTTATCATTTGAAGATCCTCGAAATGACTATTAAAAAAAAAAAAAAAGTTATTCATGACACATCTTTTCTTTTTCTTTCTTTTTTTTTTACCCATAAATTACTAATTGTACTACTACTACTACTACTCTTTGTTGAAGTAGAATTGCACTTTTTAATAAATAATTCACCTGACCACTGACCGGTAATTTCATATAAAACTTCTTGTGTAGATTCCTTTTTGATTTTACCTACGACAGAGTTGGGTTGACCAGAAAAGAAGCCTTTTGTCTGAAAATCCATTTCACAAATAAGATCGCTTGAAACGCATCTAACTACAGAAGTATCACCCAGTTCTAAAGTCATTGTACCAAATCTTGTTACATAATAAAACGATTAGACAATTATATAAAATAGGAAAGAATATATATACTTTACAATATACCACGAGCATACATATTAGGCATTGTAATTTCATATCGTTCATTATATCTTGCAGGTAAAATAAAATTGATTGTACCCTGCATCAAAGAAGCTACACTATTACCATAAAATCGAGACTTTGGTTTCAAATCACCCGTGATAATTAACTTGTGTTGAGGGCATGAATAGAAATAAGCTGAAGCAGGTGGATGATGAGACACTTGCTCAGCAATATAATAAGCATCTGTTCCATCTTCATATTTGTATTTACAACGAAAGAATTCACCTAATACTGGATTATAAGGTTTTTTTACACCCTAAAAATAAAGCATATTAAGTATGTGCAAAAAGAAAAAAAAAAAAAAAAAGACGTTATCAAAAAATGCTGAAAAATTAATATGTAAAATGATAATAGCCTTACTTTTGGTTTAATATGCCAACCAGATAAAAACCATTTAACAACAGCAATAAATCTTTCAGTATTGTCATTAATATGAGGAACACTATATGTATATTTGAATTAGATACATGTATACATATGTGTGTGTGTGTGTGCATATATGTGTGCTTTATTTACGGTAAAATGAATTCTGGATGTGCCATAAAATCAGTAATACGTTCCAACATACTTCTAGGTTCAAGGACAAAAGTAGGTAATGTTACCCTATGCTGTTATGTATGTTAAAACTCGATTCTTATCTGATTCTTCTCATGAAATAAATAAATAAAGAAAAAAAATTATATATTTATATTTTTACCAAATCCATGCCTTTTGTAAGTTGAGAAGCAATTGCTAAAATAATACTACGAGAGCCTTCAGCAAGCTCTTCTACATTATTTTCATTATCTGAAGTGTTATGAGGCATCTTATTAAAGAAAGGAAGAAGGGAAGAAAAAAAAAAAAGAAGAAATAAAAAACAATTGAAAAATAGATTAAAAAAAAAAAAAAAAAAAAAAAAGACAGAACAATAAATAATTTCAGAAAAAAAAAAAACTTAATTAGTTAGAATTGAAGACTCCGAGTTTATACGTGTAAGCGTGATTCTGCTTTTATTTAATTTTTAACAAGAAATAGAATTGTTCACTTTGATAAGAATCTTCTATTAACATCAATAATAATTAAAATACATAAAGTGCGTGTTTATTATTTTGAGTCTATTATGTTAATCGATTATAATAAATAAATAAAAAAATAAAAAAATCGGGTAAATATTTTCCTTATTATTTATTCGGAATTGTAAAAGATTGTCAAGTAATATCATCAAGCAAGTAAAATTTATTTTATTACAGTAATTTTATATATCCAACTGTTCCATTCTATTTCTCCCTTCATACTATAATATATGCATACTGAATCTTATACAAGTTGAAAAAAAAGATAAACCAGCATAGATAGATTTGACAGTATTTTCTAATCTCTTCTGGAAAACTTCCTCATTTAAAAGAAGGATTAAAAGTTTCGGAGAAAAAAAACTATTTTATACATGTATAAGACTCAGAAACAAGGATTCATTATGTATTATTTACGTCTAATAACTAAAACAGACAATGTAAAATACCATCGTCCATATATTTTACTTGATACCATTTTGATAACAATAACTTGAGGGGAGAAGGAAAAAAAATAGAAAAAAAGAAAAAAAAAAAGAGGCTACATCTTTTGTTTAACAAGGAATTTATTAAAATTAAAGGAGGTCTATGCCGAGGATCAATAGTTTCATATCAATCTGATTAAGGAATAAGTATCAAAGGCTTACATGTTAAAAACTCTCTAAATGAAATAAAAGATAACCCTAAAATCAGAGAAATGAATCTTAGTTTCAGATCAATAATAATTAATTCAATTCCACTTGATGTGGCTATACTGTAAAGACTATTATCGTGTATACATTATTAGTCAAGTAAATATGAATACTACAATATAAGAAAGTCACCCCCCCTTTTTTCTTTCTTTCTTTCTATTAAATATAGGATGTTCTATTCAGTTAATTTACTGGTTTGTGCTATTAACAACTAGCTATTATTTAATCGTATCATCTTCATAACTGACTTTCCTTCTGTTACTACTCAACAGTAATAATCCTATTTACATTATTTATTGTATCTGCTTCTCTTCTTCCAATCATATTTTTTGTTGTCCAAATCGTATTATGCAATTTTATGAAGTCACTGTATTTTTATTTTTATTTATTTTTTCTTTTTTTTTTTCCACCCTCCCTTCTAGTCTTTTCTTCATAGTATGTTTCGACCCTTTTTTCAACGCTCTTCTACTTTCTTACCATCTTTATTAAAGTCAACTCATTCTCGTCTTTGTTATCCTCTTATTCATCAACAACGTCTTTTATCAACGTCTATTCTGTTAAAAAGGACTGCTTTACTGTCAATACCATCTATCTATCAACAAAGACCATTTAGTATTAGTTGTCCTCGTTTAACTAATGGCGATGGTAACATTAATCTCTAAAGTTCAAATACCTAAATGTTGACTTTTTTTTTTTACAAGTGGATCCCGATCTTGTTCATTTATTAGAAGAAGAATTGAAATTCGAAAAAAGTGATGATAAAGATGAGCCACCTGCTTTTATAAAAGAATTTTTAGATACAAACTTATTTCATGTAAATTGAATGTCACAGATGTGTGTGAGGTATTAAAATTTATTTTCCTTTTTTCATCCTTCTTTGTAGATTGATGATAGACCAGGTCATGATAAAGTAATTTTATCACGTACTTTTGGAAATGAAAAGTAAGTTCTTTCTATTTCCCTCAGCAAAAAAAAAAAAAAAAAAAAAAAAAAAAAAAAAACTAAACAAAAAACAATAATGGTATAGAATCAATGTTATTTTCTCTATTTCAGATATTAATAAACCAAGCGAGACAGAAAAAGAAATTACAACTGATGATGTTGATGATGATGGCAGTGAAAAAATAATAAAAAAGAAAGATGATAGTGTAGATCAAGATTTGGAAGATGCTGCTTTTCCTGTTCGAGCCACTATTTTGATCCAAAAAGAAGGAGTCAGGGGGGCTTTAGTGCTTCATACAGTTGCACAAGATGGTTATTTAAACATTAATTCTACTCGTTTCTTTAAAGATGAGATTAAAAATATAACAGACTTTCATAATGAGCATCAATTGGAAGAAAAGGATTCCTACATGGGACCTAATTTTGATGAATTGAATGACGATATTCAAACAACATTTAGTCAATATCTAGAAGAACGTGGTATTAACACTGCTTTAGCGACCTTTTTACCAGATTATGTAGATTATAAAGAACAAAAGGAATATGAAAGTTGGTTAAACGATGTAAATACATTTATATCTGCTTAAATAAATAAAAACAAATTATTATTCATAGTCGTAATCTCCAATTAAGGATGATTCTTTGGAAATGTCACTTGGTTGAATATCTTCATTCTCATCACTTGATAATTCTTCTTGACTACTAGTATAGTCACTTGCATCGCTCGCATCTGAGCTATCTGTGTTTTCTTGAATTTCATTTTCATAATGTTGATCGTTTATGATCATAATAGGTCGAATAAATGGTTCTGCTGTTTCTGGTAAAGTAAAATGAAACTCTAATGTTTTTCCTCTCTAACATTCTACTTTTTTTAGTCATCTCATATGCATCTCTAATTCTCTAATAAGACTCTACCTTAATTCCATCAATTGAAAAAATAATTTTATCATTATTGCTCATTTGAATTTCTTTTTGAAAAGGTAAAGCTGCATTGTTTAATTTAACTATTTTGTTTGTAAGCTTTTTTTTTTTTTTTTGTTAATATTTTTAAATTTAATTCAAATCAAGTAAATGTACATGTCTTTTTATTACCATTTTTACGAAGCATCGACCATCTTCTAAATAATTAATTTCAACTACAGAATTAGAAGGTAATTAATTGATGTTCATGATTTAATTTTTACTATTTACGTTGATTTTCACTCACAAAACGTGAATCAATTCCATGCTTATGTCGGCCCATAATGATAGTTCCTCCTTTTATTAACTCATATTCTTCATTCGTTGTTTGATTCCTAAAGGACATTTCGTTGTCAAAAAAAAAGAAAAAGAAGAAACAATAATTGTTTGTTTGTTTGTTTGTTTGTTTGTTTGTTTCAAGTCTTTTTTTTTTTTTTTTTTTGCTCATTTTTATTGGACAGCTCTTCATTCGATTTTTTATTAAGGGCTAACTGTACCTTGCTGTTATTGTTTTTTTTATTATTATTATTATTTTTGACTTTTTGTTTTATAATGGGGCTAGATTCGAATGGATCGTTACTAACCTTTATTAGCTATATATGCTTTGTTTGGTATGTTTTTATGTTTAGTTTGAGTCTACTTGGTCAATATATTGGGTAATAACGAAACAAATAGATGTATTATAAAAAGTGTATTTTTTATTACATAATATAACTCTTTTTTTTTTTTTTTTTTGAAATAGACAAAAAAGATATAGACATAAACCAAGGCCCAAGTCTTCAAAATTATCAGCAACGGAAGCAGAAGGAGTTTCAATCATTCGACCTCTAAAGGGAATTGATTTGGAATTGGAAAGAAACTTGCAATCATCATTTATACAGAATTATCCCAAGTTTGAATTAATTTTTTCTGTTGCATCATCAGAAGATCCTGCTATACCCATTATAGAAAAGTTAATGGAAATACATTCTCATGTTGATTGTAAATTAATTATAGGTAGCAATAGGAAACAAATAATAATAAAAGTGGGGGGGGAGGGAGGGGAGGAAGGAAAAGAGAAAAGATGTTTAAACTTGTATACACTATTAGGAGATCTTAAGGTGGGCATTAATCCAAAGATCAACAATATTATTAAATCTTACAAGCTTGCTAAATATGACATTATTTGGGTCCTAGATTCAAATGTGCAAATCGATAAAGATGCCTTGGGTCGATCTGTGGATGCACTAAAGCAAACGAATATTGGACTCGTTCATCATTTACCTATTGCTCTTCACCCTACCAGCTTGGCAGCAGAGATTGAACATATCTTTTTAAATACAAACCACGCTAAAATGTATCTAGCGATTAATGCTGTTGGACTTGCATCATGTGTGATGGGTAAATCAAATCTCTACCGTCGTTCTCAATTAGGCTCTCTTGAGCCCTTTGGTCAGTATATGGCTGAAGATAATCATATTGGAGAAAAGTTATGGAGTCAACATTTGCGTCATGCCATGACATGCGATACAGCGACACAACTGCTAGGCTCTATGTCTTTAAGGGAGTATGTAAGACGGAGAGAGAGATGGGTTCGTATTCGTAAACATACAGTGACAGTGGCAACGTGGATTGAGCCGATTACAGAAAGCGTGGTATGTGGTTGGATGGGCGCATTTGCTATGAAAACATGCTTTGGAATTTCCCCTGGCTATTTTTTTATGTTTCATTGGATTTGGTGGTTTTTAAACGATTATTTCCTTTATTGTACATTAGTCATGACTTCGAGCGCTTCTACTTTATCATTACCTTTATGGAAATTTATGAGGGCTTGGATTTTGCGTGAAGTATTGGCTTTACCTATTTATTTATTTGCAATGGGAGGAAATGAGATTATTTGGCGCGAACAAAGATACATGTGTACCTCTAATGGATCTGCTATTCCTATATAAAGTAGGAATACTATACTGTGTTGTGTCTTAATCATATAGAGTTTCATATTATGAGAAATAAAATAAACAAATGTTCATCAGTAAATAACAAGAAAAATAAGCCTCGTTTTATTATTATTATTATTTAAGAGAAATATGGTATATCATCCAAAATAGTAGTTTCATGTGCAATTTATTGAGGGGAGAATTGAACTATAAAATGAACTTCACCATGACTAGTAAGACCCAACTTGGCAGGTAACTTGGACCATGTATCGATAGCTTGACCCTTAAAGGCATGTGAGACATCCAAATGACCCTCACCAATCTTATCTGTATCAGCTATATCTTGATCAAGGACCTTGAAGTAAATCTTGTGCAAAGATGATCCTTCTTCAATGTTAAAAGTAAATGTTTGGTTCCAAACAGGGTTTTCCGTATTTTTGATCGTTTCAGAACGTTGCTTATAATCCTTGTCAAGCCAAATTTCAATGTAAGCATCATTATGACCAGCAAAGTCTTCCTTCTTGAGGTTACGAGCTTCAACTACTGTAACAGACAGAATACCACGAGGAGCAGAGTGAGAAGAAAACATATAAAAAAAAAATAAATGTGTGTATGTAAATAATATATATAAAAAAAAAGTTACAATTTAAAATGTTGGCATCTCTTTTATATTATTCAATAAATCTTTGCATAATTTTTTCTTGCCTAAATTAAGTAGCTTGGCCGTATTTGTGTACTACCTTTTTTTTTTTTTGATGGCATAGTTTTCTTTCATGCGCCTTATTTTATTTATTTTTTCTCATGACGTTTTTTTTTTCCATAATATAGAAGAAGAAACCTTACCTTATTTAATCTGTTTGCCGATCTTTATTGCAGCATATTCACTATTTTAAACAAAATTTAGTTCCAAACTATTGAATTTGGCCAGTCTAAAAGAAGGGACGAGAAACAGATATTTATTTATACTTTTTCTAAGAAAAAAAAACACGCGTATTTGTTCTTCAAACAGACGGCTAAGTCATTTACAAGAAGAAGTTATGCATTTAAATGGCAAACAACGGGTCTTTAAAATTTGAAAAAGTTTATGCTAAAAATATAAGCATTGTATTACAGAATTCACAAAAAGAAAAATTTATCACATCATGATTACACATACACACACACACACTATTATTATTATTATTATTATTATTATTATTATTATGTGGCGTTTACTCGGGAGTGAGTTTCATCGTCCTTTCGAAGATAATCGTGTTTTTTTTTTTGGACAAGTATCATAACGGAGGTAGTGGCTTCTGTTGTAGTTAATATCGTGATTGTGTAAACTAGTTTAAACGACTCATTATTAAATATTCTAACATCTTGTAGTAAAGATGATGAAGTGAGTGAGAGTAGTAGTGGGAGTGAGAGTGGGAGTGAGAGAAAATAAGCAGGATATACATATATTTGTTTGTATAGTTTATAAAGATAATATTATGTTATACTACAGAACAACTATATAAGTATCATCCAATATCAAAGTTACAGACTAATTCATGTCGAAGCTGTATTGAAGGGAAATCATCACTTCACATGAATCAAGTCTATTTGGGAAAGATAAACAAGATTCCTATTGTATTTTCCACTCTATCTGCTAATGAATAAATACAAAGAAAAGATTGGAATACAAGTGTCAACTCACAACAAGTCGCTTAATTATCTTTTTGAAGGATTAAAATTCTTTGACTGAGTGCTATAGTATGAGAATAGGCTTTTAAATATTCTATAAGAATACTATTTCTGCTTATAAAAGTGTTCCTGGCATGTTTGTCCCCTACCTTTTTAAGAAGTGTTATTACTCAGCTTTTGGCAACAACAACAATGCGAACATTAATATCAGACTCTACTAGTAACATTGAATCCATCTCCCCTAAATAGTGTTGTCTCCATTTGTTAGAATTGAATTAAATGATACTACTGAGACTATTATGAATAATTTATGTCAAGAAATACTGTATGGATTAAAGCATAACAGTTGGTTTTGATTGTGAATGAATCATATCCAACTATATCTCAAGTAAACTATGATGTAGTTCAAGTTTACATTAAAGATTAGGAAAGTTGTGGGGGGGGAGGGAAGGTGTTAAAAAAAAAAAGCCACTGCTAGTTTATGAATTTTAGCCCCTGTCAGTACTAGTAGAAAAAGAAAATTGTTTCGGGGGAAAGAGAAATAAAATTAAATATATTGAGAATTAATTATAATAAGATGAGTTGGGTAACGTTCTCTTTTTATTATATGCATGTTTAAGAACTACGTCCAAGTTGAATCATACATATAAGATGTATAATAAATGACTCACTTTGTTGAAAATATATCTGTTGAGAATAACAATGTTGTATCTACTAACCCAGCAATTTACTGGCTATATGATATAAGTGATATATACAAATATATAATCTACATGTAGATTTTAATATCATTTTCAAGATAAGAAATAGACTCTCTCTTTAATGTTACAATTTTATTTTGTACTTAATAATGTATATTTCAGGCACAACTTTCTTTAATTACATAGTACTAGATTAAAGCAAGTTATAGAATATAGACAATATTAAATTACTTGGTCTGCTAACATTATTTTTCATTCCCAACTTTTTTTTTTTTTTTTTTTTTGTATTAGTAGTTTACATTATAGATTATCTTTAATACTACTTGCTTCATCTTTTAATTTAATCATAATACAAGGAATATATTCAAGATATATGTAATTATGATGTAATCACTCTAATAATATTATTGAAAGGAAAAGGATGAAATCGACGATGACAAGAGTAGCAGTAGCATTACTATTTGTGTAATGGTGTATTCTATTACATTTGAAACAAATAGAAATTTCTCTGATCCTTTCAGCAATAGCATAAATCTAGATTAGACTAACATTTTTTACACGCAAAAAAAAAAGAGAAAAAAAAAGGCTTTATAAACAACTAGATGTAAACTGGTTCTTGATGTACTAAATGATCTCTATCTTCTCTCTCTCTCTATCTCTCTCTATATATATAATGGAAACATGTTCCCTCAACTTATACATTATTTAGTTTGTCTCCTTTATGATAATAATAATATGTATTATACAAGTCAGTCATTTTCATAGACAACTTTTTTTTTTGTGACAAGCCATGGTATATGGCATAATAATGTAATTAACTTATAATGACTGCTTTACTAATGACACTATAATTTAACCGAGAGAAGAGGTGGGGTATTGTATAATACATGTATAATACTCTTATTTTTTTATTCGTTGAAAAGGAGTTATGATACTTTATTAAAAGTATACAGGTTTATATGAAAATTTCATTCCCGTATACTTTCTATATAGACTTGATGCTTGTTCCTTAAGTAATAAATAGAAATATTTATATTTATTAAATTTAATAAAGTTTTGATTTATATATAAATGACTTTTTTTTTTTTTGTTTCATAATATAATATTCATGTACATAAATAGCTTATTATTGATAATTTGTAGCATTTTATATGAATGGTATTCTGTATATTTATACTAATATTATTGGATGATCACTGCTCCTGTTATTACTACTTGTCATTCTATAAATACACCCTTACTATACATGACAGCAAACTAAGATCCTGAAACCTATTATTTATGGAGAAAACGCGAATGTATAAATGTGTATATGTATTAAAAAAAATAGACTATAAAAGTTTTTTTTTCGCTAGTTTTTTTTTTTTTTTTTTTTTTTTTTTTTGCTTTTTCAGCCTCCCCCCATATTGTGTCACTTGTTATAGGTTTTCATTAATATCGTAATAACTACGAGTCATCTTATTTTATCATTTTCCCATATATTACAACGACACAAACACTACATTGTAGTAATAGTGGTAGTAGTGGTAGCAGTGGTAGTGGTAGCAGTAATAGAATAATTCTACTCACATGACGCAATAATTACTGCTGCTATCCAATAGTATAAAAGTGATACGATATTAATAGTCTGGATTTAATCTCAAAAAAAAAGACTAAAAAGAAAAAAAAAACTGGGGACTATAAATATAAAGGATAAAAAATAAAATAATATATTATTATTAAAACCATACAATATAACATATATGCTTTAGTAGAGGACAAAATAAAACAAACAAATAAATAAATAAAAAAAAAAGAATGATGTGTGATACAAATTGGTGTACTTTCTGTGATAATGCAATTAGCCCTTACTCTGATTCTCTCTATTGTTCTGAGGACTGTCTTCGTCAAGACGCTTTAATGCATCATCCAATGCTAGGTTATGATTATGCTGAATTACAAGATTTCCCAGTCATTCAAAAAAGAAGAAAGTCATCAAGTATCATGATATCATCTAGTCATAAACAACAAATGATATCTTCTTTACTTTCATCCTCCCTTTCATCTATTCTATCATCATCAGACACTAATCATCAACAACCGGCAACTAATAAAGCACGTAAGACACCACTCGCTTTATGCATAGACCAACAAGAAATATTTCATCCTTCTCCATAATAGTGTAAATACTCTATATATACTTTGTAAATAAAATAAAAGTAACGATATCCAATGTATAATTAAGACTTTTTTTTTGTTTTTCATTACACTACAACTGCTTTAAAAAAAAAAGTTATATTATTTTAATATCAGATCATTTCACCTAATAATAAATTGGAATAGATGGGTTTCAAGAGCATATATTCTATCGATCAAATTAGATAGAATCTTAATAATAGTAATTGATCAAAGAAAAAAAAAGGTTTTCCGAGTAAGTGAAACAAAACTTGAAGGTTTATTTATTACTGTAATAAAAGAGTAGAAACAACTAAATGAGTTTATTACGCAGTTTATATATATTTATATAAAAAGGAGAAAACAAGATGTTGAAAGTAGAAAAAGATGATTTTCAGAATGCATATCGAATAAACGCGCACAGATCACATTCTTCTTCAATACAATGATGAAGAAGTCAAGATTTATTATGCTATTTACCACTAGTAACTCAGATCTTATTACCATGATTGCTGCCTGGCTGACTGACTGACTGACATGAAATTTACTCTATTTTTAAACATTGTTATAAATAAATGTCTTCATAATTTTCCATTAATATTATTAAATTTATTCACAAGTTCACTGTCTTTTTAAGTAAAAAAAAAAAAAATTAAAGTATTTTTTTTACCTTATTTGGATACTTTTTTTATAATAATAGAAGGAAAAAAAAAATACAACCAAGTACCCGCTACTATATAAATCAGTCTCCTTTTATTTTGCTTCCCTTCTCTCCCCCCCTTTTTTTTTTTTTTTTTTTTCAATTCACTTTATTCTCTCATTCAATGGTTTCTATCAAGGCAGTTCTTACTTGTTCTTTAATTACTTTATTAAGTGCACAATGTATTCATGCAGCTATTGCACCTACTTATCCACAGCCTGGTACAATTCAAACTGAAGGACAAACATACGATGTGACTTGGGGTAAGAAAGAAAGAAGGAAGGAAGGTTATTAAAAAGTAGTTTTCTAACCATTTATTTTAAAATAGATTTTGATGGAAAAGATCCTGAAGTTACTTATAGAATTGGTAATAAGTTTATATTTTATGTTGTTAATATCATTATATTCACAATGATTATTAGATTTTATGACAGGCTCCAATGATCAACAAACTGTCTTGATGAATGTTGCCACTGTAAATATAAATATAAATATAAAAAAGGATTTTATTATTAACCTCTGTTGCTTGTATTATTTAGGGTGTTCCTGCTAATCTTTTAAAGTATCCCTTTAAGGTTCCTCAAGTATCACCTCATTCTGCAATTTATTTCTTTATGTTCACAGGTACAAGGATAAATGAATCTATTGTATATGTGTTGTACTTAATAATAATATCGAATAGGTACAAATGGTGAAATGGCTTGGACAACTCGTTTTGGTATCATTCCTCCAGGTGGTACTTTATCTCCTGAACCTAATCGAAATGAACCTAATGGGGATCCTATTCCTTGGGGAAACGGTACCCTCGTGAATAACGTATCAATTGATACAAATGTAAATGCAACTCATTCTCTCAATGCTTCTGTTTCTGTTTCTGCTTCTGCTATTGTTACTGCTACCTCCACTTCTACTACCACAATTACAACGCCTACTGTCGATACCACTACTGTTCCTGTAAGCAGTTCGGACGCTGCAGCAGTAGCTATTACAACCGCAACTACTACTTCTACTGCTAAAACTACTACAGTTAATATGAATGCATCAACTACAAGCATGGCTTCCAATCAAGATGTTGCCGACAGTGCTGCCAATATGATTAAACCTTTGTTCACTTCTTTAACTCTACTTGTTGTTGCTTATCTTTTTGTTCTTTAAGTATAAAAATATACATACACACATACATACATACATACATATTTCATATCGTATCATATAATTGTCATATAATTTGTATTATTATTATTTTATTATTATAATTATTTTTTTTTATTAGATAATATTTTTTAGCTTGCCTTATTTAGTAATAAAAATACACTTTTTTTTTTGAAAATCATAAATAATCAGCCACTGGCTTAACATATTTTGTAATACAGCATAGAATGGATGGATCGGATAAAAGTTTATTTTATATTATATTATTTTATAACACAAGGTAGGTAATAATAATAATAGATAGATAGATAGATAGATAGATAGATAGATAGATAGTAGTAGTAGTAATATAGTAAAAGGGATATATTTGGGTATAGATATAAAATATAAATATCAATAGTCAAAGAGAGAAAAAAAAATTAGGCGCCCGTATTTGTAGTATCAACGCCATGATCTAAACTAAATTTACAGCCCATGGGGTCATAATAATAACCAACAATATCTGGATGATTGCCACATCTCATAGGATCACGTATATAACCAGGACAGCCAACTGTTAATGATGTGGGTGCCATTATAGGTAATTGATAAACAGATCCAGCAGGCGTACTTGCATTACTTGTTACAGGTGTACTTTTTGAATTCTCACTACTGTCTTCTTCTTCTTTATGTGTACTGAATGTCTTTTTAATGAATTTAGGAAGATGAATTGAAATAGCCATTTTATATGTATGTATTAAGAAGTATATTAAATAATGTTAATTCTAGTAATAGTTTTTTTTTCTTTTTTTTTTTTATTGTCTTAATATTTATATATATTTTAAAAATTTTTTTTTTGGAACAAACAGTAAAAACGGTTAGCCGGTAGTATTCCGTACTTTTCCCTAAATTGAAATTTATTGGCTATACTTCTCCAGACGATATCCATATATGGAAATTTCCGGGTCTATTAGAAATCATGCTGGCTATATCTTCTTTTCACTTTACGACCTTCGCCATTCACGATAAAAATTCTCGACCTTTTTTTTTTTTTAATCTTCAAATCAACGACACATAATATCCAATGTTTGACAAACGTGAGTCGTTATTATTATAATAAGTATAAAGTTTATATCTATAAATATATACGCAAACATTGTATAGCTTATTTACAGAACCTAGATTCAAATCCCATAGCAGATCTTTTTTTTTTCTTAAAGAAAAAAGCTTGTAATAATATATTAATAGCATCACAGTTTCTTATTATTTTGGTACATATACTCTATTATACTTTCTTTAATTGTCTAAAGAGTAGGGTTCAATGTCCTAAAAAAAAAAAAAAAAAAACTCTGAAAACCTCACACTTTTAGAAGCCTAAAATATCCCATGTTCCAAGGCCTCAAAGAGTAATCAGAAGTATCTATAGTAATAATGATAGATGAGAGCTTGATTATGCCTGCTTCTTTGGCTAAATCTGACACTACTACAGAAACCTAGTAATTAAATGCTAGGATTATTTGTATTTTTTTTTCTTCTTCTCCCTTTATATAGAATCCTTTACTTTAAAGCTTTTGATCATGTCACGATCTAATACTATTTTTAAAGACTGATATGATCTGACGTCTTTATTAAAAAAAATTTTTTTTATTGGTCAAAATCGTGCATACCTTATTCAAGCTCAGAATGATTTCACCACCTGGATAATAATAGTGAAGATCAAGGAACACATATTTAATCCGACTATGCTTGAAATATGAAAATTTATCTGTACAAAGAAGAGTGTTATTTGGCTAGTAAAATAAAGTATGACATGCTTGATTCCCAAACTTATGTTTTCAAAAAAGTAAATGAATAAATAACAATATGAATGGCCTCTCATATAAAAACAAGGAAAGAAAGAAATGATGTCCTTAGTTAATTTTTCTTATACTTTAATAATTTATTTCAAAGAAAATACCACAAATGATTGTCTTTAGTATGTTTGTAAAAAAAAAAAAAAAAAAAAAAAAAAAAAAAAAAAAAAAAAAAAAAAAAAAAAAAAACAAATAAGGCAGAAAGTTTCAGTATCAAAAAAAAGGGCCATAACAATGTAGATTTCAGTGTTGGAATCCGTTAATAATAAAATAATATCAACATTTTTACACTTTTTTTTGTGAAGGTCTATCATGTTAGAGAAATGACTACTACTATTAAACATTTATTATTCTAAAAATACATATATTCATTCGTTATTGTATAGGAACTACTGGAGCAGCGGGCGCCACTGCTGCAAGTGGAGGAACAGTAGTTCGATTATTACTAACGAAGGCAGGCCACATAGGAGGTCTCCAACTATACCAAGTAGATGGAATATATCTAGTTGGCATCCACCAACTATTATTATTATTATTCATTATGGGTGCCTTATTGTATGCAGGATCTAACATTGTTTTCATAACGACAGAATGTTGAAATAAAAGATGCTATAGCGAAAAAAAAAATTAATCTCTCTATAATCTATCTTTTTTTTTTCTTTTTCAACCCTATTCTTTCCTTACATCATTAAATCGACCAGAGCTTTGAAATAGATAAGTAATGATAAAAGCAACAATAAGACATGCTTGCATAATGTATGTACTACGATAAACTACATAATGATGTTCTAAAAAGAATAGAGACATTAGTATTCAAATAATAATGCAAGTCGACACAATCCACACACACACACACACACACACACATTTGTCCTCTTTCTCTCTCTCTGTCTCTCTTTATATACATATATATATTTACCATGCCGTCCATCTAATGTAGATGTAAAACAATATAAAAATCCAGTATGAAAATAAATATCTAATCCCATAAAAAATATATAAGAACCCGCTAAACTAGTTCCTAACCTATGCCAAAAGCATCTATAAAGTGACATGACCATCATTAAAACAATTAAGACCGTTAAAAAGATGGCACGTCCATGCTCTGATTGAATCGATAGACTTTCTTTCCATCCCAAGACCCATAATCCAGCAGCTAGTCCACCTAATCCACCCAATAGCATCAAATAAAGTTGAATAGTGACCGTCATACAGAACATGAAAACACACCCTACTATCAAGGGAACAATAAAATAAATCGTTTGTCGATTTCTACCATATGTCTCTGGGAAGGGCTCAAAGTTAGCTAACATAACCCAAGTTACAAAACCCATCGTAATAAAGCCAGCAAGTTTTTGAGTGTGTGTACCACCAGGTGTTCTATCCCAAAGTGGACGTAGTATTAACAATAGACCTGAAATAATCAAGACAATACCACCTAGGACCCCTTGAATACTTAAATTATAACCATCATCTAAGAAAAAGAAATTCAGGTGTATCAATATTGAATAGAGAGTGTATTTTTATTTTTTTGTTAATTACCTATGGCTATTGCTTTATCAGGCAAATACAAGATACCAGGTTCATAAGTAGGTCGATCTACACTAATAGGTATTGCACTCGATAATAGAAATAGTTGTGTAAATAATAATAATAATGATTTATTGTACATTCCAAGATAAACAAATAATAGTAATAAAACAAAAAAAAAAGGGAATAAATAAATAAAAGCCTTGATAATTGAATAATAACTTATTATAAAAGAAGTAGTATGTTTTTGTATTACTTTACAAACAAAGAAAATAGTAACTGCCATCTTTATGCACACACATATTAGCTCTTCTGTCTATCTGTGAATCACTCTCATTCACTCTATTTTTCTCCCTTACTTCTTCTCTCTTTCACTTCTTGTTTGTTTTATTGAAATCCATTATCAAATAACAATTATTTTTTTTTCTTTTATAAAGACTAATTATTACTACTACTATTATTATTATTATTATTATTGTCTTCTGATGATTTTCTTGTTAAACTACTGCCAGTTTGAGGATCAATTAAAAGTGATTTCCAGCTCCTCATTATTTGTTGGCACCGTTCCTTAATTGTACTTTCATTTTCAAATGGATAAGAACAAGCTGCTTTAACGACTTTGCCAATTTTGGTATCCTATAGAACACACTTAAATCTCATTTTCTCTCTTTCTCTCTTACATTTCTTTTTTTACTTCTGTTCCCTTTATGTCTTACTTTTAAAAGGTTATATGTCATTGGTGCTTCTTCAATCTCTTTTATAACTTGTAAAATCTTTGGATAATCTTCTTTTGGAATTTCGCCCTATTATTTTACGCGTTAATTTCTCTCTTTCTTTCTTGTTGCCTTTTTTCTTTCTTTCCTTACACTTATTCAGTCTTTACCTCTTTTTTATTATATACCAATCTTTGTAATCTATGTCTAATATGATAAACCCTTTTATATTCTGGTGTCTTTTTTAATTCCTCTTTATCCATTTGTGGTGAATTACGTACATCTTCTTCTTTTTCAAGTGACATTGATTTACGCTATAAATTCATATTAAAATTTCTTATTCTACCTATTCACAACAACTTACTCTTCTCTTTCTATCTTCTATAGATTCATCTTCATCTTCCACTGCCATTTTACGTGTCGTTGATTTTCTCTTACCATTTGCTGCTGTCTTTTTTGTATTATTCTTTCTTTTATTTGTATGTTCTTCTTCCTCTGCCTCTGCCTCTGCTTCCTCCCTTTCAATTTGTTCCAATAATGCAGGATTCAAAGCCTGACGTACCGCCATTTCCAAATCCTTTGTTTTGAATTTTTTTGCTTTTAAATCATTTTCAACAATTTCACTATCAAATGGTCGAATGGCATCTGGGCCAAAGAATCCACTTTTATTTTATTTTTTTTATTTTATTTTTGTAAACTTGAATGAATATTTTGCTTTCTTTTTCCAATACCCTACCCCTTTCTCACCCACTCACACACACACACACTCTCTCTCTCTTTTGTGTGTGAATATATGTCTATGTTTTTATATTTTACTTACTAGTCTCTAGAGCCATAAAAAAATACAGTATATAATGCACCTTTAGCTTTGGATTTTTGTTTCAAGACTTTTGGGGGTACTGCATGGTCTGCTTCGATCTATCATGAACAGAAAAAAAAAATAATTTTTAGTTATTTGATAAGAATACTACTTTTCCCTAATTGACAAAAAAATTTTTTTTTTTTTTAAAAAAACAAAACAAAAAAAAAAGACCACTTTACCCTTGCTGGCCACCATGGGTATCCTTTTAGTTTTGCAAAAACAATAGTTCCTGGTGTATATTCTGTTCGTTCTTGTTGACGCATTGTATAAGATTTAATAATTTAATAAATTATTTCCAAAAGAAAAAAGCAAATAGTCTTTTATGTAAATTCCGTTTTCTTAAAAAAGGGCTAATATATTGTATATGAACAATAGAATAAATAAAATAATAATAATAATAATAACAATAATGAGCGCGTCTATAGTGTTATCAATATATACTTGATTAATGTGCTTTAATTGTGTTATCTTTTAAAAGAAAAAAAAAAGGAAAAAAAAAAATATAAATAAAAAGTTTAGTAACATTCATATTTAATTCCCATACTTAGTTGACTGCTGCTGTTCTACACACTAAAGTTGGAAAATTTTCGCGAAACTTTCTAACAAAGAAAAAAAAAATAACTTTGGCAAGCTTTTTTTTTTTTGGCTTTATTTGGCAATATATAACTTTTAAGTTTAGAAAAATTAAGACAATCTATACAAACACTTAATAAATCTATTTAACACATGCGTTTTTTTTTTAAAAAAAAGAAAGAAAAAAAAAACTCTCACGTCATTCACCATTAGGACTTTATTTACTGCTTCAAGAAAGTCTCTTCTTCTAATGATTTAGTTTGTTTGATAAGGTACCAAAATTATTCTAAATAGGGTTTAATTTCAGACAAATAGGCTGTTGGTAGAATGATATATGTAGTAGCCATAGTTACCATGACGAGCTTCTTTTGGATATCAGAAGAAGTTTTCTTAATAAATAGTGTTCCTATTCAAACCATCCAGTAAACTGTCAAGAGTAGCCCCTTTTATTTCTCAAACCGGAATTATTATTATTTTTTTTTATTAGAGGAGGGGTTTCAGACCAATGCTAATAATACAATGTTTGCTCTAGTTAGTATCCTCTAATCCTATTGTTCTTCTGTTATTAATATAAAAAAGTTAGTTTACTTGAATATATATATAAAATATGACGAATAGCGTATTTGCTCATATCTATTGACTAATTAGTGGTATACTTTCTTTAAAACGAATAGCCAGGAAGACTTTTTTTTTTAAAAAAAAAGAAAAAGGTCATTGAGAGCGCTGCAGAGATAATACATTGCATCTTTTTAATATCAATATTTTCATAATTATTCAAAGACTTTATTTCGGATATTCTAACTGATCTTTTGTTGTAAGGGTAGTTTTTGTTTCTTTAAGGAACTTCTTTCTGATCCTACTGTATATAGAGTAAATACCTATTATTCTTTTTTCGGATACTTTATTTATACATCGTCTCTCTTTTTTCATACATGAGAGAAAAGCAGTATGCGTTATTTATATCAGTGTGTTCATTATAAAATTACCTCCCCCCTTTCCCCTTTTTTATTTCATGTATTTATAGAAACTGAAATTGTTTCAATTTTAGCCTTTCTACTATGCTGACTGGTTTCTTGGGTTTTAATATACATGCATATAAATGTATTTAATTTAGTAACATTTTCTACTCGAAATGAAATTTATCATCATCAACTATTTTTACTTTGAGGTTAGTAACGTTTTTTTTAATATTGTATTATGCCTGTTTACTATACTTCATCTTTATAACAAAAACTCATTTCAATTGAACAAGTTATACTACTAAATCGCTTGTATCATGGCTAATAGTCTATAGAAAAGGAAAATAGATCACTATACACACAGAAAGGAAAATGGGAGGCAAAAGAGACTTGAGATAATTTAGGACTCATTGTGCGACACTATTATTCATTTTTTTTTCAACCTATGGTTACATTATACAGGAATTATCAGGGATTAGCAACGATATATATATATATATGTATATAAATATTCGAGAATATAGCATGAATGTGAATTTATTTGTTGACTTTAGGAGAATCAGCTTTATTTTACAGTATTATTGCTATATTAATAATACATTTTATATTCTAGACTTTATATTCCACTTTCCTCCCTCCCCCTCCTGTTTTTTTTTCTATCTCTATAATCTAGAATAAATGTATATATCTCTCAATGATCGTTGCTAGCTAATAATCCTGTAATATAGCATTCCAGAGCAATATAGAATGGTTTTCTAGAACGATCTGTTACTGATAATGTAGTGTATACAAAAAGTAGGATCCAGAATAATACATAAGAGTCATAACAATTGGATTCATATATATATATATATATATGCATATATTATATTAGGTTAATGACATCCATTTAATCACTAAAATATATATTGTTTCTTATTCACTATGCTAGATAAACATGAATATAATAGAAACAAGAGATTTTATTCATTAAAAACCTACTAAGGATGATTTATGAAAGTGGGAATATCTCTTGCTATGAACAAGTCTCAAATTGATAAGTGACGCGAAAGAAAAAGAAGAAGTAATTAGGTAGAGAAAATGGGTATGTGTGTGTGTGTGTGTAAGGCGGTTAAGTTTAATGACTAAAGAACAAGTTTTTATTTATGAAAGGCTTTCTTCTTCTTCTTATATACACAAACATATATTGCTATTAATTTGTTACAATGGTATTATATTAACTAGGAAAAAAAAAAAGGAGAGGGGCTACTATAAAAAAAAAAGAGATATAATAATATTCCTGCTACTGTCAAAATCAATATCATTGTTATTATATAGAGACATAACTTGATATGTTATGTTATCATTCTTTCAAGAAGAGCAAAAAGTCTTTTTTATTTTATTTTTTGTTAGCGAAGCTCAATAAATTTTATTTTATTTTATTTTTTCTAATTGTTGTTTTTTTTTTGTAATGAGATACACAAATGCCAAAACTAATATTAGTGTTATTTTGACATTTCTTATACAATTCTATAATGCATTACCCATCATTAGTAATTCAGACATTAGTCAACAATACCGTTGGCCATCCATCATCAGCTCTCCTATGAATCAACTTTTAGGTGAAGCTTGTTACATTAGTTTATTTGAAGAATTTCACTTCTTTTCCGACATACAATGTATCAAACTTGCCATTTCAAAGGCTCTAGGATTAGGGATCGTTATAGGTGGCGCTATTGTTAAAATACCTCAGATTATTACCATTTTGCGTCACAAATCAGCACAAGGTCTTTCCTTAGCTTCCTTTTTACTAGAGACGTGTGCCTATCTTATCGTCCTTATGTATAATACACGTCTATATCATCCTTTTAGTACTTATGGGGAAGTCTTATTCATGACGCTTCAAAATATAGTAATAACTATGTTGATCGTTTATTATAATAATAAGCAAGCCAGGACGATGATGAAGATGACCATCTTGCTTCTTCTGTCAACTCTTGTAGTGACCGTGCTAATGCTCTTAACTGTCCCTAGTTGGTTTATGGCTTTACTTTATGCTGCACAAATACCAATAGGACTCGCTAGTAAAATACCTCAAATACGAGCTAATTATATAAATCAATCTACAGGCCAACTTTCTGTCTTTGCCGTCCTCAATTATTTCTTGGGTACAACAGCACGTACTTTTACAACTTGGACAGAATTAGATGATCCCATCATGTTGGGTGGTAATTTGATTGCTAGTTTTCTAAATGGTATTCTTGTTTTGCAACTTTTTATATATTGGAAAAAAAGAAAATTACCATCATCATCATCATCATTACCTAAAGTAGAATGATAATAATAACTTTATTATCCGGATTAAAAGTTAATCCGCAATAATGTCAATCTGTTGTTTAGTCATATAAAATTACAAACTAACGGAATTTAAAAAAAAAAAAAAAAAAAAGAAGTAATGATTATAAAATAAAGATATTCCATATCAATTTATATATAAATGTTATTATCTTCTTTTCGTCGTCTTCTTCTTTCTTCTTCTTCTTCTTCTTTTATAGAGCAGAAATCCATTTTCTTCCAAATTCAACGTATTTCTACCATTATGAGTCCTACAGTTGAACAAGAACAATACACAATGTCAGTTGAAGAACAAATGACATTAGCTCAACAAGAAAGGGACAATCTTGAGATTGTGAAGAAACTTCGAGCAAACCCAAACATGATTGAATACGAAGCATATAGTCATTCATCACAAAGCGAAAAAGAACATTCTATGACATTTACTGTAGAGTAGTATAATGATAATAATAATAAAAAAAAGAAAGAAAGAAAGAAAAAAGAAAAGAGGAATTTGTATGTGTAACTTATATCGATAATAATATAGGCATTAAGGGGACCTGGTATGATCATTACTACACCTGTTGTCTTTTATAACAAGACATATACCGAATGTACGACTGTACTTCATTTAGGTAAAAATGTATGTGGACATGATGGTATTATTCATGGTGGATTAGCAGCTACTATTCTCGATGAAGGATTAGCTTCAGTGGTAAGAAGGAAAAAAAAAATCTATAAAATAAAATAATAATAATAATTTTTTTTTTTGGGTGAAATAGGCAGTTCCTGCTTTACCAAATAAAATTGGATTTACAGCCAACTTAAATGTCAACTATAGAAAGCCTATTAAATCTGATCAATGGGTTGTTATGAAATCCAAGTTAGATAAAATTGAAGATCGCAAAGCTTATGTATCTGCATTTATTGAAAGTTTAGATGGCCAATTATTTACAGAAGCTACTTCCTTGTATATTTCACCAAAGATTCCTATCACTAATAACAAAGCTTAAAAGACACAGTTTATTATTATTATTATTTATTTATTTATAACAAAAATTCAATGATGAAAATAAAAAATAAAAGTTTTTTTTTTCTTTAAGATTCAATAAGCACAAGTAATAGTGATAATACAGAGCAGACAAGATGAAGGTTTTAGAATAAGCCAAGGTACAAAAAATAAACACGATACGTGTTACTGTGGTAGAAGTGAGAACATTGACATCTCAATGTGAATATTAGTAGTTGATCTGTGGAAAATAATAAAATAATGCATTTATTAAGACTTTATCAGTAGCCAAAAAAAAAAAAAAAAAAAAAAAAAAAAAAAAAAAAAAAGCAAGTACGGATGTAGTTTTAGGAGGGATTTGTGTAAAGTAAGTTGGTAATACTATCGACTTTTCTTGTTGAACTCTATTTAATTGAATTGCTGTACTATAATTAATTTTACCTGACTCATCCTTGTTTACTATAGTAACTCCCATGGAGACAGGCCAAGTAGTAGTATCTTATTGTACTTCTTTGTCATTGACACGTATAAGATCTAATATAATCTCAGAATTTAACGCGGTTATTATAATTCATATCCTATTGATTATCACACTAATGTCGTTACATAATCTCAAGTGTATTGCTGGTTTCCAATAGAACAACTGAGTACTCAAATTTATAGGATTGATCTTTTGGAAAGCAGCGTAAATCCTAATTTTCTTTTATTGTATTATTTCTTTTCTTTATAAGGTTTTCGATTTATCCTATCAAAACTACAGACCTTTTTTTTTTCTATTTCACTACCAAAGCTTATTATTATTTTTTTAAACATACTTTGCACTTATATTTGTAAAATTAACAATATCCGGCTCATATCGACTTTTCTCAAGGGCTATTTATTTCCAATACTTTATTTACTTGCAATACAATTATATATCAAGTAACTTCTTCTTCCTCCTTATTATTTAAGATTTACTTTGGTATTGTAAATTTGACCAATAGTAAATCACATATTCAATTCAATTATATCATAAAGCATCATGAGTATAAAGAAGAATTATTCAATATGTAAGCTTATTTTAATATAATAACAACAGATGTTTTGATAACGGTAATATCTTGACAAAAAGGTATACATTTAAACAGTATTCTTTCATGTATCCGCAGTGTTAAAGTTAAAGTGGGGTGTGACAAATAGAATGATGAATCAATCAAATTCTAGTTTCTGATATGCATTATAAATATCCATGAGTTAGTTTTATCCTTGTCGACTAAAAAAAAAAAAGATTTAAATATAGCTTAGCTTAGTCTAATTAAACACTATACCAATAGTTATTGTTCTTGTATATATATATATCTTGATTTGAGGAGGGTGTGTTTGTATATTAACTCATTGATGATGAGTTTCTTGATAATATTACTTTCAAGAAGACTGCATACACTTATTAGTGACTCTATCTGAATAATAGAACCATAGATGAGGGCATACTTTTTGTTGGAATTAAAGCGATATTCTTCTTACTATATTATCTTTCGCTGTTAGTAAAAATAATGAATTATTTTAGTTTATACATACTAGGCAAGTAACACGACTTTTTATTATTATTAAAGGATTTTATACATTTTAATATTCAGTCATGATAAAATACGACACATTTTTGAATAATAATAATAATAAGAGGAAGAAAACAATCATAAGAATATCATTATTAATAGAGTAGAAATTATATCAGGATTTTATTTATTAAATTTGAGATCATCACTTAATATTAGTAAAAAATGGAAAAGCCTTAGCCAATATTGCATCATTATTAATACGTCAGTAATTATTGATATAATGAAATTATAGGATGGTGAATCGTAGCTAGCTAAAAAAAAAAAAAAAAAAAAAAAAAAAAAAAAAAAAAAAAAAAAAAAAAAAAAAAAAAAAAAAAATGCTTATATTTTGAATAAACACTATTATGTTATTGCTGAGAAGTCTGTCAGGGAATAGAATCATACTTTACTTGTCACTGTCCTTTAAACTGAGAATATAGCCCCATTATATCTAAATCACTGCTTACAAAATTAAAATAATAGTCAATGAGCATGTCACTGCCCTTTCAAGTTGCTTTTCATCTTTTATATACACATATATTTGAAGGCAACATGGCCTTTGAACTTTTAATACATCTACCAGCAATGTCATGAGGATAGTCTTTACTACTGCACATGCATACTGTCTTGATTAAAAAAAGTTTAATTTAGTTTTAATCCATTTTTTTTTTTTGATAGTCTAATACTCTTATCAGGGCTAATTTCTTTACACAAATCCACATGATGAGTTTATCTCCAGTAAATCTCTGATGACAAAATTATAAAAACTCCCGCTTTTGTTAATGACTCACACTATAGAATTCATTCATTTAAACACCAAATAATACAGAACAGATGAGAAAATAATTCTTTACGTGAATCATTTAATATAAGCGGTCAACAACTTTCAACTGTCTTCTAAATATGATTCTGAGACTCTTTATTGTTTTTAAACAAACTACTAAACCCTATGCATTCCTTATATTTATATTGAATCTGTTGTGTATATAATGATGTATTACATAATATCTTATAATATACAAATTAGAGTCATGAAGGACCGAATGATATTATAGTTATTAGTTGTACACTTTATGCATACAATATTATTTGATTTCAGTTTATAAGACATTCTTGTGATGAGAAAAAACAACATTATAATAAATACTAACGTTACGAGATAATGATAAGCCAAACAATAGTGTAAAAAGTTATTAATGATAAAGACATATATGAATTATAGACTGTACCGATTAGCTATACATACACATTATTATAATATTATCTAATATACTAATTTATGAATACAATCATATACTATCTACACTATACGCTATACACTAGACAATATACACTATACACTATAATGATTTTCATTCAAGTAGTACATTGAGGAATGAATATAATACAAAGAAACTGGTTAGAATATAAATCTATATGTCAAAAGTGTCTTTCCTATACCATTCGCAAGTATGAACAAACGAGATTTCATTATTTGGTACCAAAAAAAAAAAAAAATAACCGGCTAGATCAAGCACCAATAATTTAATATTTATTAGAGTTAACTGAGATTAATTCTCAGTCAGGGCAAAGACTAGAGCTCAAACACAATAACTTTAATCATTCTATGGGAAAATATTCTTCTTTCAAGTTATCTTCATTCTGTTCCTGTCGCGAAGTAACCCGTTCTCTACAAGATATAAATATGGATTCATTTTACACTCATCTTGGAGAAATTCAGTTTATTTTTTATTTTTATTGATAATAAAAGTTTTATACAAAGTTTTCACAGATTTATTCTGTCTTATTCTTTTGTTATCTTTATCTTATCAACACTTGATCTCGAGTCTCCAGCAATTGCGTTAAAGTATAAGATATATGTTGATCGTTAAATTGACTTTGATATCTTCGTAACGCCGTAAAGTATAAGTACTGAATGGTTGGATCATTCGGACATGGTGTATCGTTAATATCAATGGCTCGGTTGGTTAAAAATAAAGCAAGAGCTATAAATGGATTGATAGGTATAATACCAATATGCTCTTGAGCAAAATATTGTTGCATGAATCTCGGATTCTTGATGTCGTTGTCTCTTCCTCCAATAACTTTTCTCGCTTAAGTTTACTTTTGACTACTGACCAAAATTGTTCAATAGGGTTCAATTCAGGTGAGTAAGAAGGAAGATATATGCAACGATATCCACGACCTTCAATATACTTCTGTATATCTTCGTGCTTATGAATGGGGGCGTTATCCATTACCAGATAATAATCCTTAAATTCTGGATGTAAATCCATGACATCTAAACAGCTAGCAATGAAGTTGAAATAATGACCAGTAACTGTGCCCCCTTTCGTTGCTTGTTTAGGAACAGGTTTACTTCCCTCTGCTTTTCTTTTTTTTTATTTGGAGCCTGAATTTTTGGTCGTCTTACTCTAATATTAACTACGCCATGTGCACATATGGCTCCTAGTATAGTTGTTGTTTTTGCCCTAGTTTTAGGCACAACAACTACAACCCTTTTTCCTTTTCTAGACCAAGCTACTGATCTCTTCATGTTAATATGAAACGCAGCTTCGTCTATGAAAACGCAATTGCTGAAATAATCCATATCAGTTTCAAGTATCTTTTTCACCCAGTGGTACCGCTCCTCAATTTTTTTAGGACTATTTCTTTCTACTGAGTGGAAATGAGCTCACTTAAGGGTGATATTGCATTTCTTGGTTACAAAATCATGAACTGCTGATTTTTTTATTTCAAGGCCGGCGAATTGACTAGTGAGATCTTCTATCATTTCTTCCAATACAGAAGATGGCTTCTCGTCAATGAAATTGATCAAAAACTGTTTATGTTCCTCTGTAAGAATAGGAGGTCTACCAGCTTTTCTACCACTTCCAGTCTGTCTCAGACTCATTTCTTCATCCCCAGCAAGCTCGGCTTTCTTTTTCCAAGTTTGTGCCGTAATTTGAGGCACTTTTATTTCCTCAGCAGCGGCACGTACACTCATCCCTTTCTCATAAATAAGGTAAAAAAAGGAGTTTTTGACCTCAGGCTTATAAGTTCAGTATGTTCTTTTATTTCCGTTATTATCTTTTTTTTTTCTTCATCCTTCGTAACCACTTGTTCCTGATCTTGTTCAATCTTGGCAGGTTTTTCAGGTGGCTTCAAGTCCAAGTACATGTCGTAATTAGTAACATCCTCAAGAGGATATTCTAATTTATCAACTTCCATCTCAAGAACTGCAACTTCTTCGCCTTCTTCATTGCGAAGGTTTCCTTTACCATCTTCATGTATAAATTGGTCCATTGTTAAAAAAAAAATTATTTTCGAAAAATGAATGAGAATATTTCCTGCGAGTAATCAATTTTAAAATCTTTTTGTGAACTATTTTTTATTTTTTATTTTTTATTTTTTATTTTTTTTTTTTTTTTTTTTTCTATGAACGAATAATTTCCGGAAATAGTGTATGTATTATAAACAATAATTTAAAGAAGTAAGACTATGACTATTTTAGCCTATGAGTGAAATTTTATTTTTACTGCTGCTGCTGCTGAGTGAGAATTTTGTATTTTATTATGAAAACATAGTAGGTTCGTTTTATTGGTCTTTTATTGGTCTTTTTTTTTTTTTTTTTTTTTTTTTTTTTTTTTTTTTTTTTTTTTTTTTTTTTTTTTTTTTTTTTTTTTTTTTTAACCCACATTTTTATTTTTTATTTTTATTTTTTTATTTTATTTTTTTTTTTTTTAAATTTCATTATTCTTTTATATCAATTGATATAGTATAAATGACTCGCCTTCAATCCCCTTCAGAATGGGTGGCACCTCTTGTTCCAATTGCTTCTTTAGCTATCTTACCTTTAGGGCCTATCTTCTTTCCTCGTTTTTATCTTTTATTATTATTTCTTTATTTTACAATCTTTCTGTATAGTCAAGTAAATCATGTCTGTAAATTCTTTCTAACGTCTCGTAGAATTCGTATGACAATACGTAAATGGAACAAAAGACTTGATACAACCATTCTTTTGGCCAATAATAATAATTCAAACTTGAAGAATCGAATAGCCACAACTCATTTAGATGATGAAACCTTGGAAGATATTGAAGAGAAATTACATTATTTTGATGATACATGTTATTTTCATGCCTTTATTTTACCAAATTATTGTGAATCTGAAGAATTATTAAAGGATACAATTGGACGTATTGCATGTCATAGGTGAAATAGATTGATAGATAAAAATATAAAAATATGTATATGTGTATATTAAATATTCATTATTCATTATTTATATTCATATGTATATATATACACACACATATATATATATCATTTTCTTTTTTTTTTCCAGTAATGCAAATACACATTATGCTATTATTTTAGCTATGGAACAATCAGAACCAGGTTGGGAATCTAAAGCTCAACGACTTGAATCTTATTTTGCAGATCAGTTTGCACATTTTATTATCACAGGTCATCCGTCTAATATTCCTGGAGAAAGTCAAGGTAAAGGATCTAATGTAGCTTATGCTGCTCGTCATGGTTGTCATCAACTTGTGACTATGGGCGGTATAGATCGTGGTCGAATCATGATCACTGTTTCTGATTCAGATTCAGCCATTCCAGAACTTTATATTCGAGAAGTAGAAGAGGCGCTTCATCGTAGTGAAGATCCTAATCATATCGTATGTGCACCACCTATTTTCTTTTCAAGGAATTGTTTTGATGTCCCAGCTGCTGTTCGTGTAACGGATATTACATGGTCTGCTATGGTCATGTCTAATTTAAGTACAGGTCGTGGCATGTCTATCCCATGTAGTAATTATTCGCTGTCGATGGTTTTAGCAGAAGAAGTAGGTTATTGGGATACGAATGCAGACGCGGTGGGTGAAGATATGCACATGTGGCTCAAATGCTTTTGGAAGACGCATGGTCAAGTTCGTACAGCACCTATCTATGTTCCTATCAATTTAACAAATGTTCAAACAGAAGGTTATTTATCAAATGTGAATGCTCGATATGTACAAGCTAAAAGACATTATAATGGAGTAGCTGATGTTGCTTACACACTTCAACATGCCTTCTGTACACCTACCATCCTTCTCTATGAACGTATCAAGGTATGTTTGATTATCTTGGAGGCTCACATGATTCCAGCTACCTCGGGTTGGCTTATGTTTGCTGCCGTACCCTTTATGCAATTCATTTTATTCCCTCCCTTTGAATCGCTAGCCTCCTCCATTCTCTCACCATCACCTGTCAATAACCCCATCCTCACAAGTGAATTCTACCATCATCTCTGGACACTCACCAAGATGCTTACCTTATTCTTACCTTTACCACTCTTTGCCACACTTGCCATTTATGAACAATTACATCGTACCATTGATAAAGAATTTCTGAAAAAGCAAAACAGTCGTGGATGGCTTCATTTATTAGATTATGTCAATTTACCTATTGCTGCTTGGCTCTTTATGACTTTACCATCTACTCAAGCTTGCATGAAACGATTATTAAATCGAGAAGAAAAATACATTACTTCTGAAAAGTTATTCAAGTAGAAATACATCATTATCATTATATATTATTATTATTAGAGAAGAAGAAGCAGTTTTTTTTTTCACAACATTTTTTTTTAAATCTTAATTACAAACACTAACTATGTAATATCATATTACCTTTTTATATAAATGTATACATAAATGCATGGAATTATAACCAAATACTTTTTTTTTTCATCCTACAATTGAAAGAATTTCAACAAGTGGGTGAGAGAAAAAGAGGCTTCATTGTGTAGTAGTAGTAGTAGTAGTAGTGATAGCTGCAGCAGCATGTGTGTGTTCCTTAAAACCATAAAAAAAATATGCTTTGATAGTAATAAAATAAACTTTTTCTAATGATGACATTTTTTTTTTAAAAAAAAAAAAAAAAAATGCATTATCCTAATAATTGATTGGTTTAATTTATCTTCTATGGCATCTTCATTATTTTTTCCTCTTAACCAATATTCATAATACCACATAAATAAGATTAAAAGTGCGACTCTTTTTTTCTTTTTTTGGGAAAAAGCATACGAATATTCGTTTCCATTTTTGGTTACACATTCTTATTAAAAACACCCATGACGACAATGTACAACTGTGTTTTAAAAAAAAAAAGTGACAGCTCGTTCTAATTATTAATAAAATGATATTAAAAAAAGAAACAAATAAATCCATTCCCTTTTATTTTTTTTTTGTTTTTGTATTTATTATTATTATTAAATCATCATCATAAATGTCTGCTGCACCTACTACTTTTCATGGTTGGGCCTGTCACGGCAAAGGTAAACAAAGCATAACAAAACAACTACCATTTCTTTATATGCTTAGTTATTCTAAATTGGGTAAATATAATGCTATTCTATAGGCCAAGAGATGGTTTGGGAAGAATTACCTCTTCGTGCTGAAGATGACTACAGTGTAGATATGGACGTTACTCATTGTGGTATCTGTGGATCTGATGTTCATACAATGGAAGCGTAAGGAATTAATGAATTTCTACTTTTATTGCTATACTTTTTTTTTTCTCTCTTTTTGACATTTTTTTTTCTCTTTTAGACATTGGGGTCAACCCAATTATCCTGTTTGTGTAGGCCACGAAATTACAGGTGTTTGTACTCGTGTTGGTAAAAAAGTAACGAATGTGAAGGTGGGTGATCGTATTGGTGTAGGTGCTCAATCCGGATCTTGTCATGAATGTGGCCCCTGTAAGTCCGGTTTTGAGAACCTTTGTCGTGGTGGTCGAGGTCGCTATACAGGCACCTACAATAGCTTTTGGCCTAATGGTGATAAATCCTTTGGTGGTTATGCTACCAAATGGCGTGGTGATTGTCGTTTTGTTTTCAAGATCCCTGATAACATGACAAACGAAATCGCTTGTACTTTCTTCTGTGCTGGTGTCACTACCTATGCCCCTCTTAAGCGTCATCATGTCGGTCCTGATTCAGTTGTTGGTGTGATGGGTGTTGGTGGTTTAGGTCATTATGGTATTATGTGGGCAAAGGCAATGGGTGCGAAGGTGATTGCCATGTCTCATAGTGACAAGAAGCGTGATGTGGCTAAAGAATTAGGTGCTGATGACTATATTGTCACTAGTAATCCTGAAGAGATGGACAAGGCCAAGGGTCAATTTACTCATATCCTTTGTACGGGTACTGGACGTGATTTCAAATGTAAGTTTATATATATATATATATATATATATATCTAAATTCTAAATTCTAATTTATATGATTAGGGGAAACATATACTGCACTTTTTAAACCCAATGGTATCTTTATTAATGTCGGTCTTCCTGAATGGAACTTCCCTGAAGTAAACCCAATGACTCTGGCCATGAGTCAAGTCAATATCTGTGGTTCTGCTATTGGTTCTCCAAATGAAATTGAAGATATGCTCAAGTTTGCTGCTGAAAAGAATGTTCGTCCTTGGATCAAAAAGTATCCTATGAAGGAAGCTCCCAAAGCTATTGAAGATTTCAAAGCTGGTTTACCTCGTTTTAGATTTGTCTTGGAAAACTAAGCATCTGTTGTTTATAGACTCTTTTTTTTTTTGGAAATAAATATGTATAAATATATATAAATATAATCTTTGTTAAATATGAATGAATATAGCAATATATACATATACATACATACATACATACATATATATATATGTGTGTGTATTTAAATACTCAATACTATAATATTGATTCTTGAAGAGTAAGAATGACCATGACAGTATTTGCATGCGTATCTAATATGGCAATGATGTCTCCCTTTGTCCGTGTAAAAAAAAAAAAAGGATTAATATAAAATAAGCCTCCAATGACCTTTGTTATAAACAAGTTTTCTACAACGTATATATTCATAAAGATGTGTGTTTCTTTTATACACAATTTTCAATAATGACATACTATTATGCACAGCAACATATATTATCTGATTGTTTGTAGTATAAAAAACCGGAAAATTAAGGAAATTTTTTTTTATTCTCCTATAATAGAAAGCAGCAACTTTAATAGAAACTCTTTGTATTACATAAAATACGAGTTGTTTATTATTTCTTCCTTCTTTATTCACACACACACCCTTTTTATTTATTTGTTTATTTATTTATTTGAATGGATTTCTCTACAACACATTCAGAAACAACGACAATAACAGAATCTTTACCTTCTTTAATGTATATGGATTATCCATCTACACAGCAACAACCATTGTTATTACCTTCACCTTCCTTAACAGTGACTGCAAATACATATTCAACACATAGTAAAAGGTCAAATAAAGTCCATGTATCTGCTGCATGTGTAAAGTATAAACGTGTAAAATAAATAAAAAGACTTTGCTTATACGGTGCTTATTTTAGATAAATTGTAAAAAGGCACACTTGGCCTGTGATGGTAAAGATATAGATACAAATATAAACTCTTCTTTACACTTGACTTACACCATCTTATTTTCAAGTATCTAGACCTTGTCAACGTTGTATAAATACAGATAAAGTCGATACATGTCGCGATATTCAACACAAAAAACGAGGACGTCCAAAGATGTTACGAGATGTTAATAATAACAATAAGATTAAAAGATCACTTTATAAATCAGTTACATTACCACCCGACCTATTATTTTCAATGAATCGAGATATGATGACCGTAGAGTAGTAGTATTCCTTTTTTCCATCAATTCAAGTACATGCATGTAGATTATATATTTATTTATTTTATTTATGGTATAGATATTCTTATCAATGGATCTTTGTTGTGCTAGAGTCTCGGATAAATCCTTTCAATATCTTGAACTCTATCCTCAAGAATTCGCTCATCGTTCTCTTTATGATTTTTTAGTACCTGGTGAAAGTCGAGAAAGTCTTTCAAGATTACATCGACAATTATTAGAAAATATTAATCAACCATTACCTCAAAACCTTTTACGATCATCCTCTGAAAAGTTTTATAACACACCTTATGAGTTATTATTAACTATCGCAAATGGTTCTTTAACTCTCAAAAAGACGTTAACCTTTTATCGTGGAAGACAACAAGAACAAGAAAAGATGGCGTGTCAGTTTTATTTAGGTGGTGGTTTAGGAACTGACATTGTAGAAAAAATAGATTTAAACCAACTTTATATCGTTTGTGTTGCTACAACAGTCATACAGCAGCAACAGAAATCAGTTACCGAACCTTCTTCTTCTATCGCAGGTCAACAACAACAAGATGATCATCTTGTTTCCATCGCAACACCTTCACCTACATTGGTCTCATCATCATCATCGTCATCATCATCATCACCCACAGTCAAATATGATCACCTTATTGAAAAAGATAATCATAATGGAAAGTACATGACCCATTCCTCATCATCAACATTAAATGTAGATTATAAAAAATTTCATTCCACTACGAAAAGAATCCAACAACATCAACACCAATTTATTCATCCTAATGAACTTTATTATTTACAAACAACTTCGAGTCGATTATCAATGGAGGCTGTAGCTCATACGACTGCTTATTTATCAAAGACACAACAGTCATTTACATTAGCAACCGGGAGTGGTCCCTTAGCTGCCTTTAATCAACATACAACTACAGGCTGCTTTAAATAATAGCAACTTGTTTTATCATCGATTTTTTTTTAAGCTCACCAATAAAAAAAAACATACACACATTTTTCTTAAAAAAAAAAAAAATAAAATATAATATAATTAATACGAGACGCGCGCCCCCCTCCAAAAAAAAAACTATATCTTTTTTTTTTTTTTTCAAAAATTTTTTTTTTTTTTTTTTTTTATAATTTGTATATTTTTAATCAAGGTGAACAATAATTCCTCTTTGCCTATATGTATATAAATATATAAAATATTAAACGTATACACCTAATAAATAAATAAAAAAAAAAATTTTTTTCTTTAAAAATATATAGTGTGTAGTATTAAAAAAAAAAATAACGAAAGGGGGGAAAGAAAAAAAAGGGTGACAAATAAGGTGTGCTATAAAAAGGGTAAAAGACATCATATACATATATATTTTTTTTTGTATATAAAATGTTCATAGAAAGTAATTATGCCTTAGTGGTCTTCTTGGTGGCAGCTTTCTTTTTAGGAGCAGCAGCAGCAGCAGCCTTCTTCTTGGGAGCAGCTTTCTTAGTAGGTGCCTTTACACCAGCCTTTTCAGTAGTAGAGGCCTTCTTGGTAGCAGCAGCCTTTTTAGCAGCAGCAACTTTCTTGGCAGGTGCTTTCTTAGTAGTAGTAGAGGTAGTGGCAGCAGCAGTAGTTGATTTTTTAGTAGATGTGGTAGCTGCTTTCTTAGTATCAGTGTTAGATGATTTCTTTGTAGAAGCAGCCTTCTTTGCTGCAGCAACCTTCTTTGTAGCAGTAGCCTTCTTGGTAGCAGCTGCTTTCTTAGCAGCAGCAACCTTCTTGGGAGCAGGCTTCTTTTCAGACTTTTCAGCCTTATTCAATTTAACAGTACCAGAAAGACCTAAGAATCAATTAAGCACGTTTAAAACTCTTTTTTTCCAATTATTCACCCTCCCTCCCTTCCTTCTTTTCTCCTCCCCCCCCTCCTTTTATATATATCATATTATTTAGTTACCCTTGGGGAGAGCAAAGATATTCTTAGCATGACCACGTTTAATAGCAGCAGCAATTTGAGAATCAAAATGAGAACCAGGATTAACCTTATAATTGGCTAAAATATATTTCTTGATAGCAGGTCTAGAAGAACCTTTTCTTTCCTTCAAGGCAACAATAGCATCTAATCAAAAAAAAAATACATTTCATTAGTATAAAATAAATAAACGACATTTTGTTTGTAACCTACTTTGAATCATAGCCTCATACTATTCAGACCAAACAAAAAAGGGGGGGAAGGGGAAATAAAAAGTTAATAAAGATGATAACAAAAAATAAATATAAAAATAAAAAAAATTTTTTTTCTCTCTCTTTATAAATGTATTATAGTCTATCAATGCTTACAGTAGGATGATCAGATTTCTTTGTACTAGTAGTTGTTTTCTTTTCTGTAGCAGAAGCAGCCATATTAATCAATATTGTTATTTATTTTTTTAATGAAAAAAAAAAAAGAAGAAAGGAGGAAAAAAAAAAGAAAAAAAAAAAGGAAAATGAATTAAATTTCGTGATGGGCCTTTTTATAGTTTCTACAAAAAAATGATTTGTTCCCTTGCTGTCGGCCAATCATTTGATCTGCTTAATTGTTTTTTTTTAAAAAAAAAAAAAAAAACATATATTTTTTAAAAAAGGAACACGCGCTTAAAAAAAAAATTGTCTGTAGAAAAAAAAAAAAACTATATCTTTTTTTCTTTTTTTTTTTTTTTTTTTTTTTTCTTGCTTCCTCATATTTTATACATAAAGATAGAAAAAGATATACATTTATATATATATATATATATTTTTCAAATAAAAGAAAACATTTGATAAAGTCTATCATTTAGTTTTTTTATAAATACATTTTTATTATTGTTTTATTTCATCTTTTTGTTTTTTTTTTTAAGTGTATTATTATTATTATTATTATTTTTTTAAACATGTGTTATTAGTAGTTATTAAAGAATTTATCAAAAAAAGAAAAAAAAAAAAAAAGAAAAAAAGAAAAGACAAAGCATTAGACTACATATCTTTGCTGCATGTCTACATTCTATGTTCAAGTTTTATAATAGGCATGATATATTCTAGATTCAAATAATTTAAATTGATAGAATTAATGAGTAAAACAAATTTTTCTCATTCCCTCTCAGTATACATCGTTCTATTTTATTTTTTACTACCTGCGAGTATATACATTGTTCTATTTTATTTTTACTACTTGCGAGTATATACATGGTTCTATTTTATTTTTACTACTCGTGAGCACATACATTGTTCTATCTATTTTATTTTATTTTACTTCTTGAAAGTATATAGCAAAGAAATCAAAATATGATTCTTAATAAGATAAAGAGACATACGATGTTTTAGTTGATAATTTTCCCTTTATAGATATTATTTCAGCCATCAAGGAGAGATGAACGTTATTTACTACATGTTCTATAAAAGTGTATATCTAATTCCTCTTCTCCTCTACCCCCTTTTTTTTTTTTCCTTTCTTTCTTTGTGAAAAACTGTTTTTTTTTTTGAAGTTCTTGTAAAGTATTTTGTTTTAATTGAATTAATTTAAGATTCTTCCAATAAGATTCATCTGATTCAATTTATTCTGAGTATGAATTAAATATACCGCAAAAAAAAAAAATAAAAAAAAATAAAAAAAAAAATAAAAAAAAAAAATATAGATCTTTATACACATTTTAGCATTGTCTGCATAAAATGATAAATACAATAAATATATCAGCCTCTTGACTTGATGATTATGACTGCATTTCATTATCAGGAACAAAAAAAAAACTAATAAGTCATGATAGGTTAATAATTCTATGATACTCTCTTATCATTCGATATAACATATATTAGAAGGGATAATACATATTATCGTTACTGCTACTACTATTATCATTAATAACCAAGAAACATACACTTAACAGAGACATAAATAAATAAAAAAAATTTTTTTTTCCTTCTATAAAATCAATTATATAAGCATCCTTGTATGCTACTTTGATAAAGTAGTATCATAGACCACAACAAATTAGAGTTAACTAATAACGTAATAATGATGTTTAATATTAACAATGACAAGTTTAAAATAATGCTATTATATGAAATAAAATACTACTACACTGAATATGTATATGCATCTTTTGCTTTAAATCAAGCTTTCTAATTGTCCCCTTCTTCTCTGTTCACGTAATCTCTCTTGTTCAATGATTCGAGGATTTACTATTCCTTCTGTCATCATACTTCGTGTAGGTATAGTTACAAATTTTGGCATAGGTCTTGTTTCTAAATCAAGTGAGATATTGATAGCTTTAACAAAAAAAAAAAAAAAAGGTAAATAATAGACTATCTTTTTTTTTTCTTTTTTTTTCTCTTTTCTCTTTATCTTTATTCATATAAACCTGCTTGAAGATGTTCTATCCAGGAAATCATATCTATATGAGAAAAAGTGCGTATCAATAATTGAGGTCCTTGATAGAGTGTTAAACGAAGGACATTAGGTTTTCGTACATAATCCAAGGCTCGAGTTGCTTCTGCACCACCTAAATTCAAGGTCATGATAGGAGTATAATAATAATTGTGATAATACTCATCTATAGGTGATAAGGCTCGACGAAGGAGAGATGAAATGGTCGATGAGGATGTATTTTGTTGACTACTACTACTACTAGTAGTAGGTGATGCACGATATATTCGTAACATAGTTCCACAGAGTTCAATATATAACCTTCTAATAAAGTAAAAAATTACAAGTGAATGATGATAAATGATCGATAGAAAACATATACATACATACATACATAAAACACTTACTTCCATGTTCGCCGTCTTGGTTTAGTATGAGATGTATCTAAAGTCTTTTTGATATAAACATATCCCATTTTGTACACCGTACAGGAATAATGAGGTAATTCTTCTTTACCTTCTTCTTCTCGAGGTAAAATGACCATGGATCGAGTTGGATTCAAATCATATTGTCTTGTTACCATCAAATCATCTTCATATTCAGGTGGTTGAGAGTGACGATAAGAAGGTAATTGAATAGGTAATGAAACAGGACGATGCGTCGTTGTTGATTGTAATCTTTGACGACGTGTTGTTGTTATGACAGATGATGATGCTATTGTATCATTTAAGACTTGAAGCGTCTTTATCATATCGAATTGTTGACGAGATTCCTCTGATACTAACGAGTCATCATCATTATCAGAAAAGGATAAACAGGAATGATAATCATGACTGCTACTACTACTACTGCTGCTACTACTACTACTGCTACTACTACTACTACTACTACTACTACTACTATCCACCAATGAGAAATAAGCATTAAGGGCCTTTGTGCATTGAGTTAATAACCTGATATCTTCTTCCTTGTTTACTTTTGATTTAAATTGATATACAAAATCTTGTTCTTCTTTCATATTAAGAAATGTCTGAAGATCAATGCAACCTTCTTGTATAAATAATAAGGGTATATAACTTTCCAAAGAGAATTGTGACAATAGTAAACAAGTTAATTTAAATTTATGATGAAAGGAGATATCTATAAATATACAAGTAAGCTTATAAAGTAGAATTAAAAGAAGCATTGGTTATTACCACCACTTGATAATAAATGCTTATCTATAATAGTAGAGGATACTACTTGTTTCATATCCTATAATAATAACATGTATATATAAGAAGAAAATAATAACAACAATAAAAGCAGTAAGTAGTAATAGCTTTAAATTAAACTAAATTTAAGGTAATTACTACTACTACTACTACTATTTTTTTTTTTTTGAGTAAAAACGACGTCAATCGTTACTATTATAATTGATAGGTTTTATTAATAAACTAAATAAGATGAATGATGTCAATAAATTGATTCTACTTTATTTCCCTCTATTCACATGTTACTATGGATTTGAGAAAAGGCATTTATTAAAACTCCATAATAATTTCCCGAAATAAAATTGACAACAATTTTCCTTACTATTACTAATACAGAGGAGATGGATACACAAGTAAGTAGTGAAAAGTACTCATTTTGACTTATTATGCTTACATATCCATAATGTGAAATAACAATAATAATAATAATAAAGTGTTATTCGTTTATCTTATTGATGACGCCATATACTTTCTAATCATTCTTAGTAGTATTCTTCCTGTTTCTTTTTGGTACCTATGTGTTGTTGCTCTTTTAGAAAATAATCATAAACTCACTCACTTTATTTCTTTTGTCAGCTGTTGTGACGTTTATTATGCAGCAGCCTTTTTTTTTTTTTTTTTTTTTTTTTTTTTTGAAATAAAAATAAAAATAAAAATAAAATAAAATAAAATTAAACTCAGCAGTACCATCATTTTGTTTCAAGTCTTTTATTAACTACTACTACTACTTTTACATCAATAAGCATACTTGAATGATGATTGAATTATTACCTAATGAGTTACTCGAAACAGTTCTTTATCATCTCACTTATGAAGAAGTAGAAACATTATTAGAGTCTATTCCTAAGGATACCTATTCAACATTAGCACAACGAATTACAGGTTACCTGAAACATCAATACCCATTTCAAACTGCCCTGTCTGTCACTATACAACAATTTGAGCAAACATGTTTAAGACAACAGCAAGATACCCATCATCATACAGCTCAACAATTATTAGCCTTGATTTGTGAACAAGCTGAACCTCTTCCACCTTATGATCGACGATCTCGATTTACTGAACTTTTAGACATCGTGCAACGGTTTATTTTACAGCGTGTTCTTTATTTAACTGAACATTTTGTTGCATGTCAAGAAGGGTATGCACGTTTATGTTTATTAATAAGAGATATTTATTTGCACACTCCTTCTATTCGAGTTCTTCATGATCCTGTAAGTCTAATTATATATCTATATATATGCATATAGATGACCCATTTTAATGCATATACATATATATATCTATCTATGATAATAGAAATATAGAAGAAGAAGTACAAAATATCCATTAGCCCCCTTTTTACCAAGAGATTATAGTTACATGTGGCGAGAGAATTGTAATGAAAAACGACATCAAGGATTTGCATTATTTTTTGGGCGTTTATTTGATGTCACTAGTCTTTATTTAGAATCCAATTTAGAAGGAACATTTGAAGAATGTATAAGAGAAGGATTAGTGACAGGACATGCAGAAGATGTCTTGATGCTTTGTGTAGCAGCGAATCGAGAAGTCGATGTAGAAGGAATGTCGATGATGGTCTCACTAGCAGGTGAACAATTAAGACATTATTTAGATACAATGGAACATTGGATTGCTGAAGATCCTACACCACAACAAGAATTAAGGATACAACAACAACAACAACAAGACATAATAACGACATCATCACCACCACCTGATTGGCTAATACCTGATAGATATAGAGTCCATCCAGATACTAAATTTCGATTAAAGGTAAGAAAAAGAAAGAAAGAAAGAAAGAAAGAAAAAAAGAAAGAATGAAAAAAGAGTGATTCAAGTGTGATGGTTATTAAGATTACAATCATTTAGTTAATGAGTCAATTATATTATAATAAAGGATGGCGTTGGTTTTAATATTAAATGCTTGTTTGTTGATTATGGACTGTCGGCATTAAAAAAAAATAAATATCCATTTTTAGTAAATAGATCCAATAGTAATCCACCAAAAAAAAAAAAAAAAAAAAAGATAAATGTGTTGTATGTCGTTAGTTTTATAAGCCATTTAAATTAAAACTTAAAAATGTTGTTTTGTTTCTAAATTTAAGCAGCAAATAAATAAACACATACCATAAACGACCTTCTTTTACTCTTTTTCTTTTTTTTTTCTTTTTTTTTTTTTTCTTTATACAAAATAAATGATTTGATTTCTTTTTCTTTTCTTTAAACAAAACAAAGCATCTATTTTATATATCAACAAACCTATTTTTCCTTTCTTTTCATTTATTTATTCCCTTTTTATAAAAAGCAAAAAAATAAAAAAAAATTCAAATTTATAACAGTAAAAACGAATTACTAGCGGCAACAAACGACTCTTCAGTTGCTTATATCAAGAGCGATAGTCATCGTCATCCGTTGCAATTGATGGGTTTCCCAGTTAATTCACAATATCAACTCTATTTATTATGCTGGTAAAAGGAAAAAAAAAAAAACCAAAAATCTTGCTAAAAGTTTTAATTAATAAAATGAATGCTTATGTAATCTATATTCTGCAGCTTTGTATCACTTGGGGGTTTTATGGTAAAAAAAAAAAAAAAAAAAAAAAAGACGATATATCCTATAAGATACTAATTTTTTTTTGTTATAGTATGGGTAAAATAAGAACATCCTTTTTATTTAATAATTGAAAAAAAAATTGACAATATTATATGTTAGCTATGATAATGGAGTTATTACATCTATCTTTACTATGGCATCGTTTCAACATTCTTATGGAATAAATCCTAATTATGGAGCAGGATATGCAGTTGTACCTATTGCATTGGCTGCATCCATGGTAGCCTCATTTGTAAGGATTTTTTTTTAAGAAAAAAAATAGACAAATGATGTGATATATGATGAATAAACTTCTTTTATCTAGCTTTCAGGTCTTATTGCAGATCGATTAGGAAGAAAGAAATTATTTTTTATTGCTACTATTATACACGAAATAGGCAGTATAATCGAAATTGCAAGTCATAATAAAGTATCTTTTTTAATAGGTCGAAGTATTACAGGATTTTCTCTTGGGTAAAAATATATAAATATACTAATATGCATATAATGAAAGAAATAAACTGACTATTTAATAGTATCTTTAGTATGCTTATTCCACTCTGTATGTTTCAATTCTCTTTTCTTTTATATCATCAAAACTCACCTTTTTTCTTTTTTTATATCCAAATACAGATCAAAGTGAAATTGCTAAACCACAAAATCGTGGTCGTCTGATTACTATTTATCAAATCTTTATCACATTTGGATTTTTTGTTGCCTTTTGGTTAGGTGCAGGTACTTTTCGAATCTCTACAAATGCTTCTTGGAAAATACCTATTGGGTGTCAACTTGTACCAGGTCTTTTAATGCTTATCGGTCTCTATTTCATTCCAGAATCACCTCGCTGGTTAATTTATAAAGACCGTAATGACGAAGCTCTCAAGATATTAGCTCGTCTAAGATCTCATGGAAATGAACATGATGTAGACGTACAAATGGAATTTACAGGTATTGCTCAAGACTCCTCCTTTGATAAGCTTACTTATACGACTCCGAGGTTCTTCCTGCTCTTAAAAAAAGGTACAGAAAACAATCGAAAAAGAACTTTACTTGGCATGGGTGTACATACCTTTAGTCAATTATCTGGCATTAATGCTATCTTGTAAGTTAGTCCCAAGATATATTATATTATTTTTTTTTTTTAATAATCGACAATGACTGTATAGATTTTATTTACCACATATATTAGAATCAGCAGGAATTAAAGAGCTTTATTCAGCTATGGTAGGAAATGGAGTAGGTGGTGCAGTCAATTTTATCGCAACATTGTTTGTGTTATTTTATGTAATCATAGTATGAAACAAAAAAAAAAAAAAAAAAAAAAAAACAAAAAAAAAAGATAACGATTTAACCCTAATTTTTTTTTTTTTCTGCAAGATTGATAGATGTGATCGTCGAGTTATTTTAATAGTTGGGGCTTTAGCAATGGCTATTTGTATGATCACGATTACTATCATTTCAGCCCTTTTCAATCAAAGATTCGTTCATAGTAATGATCAAACATATGCAGATGATGTTCTGAGTACCATTGATAATCCAGTTGTAAGTTATGCTATTCTAGTCTTACTTTGTGTCTTTATAGGCTTTTTTGCTCTAAGTTGGTAAGGTCCTTTTTATGACGATGATGAATGAATTATTGTTTTTTTATCTTGAATTATATAAATTAGGGGCCCAATAGGTTGGATCTATCCTGCAGAAATATATCCTCAAATGATTCGTGCTAATGCTTTAGCTGTCACTACCTCTTGTAGTTATCTATTTAATTTATTTGTTTCTTTAGTATCTCCTATCATGTTTCGTTATATTCTTTGGGGAACTTATCTATTCTTTGGTGTCATGTGTTTCATAATGGCAATCGTTATTAAAAAATTCTATCCTGAAACAAGGGTAAAAAAAAATCAGATCTATATCTTATCTTTGTCGCTTATTATTACATGTATTTTATTATTATTATTTAATAGGGTCGGTCATTAGAAGAAATTCAACTGATATTCAGTGGGGCACTTATCGATCAAAGACCTGACGCACATCATCCAGCTACAGCAGCAGAAGCATTATTGCATCTAGAACAGATCCAGCATCGTAATACTTTGAATCAACAATCTTCTTTTGAATGGTCAAATAATATGATTGTCTCTAAGCCTCTTCATGTCACTCGTATCCTTTATCCACAACCTTCTTTTTCTACTTCCTCCTCAACAACCTCTATCGTTTCTTGTAAATCTTTAGTTATTGAATCTAATCCGAATAATCATTGTTCAACATCCTAGTATGTCTTTTCGCTTTGCTTTTTTTTTTCTTTTTTTCTTTATATGTAAATATTTTTTATGTACAGTTTAGCAAGTAATATTAACGTAAATAATTTAAAGAAGAGCTATTCAAATGTAAAAAGCTATTCATAAATAAATAAATAAAATAAATAAAAAAAAGAGCACAGACATCATTAAATTTACTACAATCAATCATGCATATCATTTTTATTTTACGTAAGCGATTTTTTTTTTTTTTGATATCAGCAGCAGCAATCTCACTCTCTACACTAAAATAATAACTTGAAATAGATATACACAAAGGCATTATATATACATATTTGTGTATATAACCTTTATTTCCCGATCTTTTTTTTTTTTTTTTTTTTTTTTTTTTCCTCCCTCCCAAAAACAGCCAATCAGAAGCGAATACATGTTATTGCTAGTAGTTTGTTCTTCGTTACTAGACAATTTCATTTTCTTTCTTTCTTTCTTTCTTTCTTTTTTATATATATACTAGAATGCGTATTATTATAAACACAATTTTCTTTCTATTTCAATTCTTTCTTATCTCTACTTTAGCTTTGAAAGAACCACCTACTCATTTACAAGTTGGTAAATTCTCATCTTCATTTCCTCTGGATCTTTTTTTCTTATATAAATATGTATTAATGTCCCTGATTTATTAATTTGCATTATAGGCATTAAAAAACGTATTCCAGCTGAAGAATGTACCATAAAATCTACTAATGGGTAAATTCTACTATAAATAAGTAATAATAATAATAAATAAAAAAAAAAAAAACTGTTTGTTAATAGTTTTAATATATAAATACACATGTATATGTTTTTTTTTCTTATAGTGATCAATTAACTATGCATTACACCGGTACACTTTTTGATACAGGAGTCAAGTTTGATAGTAGTTTGGATCGTAATCAACCTTTTGTATTTAAGCTTGGGCAAGGACAAGTTATTCAAGGTTGGGATCAAGGTTTAGTTGGGTAAGAATAACGCATTTTTTTTTTTAAAAAAAAAAGAAAAAGATGAACTATTAGTATTCAACGTGTCTTTTCCCTCAATATAATAATAGTATGTGTATTGGTGAAAAACGTAAACTGGTTATTCCTCCTCACATGGGTAAAATTTATTTTTAAAAAGGAAATAATGAAGAATTAATGACATCATGAATAGGTTATGGTGATAGAGGAGCAGGAGGGGTTATTCCTGGTGGAGCTACTCTTGTCTTTGAAGTTGAATTATTAGATATTAAGAGAGGATCTAATCATCATCAGAAAGATGAATTTAAACCCATCTCATCAGATAAAGATCAACTTGTAACGTAAGTGGGATATATTATGTATATGAACAAAAAAAAAATATAGCTGTTTATTTATTTATGTATAAATGTTAGATTTACTTCACCTAGTTTCATCTTCTCAACTGCTATTATTCTTGTTTTATTCTTTTTTGTCTTTAGATTAGCACGTAAACAAGATATTGCAGATGCGAAAAAGGAACAAAAAAGTCAACAGTAGTTCGGAATTAGTCTTTTTGAGTCACTTTATCTTTCAAATGTTGGGATTGATTTTGAATAGATTCAGTAGTTTGTTTTATTAAATCAGGATCACCACCATCTTCTTTATTCTGTGATTTACTATTTTCATCATAATCACCAATTTTAAATAAACCAGTAGACCCAGTGTTTTCCTTTGATGTTTTACTTGAAAAAGGGTTCTTTAATTGTCCAATATCCATGTTTTAGATACATGTATTTATAAAGAAAGGAGAAGAGAAAAAAAAAAGATAAATTTTATGCTTAAAACTATATATGTATGCATGTATGTATTTATTTTATTTATTTATTTTTTTTTCACTCAAATGACATCATTAAAAGGGTGACGGGGTAAGACGCAAATAAGGTTTAACCACTTTAACCCCTTTTGGAAACATGGAATGAGCTTCTTCAGTAGAAACAGAAGGATGAATAATCACATCATCCCCCTTCTTCCAATTACCAGGTGTTGTGATACGATATGTATCACCCAACTGAAGTGAATCAATAACACGTAAAATTTCATCAAAGTTACGACCTGTAGAGGCAGGATAGGTCAAGATTAAACGAATCGTCTTTTTGGGATCAATGATGAAGACAGATCGAATAGTAAAAGGAATACCTTTAGCATCCACGTTGGTAGGGTCCTATTAAAAAAAAAAGAAGGTAATAATAGTAGAGTAAGTATATTTATACATGTATATTTTTTTTATATATAAACATATATATGATATAATTAAATGATGACTTGCTTGATAATCCAACATGTCATAAAGAATGGAGATTCTACGATCTGCATCAGCAATGATGGGGAATGTCAGATTAACATGACTAATTTCATTGATATCAGCAATCCATTTTTTATGATCTTCAAGACCGTTTGCAGATAAGCCAATCACTTTAACTTGACGAGCATCCCATTCATCTTGAAGGGCAGCTACGAGACCTAATTCAGTAGTACAGACAGGTGCTATAGATAAAATAAAATGTGAATCATATAACTTTCTTTTTTTTTTTTTTTTTTTTTTTTTGGGGGGGGGAAGGAGGAGGTAATCAATCTTTACTAAAGTCGGCAGGATGGGAAAAGAGAACGGTCCAGTTCTCACCAATGAATTCATGGAATCTAATAGGTCCTTGTGTCGTTTCAGCCTCAAAATCTTTTTTTTTTTATTTTTTTTTTATTTTTTTTTTTTTATTTTTTTTGAAATAGATACAAGTTTGAATTAGAATAGTGTGTATGTTTATTTATTTTTTGCTTGCAAGTTTTTTTTTTTTTAGAAAAAACAATGGAGCTTACCAGGAGCAACTGAGCCAAGTCTAAGCGTCATTTCTTTGAATATTTATTTATAAACAAAAAAAAATAAAATAAAAAAAAAGCTTTAAATTAAATACACTACTATGTGTAATGATAAAAAAAAAAAAAAAACTAGAATGATAAGCATGTTAATTGTCTGCTTATTTATAGAGAACAATAGCATTATGAAAACTCCGTTTGAAAGCACTATTATCTGAAACTATTAAAAAAAAAAAAGGTCTTCTGATTACAAATAGACTTTAGAAAGTAACAGGCTTATCTTACTACTGCTGGCCCCTTTCATTGTCTGTGATAAATAGATAATCAAGGTTTTATTGGTTAAACTATCTTATCATAGATTACTCTACACGAGGGTTTATTACTTTGATCTACTTTACAAATGCCTCTTACAAATTATATTAGAATAAAGATATCTTCTTAAAATAAAAAGCCCCTTCCTTCCTTCCTTCTCCCTTACTCCTTCTATCCTGATTTTAAGCCTCTTTGATCTCTTCTACAAATTCTTCTAATTTTTCTGCTGCAATACTTTCTTTTCGTTCATCTTTGCTATCTTTCCACATATTAGGTACCTTTACTTTGACAAATGCTGGGTAAACAAGTTTATCAATGTATACATTTCTTAACTTTGTTTGTATTAAATCTCTTAATTTTGGTATATCTTCTAATTTTGTTTTGGAGCCTATCAATGATTGAACATGAAGATCTAATACAAAATCAGAGTGAGATGAAATAGCAATATAGCGTTCAATAATTTCTGGTAAAGTAGTAGTTTCAGGAGGATTTATTAATTCAATTGTAAGCTATACAATAGAAAGAAGAACAAGTCAGTATTACATACATACATATATACTTATTTATATACTTACTGTGCCCGAGAATCGTACAACAGATAATATTAAAGAAATAGGAAGTGCTGCAAATGACGGTTTAGGCCAATTTAATATTAATTGCGTCTCAATACCTAACGTTATTTGATCATTATATTCAAAATCAATTTCAGCCCTCTTTAAAAAATAAAAAAATAAAAAGTATTAATGAGTCAGTACATTAACTCTACTATTTGATTTATACTACCATCGATCCAACTTCATCTGATCTCCTAATTCTCGCATTACTAAATATCGGGTATTCTTCTCCCAAGTTAAGCTCGGTTACATGAATCGTACCTAGAAATTTAGGTTTAACGCCTCCATTCAAAATATCATCAAGACACATCATGAGTCGGTTATTTATTTTGGCATCTTGTCGATATTGTAGAATAACTTGAGCCAAAAGGACATTAAGCCAATCTGTACTTTCTGGTGGATGATGTATCACATCATAATAGGTTTTCGATGTAATGTGTTCATTAGGTAATAATGGTGCTGTTGCTGCTGTTGCTGCTGTTGCTGCTGTTGTTGTTGTTGGTGCTGCTGCTGTTGCTGAAGTTGTTTTTGTATTCATGGACGAAAATCTTGAAATATAAAGCTATGTAATATAAAACAGTTAAATGATAGAATTCCCTCATCATAAAGTGTATACATGTATATATTTATATATTTTACTTTTTTATCCGAATTTACGTCCTCTGTGAATAAGAATTTCAATACAAGAATAACAATAACGATAATACTTAGTTGACCAAGAATAAAGCCATTGATAAATGAAAAGAATGAACTACCGCCTCGTGAAGAAGGAAGGCGACATATCTCTTTTAACTCACTTAATACTTGTTCTGTAAATATAGACTCTGTTGCTTTCATAGATTCAATATAGAGTTACGCTATATAAAATACTGCTTCTTGTAAAATAGAATAGATACATGTATTAGTATAAAAAAAAAAAAAAAAAGAAAAAAAAATACTAGGGCAAGATAACGTTTTCCAAAGCAGCATTAGAATTTTTTAAATACAGCTAAATAAAATATGGCAATGAAAATTTTACCTTTTTTTTTTTTCTTTTTTTATATACATTTTCAATTAATTTCAGTCATTAGATTTAATCATGTACAGACCTCCACCTCCAGGAAGCTTTTCTCCTTCACCTGTAAATTTGAATTTATTAAATAGATATATACATATATCTTTATACTGAAAACTAACCCTTTGTTTAGTATGGTGGACCTCCTCCTTTAGGCATTAGACCACCAGTAGCATCAACATGGCAGAGACCTCCGCCACCACTTCCTCCTAACACAGTAAAACATTATTTATAAACTAAACCTCATATAGTACCTTTTCCTTAATCCTCTTTTCTCTCTCTCTCTCTTTTTGTATATAGTCTGTTTGGAAAGAGCATACAACACCAGAAGGTCGAAAATATTGGTACAATAATATAACAAGACAAAGCACATGGGAAAAACCTGACGAATTACTTACACCAGAAGAAAAAGTTTGGAAAGAATCAGCCTGGAAAGAATATACAACACCTGAGGGTAAAAAATATTATAGTAATTCAAAGACAAAACAAACTGTTTGGGAATTACCTGCCGATCTAAAAGGTAAAAGAAAAAGAAAAAAAAAACAGAGGGGGGATGGCGGTTTTTTTTTTTTTCGATTTATTGTAGCTAATGATCTTTTAATAGAAAAACTTGAAAAGGCTAAAACTGCAATAAATGAAAAGTATATATACACACACACATATACATATATATATACATTTAATAACTAATCATCCATGTATAGAGCATCTATTAAACCAGTAATGCCTATATTACCTTCAACTTCTATTCGACCTCCCATTTCAGCATCCTTTGTCTCAGAAACTATTCCCGAATTTGCTACAAAGCAAGAAGCAGAGGCTGCCTTTTTCCAATTATTAAAAGAAACCGTAATTATAAAAGTTTTAGTCAATGTTGTTCTTGATCTAACCCTTTTTTTTTTTAATAATTAACAAAAAAAAAAAAAAATAGGGTGTTAAATCTGATTGGAGTTGGGAACAAGCAATGCGAGCGATCATTACAAAACCTCTCTATAGGGCTCTTAAAACAGCAGCAGAGCGTAAAGCAGCCTTCCAAAGTTGGGCAGAGGCGGAAGCCAAACGTGAACGCGAAGCACGTGAAGCAGAAGAAGCACGACTTCGCAAAGAGTTTGAACTTGTCTTACAAGAACATGATATTAAACCTTATACACGCTATCGTACATTTATTAAATTATGCGGCGATCAACCTGCAGTTAAGGCCTTGTCAGATCGACAACGTGAAATTTACTTTGATGATTATATACAACAATTACAAAGGGCTGAAAAGGATAGGTTACGTGATTTAAGGAAAGAAAATATGGAGAAATTTGCGAGTTTATTAAAATCAATTCCAGAAATTACATACAAGACATCATGGAAGGAGGTACAAGAGTTGTATGAGGATCGTAAAGGTGATTTACAATTTGAGGGTATGGATATGTTGGATTTCTTTTCTGTTTTCGAGGAATATCATAGAACATTATGGGAAGAGCCCCTAAGAGAATTAGAAATAAAAGTTCAGGCAAGAAAGAGGAAAGAACGAAAGGCAAGAGAAGGATTCAGGGTAAGCTTTTCTCTCTCTCTCTCTCTTTCTTTCTTTACACAAAACATGAACGCTTACATATTACAATAGGAATTATTACATGAATTAGTCTCAAATCGTAAAATCAATGTACGCACTATGTGGAAAGAGATTCATCCTCTAATCAAGGATGATCCACGCTATATTACAGCTGTTGGATTACCTGATTCGACACCTCTAGATATGTTTTGGGATATCATTGATGATTTAGATGAACAATTCTATCATCAAAAAAAGATGGTTTATCATGCTTTAGAAAAGGCCCAACAAGAAATCACTTTGGAGACATCCTATGAAGATTATTTAAAGGCAGTGGCTGATGTTAAGGTCGAGCCAGAAGAAAATATAAAACTTATCTTTGACTATCTACAGTCAAAAGCAGCTCAACGTATTAAAGATGAGAAAAGAAGACAAGCTAAACGACTTCGTAAAAAGATGGATAACTTTAGACATGCTTTAAAACATGCCGTTAAACAACCTTCTATTCAAATTGAAGATACATGGGAAATCATAAAACCTCGTGTAGAAAAGTTGGACGAATATAAAGAGCTTGATGATGATAACTTGAGAAAAGAAGTATTCGAGAAATTTATAAAGCGACTCAAGGTAAATAGCCAAAAAAAGAAAAAGAAACACACGCGCACACATATAAAGGTAAGGCTGTTATAACTCTTCTTCCTTTATAATAGGAAAAGAAAGAGCGTGAAGAAGGAGAAGAGGATGAGGAAGAAGAGGAAGGAATAATTAAAGAAGAAGAAGAGGATGAAATAGAAGATAGTAGTTATCATCATAGTCGAAGCCGTAATAGAAAAGAATATGAGTTAATGGAGGAATACAATAGAAACAAAAAGAGAAGAAAGGTAGAAATAAAATAAATTTACTTTAGTCTGTTTATTTTATTTACTTGAATTTTTTTTTCTTAAAAAAAAAAAAAAAACAGAGGCATGGATATTCAAGTGCTGAAGAAGGTGAAGCACTTGATGATTATCAAAATGATCCTCGAAGATTAAAATAAGATCCTTACATTCTAAATATTTTTATAATAAAATAAATGAATGAAAGTGCATTAATTTTAATTGTCGTGACTTATCTCTTTTCTTTCTTTCTTTTTTTTTTTTTTTTTTTTTTTTTTTTTTTTTTTTAATTTTACATAAAGTCTCGATACATGGCAGCATCACCTACTACAGCTCCAGTAGATAACCCAGCATCAGAACCTGATCTATCAAGCACCGATTATGCCCTGAAAGTCATATTTAGTCAATTTGAGAATGCTGCAAATATAAAAATGTCCTTTATACTCAACATGGGAATTGTAAACAAACTGGAAAATTCAATAAAAATTAAAAAAAAAATATTAATACATCTTGCTTTTAGGATGTTAATGTTGATCTCAAAAAGATATTAGGACAAGGCCAAGACAAGAACTTTGATAAATTAATATATTCTTTAGCTTCCTTAGCTACCACACAGCAAAGTGCAGTCATTGATTCAGTCATGCGTTGGAGAAAAACTAAAGTTGAACCCTTAGATCCTTTAGTCATAAAACGAGTTAGGTATAACAAGACAAAATATTAAAAGCCGAATGATAGCCAAATACCTGAAGGAATCTCTATTTATAAATATGTATTCATCTATGTTATATAGTGACACCGCACCACTTTCTCGTAATCGTGAAATACAATCCATTCTAAAAGAAAGACAATCAGTAAAGAGGAATATTTCAAAATTACATTTACATGTAATATATTAATTTGTATCTTAAAGCTTGCATCTGTTTTTATTCTTTGTAGAGCATTGATAGAAATCATTAAACGAGTCGCACCAGGTTCTTTACCTGACGATCTAGGTGAAAACCTTGAAGAAATCGTATTTAATCAACTAAAGAAAGCAGATCCGTAAGATGAAACTACTCCCTCTCCCTCTCTAAAAATAATAATGATAATAATAATAATAAAAAGAATAGTATAAGTAACTTTTTTTTCATCTTCTGTCATTATAGTGAAGCTATCAAAAGATCAAAAAACCGAACAGCAAGTATGGAACTCTTTGCAGAACTTATTGGCGAACTTTCAAACATTCGTTTTGCATCAGTTAGTGATCGTTTCATTGCCGAACTTGAAAAATACAACAGTCAAACGATCATGAAGGAACGTCAGAGTCATATGGAGATGCTGATTAAAGGTATGCGTTACCTTAAAATCAAAATTTATCCTGTGGATGCACTTGAAGAGACTGCTGATTTCTTGTCAAGTTGTGCCAGCTTTTTTAAAAATTCACATGGTGTCAAAGTCAAACATGCTTATGCAAAGCTTTTCGTACAATTGTTGTTACCAATTGCTCAAGTAGCTGTCGCTGAAGTTAATTTTCCTTCTTGGGTAAAAGCAATTGATATTATGTATCCGAGAGCACTTAATATGACACTTAAACCAAGACATACCTTAGTCGGGTATCCATTGGTTACAACACTACTCTGTGTAAGTCGTAAAGAATTTTTTGCAACTAATTGGACTTCCTTTTTAGAAAGCTGCTATCAAAAATTCAATAAGGTATGTCAATATATATACCACTAGTAGTTGGATTTCATTGGGGTTTAATTTTGATAACAGGATAAATATACCCGTTCAGTAGCATTAGGCTGTGTATCCCGATTAATTTGGACTTATCTTTTTCGATGTACAGAAAGTACTTCTATCACTTGCAAAAAAGTGGATTCAATCATCAAAACTCTCTTCCCTCCTTTTCGACGTACTGTCTACCCAGCAGATACTAATCTAGATCACTTTATTCTCATTGTTTATTTTGTACTGATGCGAGATATTGATTCAAGCACAAAAAAAATCATCTTTTATCTCCTTAATACTGATAACGGTCACAACTGGGATGTGATTAGTCCTGAACGTATGGTTATTGCTCTATCTGCATTTAGATTACTATTAAGAGATCTTGAGAATAATGTATCACAACCTAACTTTCCAACTGATATTGATATGACGATAGCTAACAATATCTCTCCATGTACAGCGGATATTCTCACTATAAACCTTACAAAACTGAAACCAGATATTATGGAACATATCCAAAATGCTATTTCTAAAACTTTATCTAGTCTTGATCAAACATTTGGTCGCCTACTGGTATTGGACGAAAAGAATATCATACGAGGTGCAAATTATTATACCTTACAGAATAATGCTACCACAACTACAGCTGCTACTATAGGATCTTTAACTACAGCAACAACAACAACAACAACAACAACAGCAGCAGCAGCAGCAGCAGCAGCAGCAGCAACAACAACAATAACAACAGCAGCAACAGGAACAATAACAACAACAGCAACAACATCAACATCAACAGCAGCAGCAACAACAACAACATCAACATCAACAGCAGTAGCAACAGCCACTACTAATGTTAACTATTCAGTACCCATCTTTACCAATACAAACACAGATGGAGGAGCACAGATATACCACGCCTACGCAACTTTTTCTGTTTCATACACTAAAGATAAACAGCCCTATTTTGATGTCATCAAGACAATCTTAGAGGGTATACCGCGTGTGATGCCGACAGGTATACCATTACAACAATTGGTGGATATGTTGGCAAGGTACAGTGTACATACAGATCCAGATGTAGTAGGTGCTGCTACATCTGCTCTTTTACGTATTGCCTCTCAAATCGATAGTCAAACTGTTCTTGTTGGTTTCTCAAATTTTATTTCAAAAATTGAAGACAAGTTCTGGGATATAGTTCAATCTTTAGCAATTGCAACAACAAGTGGTTTTATGATATTGTATGTAGAACTCTTAAAGATATGGATTGATCAACATGATCAACTTAATCATGATGTTGTTCAGTTGATAGAAGCAAATGCTCTTTTATTTCTTTGTCATCAGTCAGCTTGGGTACGAAAATTTGCTGTACAAATCATTGAGATAGTAGGTCGGAAGCTAGCAACAACAACAACAACAACTGAATGGTCACATCTTTATGATATGCTATTAAATGCAGATTTAAAGACACAAACATCACAATCAAATGAAATTCGTAATCGACTTACACAGCATCAACGGCATAATGTTACATTTTTACAGATTGCAGCTAGTGATCATCCTTTGGATATCACAATTTGGAATGCTTGGTTACCCACCTTATGTAAGCTCTGTTTTAAGCATTTTCCAAAGATAACAGCCATGACACGAAGTAACATGTGTGAACGTATCCTGCAGATTCAACCATCTATTTTAGCTCTTGTTGAGACAGCGACAGCGACGGGGACACTGAGTATAGCGAAGAATAGTCAAAGAGCAGCAAGCGTTGATCAAATCGATCAATGGCGTATTTATTTAGTCTTTAGTTCTGCTACTACCATCATAACGACAGCGCATAGTTTTTGGCCTCGCAAGTCAACAGTGGTCGATATCTCTACACCACGCGACTTTTTCCGTCTATTAGTGCCTTACTTGACCTCTGAGCATCGTCAAGTTCGTGAGGCAGTCATTGAGGGCCTGGGTCATATCAATCATAGCGTCTATCACCTACTTTTATCTGAACTTGAACCCTATCTAAAGACTATCCTAGATGATGGTAAACAGCGCAATAATCAAAAGCCCTATCAAAATAAACGCTCTAAAAAGAATGATCGTTTGCGTATCTCTCTGATGAATTTACTTGAATTGACCGCTCCTTGTCTATTAGAGAACACAATTAACAATGCCATGGACATTATCATGAGTTATATCAAGGAGACTAAATCATTTTTAATGGATACAGAAGTACAGATTGAATGGGAATATCAACGTCTTCGAATTCATCTGTGTGGACTAGTCGATAAGTTGTATGAGGGTATCATGAGGTTAGAGGATCCAAGTAAGGTGATGTCCTTTGAGACAAGGTTAAGTTTATACAAAATGTTTGAAGAATGGTGTGGATATGGTGTAGCCGCTAAAACGGCTCAGCAACGTGAAGCAACCATGATGCGAGACGTTTTAGAACAATGTAAAGATTTAAAGGAAAGGGCGTCAATGACTCAAGTGATGGAAGAAGAAAGAAAGACATTAGAGTTAGCATCGCTAAGTGCTATGGCAACTCTTTTGGTATTTTTTTTCATATTAAGATAAATGATAAATAGATATAAATTCTCATATTATTTTTTTTTAGAGAGGTCCTTTGTATGCTTATCTAGGTCAGAAAAAAGCACGACAAGCGATTATTCAATTTGATACATTAAATATACTTAATTGGATTGATGCTATGTTTGAAAGTCGAGATCCAAAATATCATGCCATTGCAAGGTAAAAGAATAATAATGTTAAAAATAATAAAAATCCAAGTAACTTTGTAACAAATTTCCATTATCATCTTTTTTTTTTTCATATACAAGACGTGCACTTGAAGAAGTAATGATGTATAACCAAGATCAATTAATTTTATTGGATGATATTATTGAACAATGCTATGCAGGTAACCCCAAATTAGAATTCACACAAGGCTACTTTCATGCACTAGCAGAAATTGTAATTCGTGTCGAAGATTATCCCTGTCATATTCATCAAATCATGAGTCTTGCTCTTTTCAAAACAGGTGATAATAAAAAGGCGATAAGAAAGACAGCGATTCAACTTTTAAGGGTGATTGAGGAGCGTGTCTTTGCTGATTCTTGTGCAAAAGAATACGAAATTGGTATCACAAGTAGTTTACCTGCAATCTACAAACATACACAGACATTATTATCAGCAAGGTTAGCTCTTGATCATCCAGAGCAAACTTACTCAATGTTATCAGAGATCACTCAGCGGTTTGAACATATCAGCCCTAATTCACAACGTGAGGTGTTGACATACATGTTGCCCTGGCATCGTAAGGTTGATCTTATGGTGGGCCCTCATGATACAGACTTAAGTGCCTCGGCCTACATGGTGCTCTCAAATCTTTATTATCTTACGGTAAAGTTTGGTGATATTTATGTAAAGGAGACAGCAGCTCTATGGAGCCAATTAGTGGAATATGGTCGAAATGTACGAGCGATTATTATGTATTTACTCGATATGGGGCAAGAGACACGTAACCCTTGGTTCTTGATACATGCAAAACGTATCTTTGTCTGTTTAGGTCGTACACATGCGTTTGCCGCTATCATGGAAGAGGTCCTTGCTGAAATCACACCACGATCCATGGTCCCGCAACTGAAGGAAGCAAGTCAACGACATCTGCACGCTTTCCCGCTTCTCTTTGTTGCTGATGCACAAAAAGTTTTACCCACTTATCCTAAAAAGCCTGTATTCTCCAGAGGACAACTGGCTATGGTCTTTTTAGTTGATTTAGCCATTGAAGCAGGTGCTGAACTCGCACCACATCTACCTCTGTTGCTTCATTGTATCTTTATTCAATTGGACCACCTCATCAGTATTATCTGTGATCAATCACGTTGCTTTCTCATTAACCTCATTCATTCCATTGTTGTGCGTCAGTCTATCGATTCTGAGTCCTCTCAAAGGGCATCTGAAGTTATTCAGTGGCTGGTTGAAAAGGAAGGGAAACGTCTCTGGGCTTATGAGAATCTCACTCCGAAAAACCGTCGTATCGCGAGTGCCAACGAACTCAAACAGCTCTTACAACGTGTTGTTGATGTCTTTTCAAATGAGGACCCCGATTTGCGTCAGAAATGGGGCGAAACAGCTTTAAAGTGGGCTACCTGTTGTTCAGTTAGACATATCGCCTGTCGCTCCTTCCAGTGTTTTAGAGCTCTCATGCCCGCTTTTAATGGGCATATGCTAGCTGACATGTTAGCTCGTCTCTCGAATACAATCGCAGATCGATCAGAGGATATTCGAGGATTTGCTTTGGAGATTATCTTGACGTTGACAGATGTAGCAAAATCCATGGATGATTTGTTTCCACAATTATTCTGGGCAGCTGTAGCATGTCTCTACAGCCCTTACGAATCTGAACATTGTGAGGCCCTTCACCTGTTAGGTGTCGTGTTGGAGAAACTGGAGATGCCCAAGTTGATTGAGAGTTTTCCTAAAAATTGGTCATGTGAGTTTGATGGGCTTCAGCCACTGCTTCTGAAGGGCCTACAGTTTTCCTCAGTAGAGGAAGATACCTTCCGTGTTCTTAATTTAATTTCATTGCAAGAGCATTTACCATTGATTGATCCAAATGAGACACGTTTGATGTATTTGTTATTAGGTAGTATACCCCGTCTATTGCATGGTCTAGATGGTGAGACAGTGGATGCTGAGGCAATGGCCTGGTCTCAAAAATTAGTTTTGCTGTTTGAGGGCTTTACAGATATGCAGCGTATCTTATCCACTTACCCAATTCAAAAGGGTAAATTTCAACAAGACTATCTAAAGCAGATCTTGAGTGGTATGCGTCCTCTCTTTTTAACTAAATATTGCCAACAAGCCTTTATGTTTGCTCTCTTATTGGTGAAAAACAAAATTCCTTACTATCGCGAAAAATCACTCTTACTTATTGAAAGTTTAGTGCCCTATGTGACAGGACAGATGATGGGTATGACCCCCGTCAGCATTGATATTGCTGCCCTTGAGCCCCTCTTACAGCTTATATCGACTGAATATGCTGATCGTGCCATTACGATCCTCAACTCTGGTATTCAGACAAGTCATGGTGGTGATCTCATTTGGGGACTCAATAATTTTACCGAAGCAGCAAGAATAACAAGACATAACATCTATTCTGTCGTCTTGGAATGTTCAACCAATGTACCGATTGAACCCAACATTCAATTTTCTGTTGAGGATCTGTCCATGTTGACAGGCGAACCGTCACAGGTGAACGGCTTACCTTCTGTTACTTATGGAAATGAGATTATGAATGCACTTAAAGATTTAGACGACTTCTTTAATGAAGATGGGGAGCCTATGGCTCCACCTCCACTCGTTATTAATGTTACAACAACTAATTAACTTTATTCAATTTTTTGTTTTTTCCATCTTGCTATACTTGTTTAGAAATGACTTTACGATGATTGAAAGTAATAAATGAAGGTCTTGTATCGATTTTATCAATTGTCCTATAAAACAAAATAAAATAAAATAAATAAATAAATAGATATGTATACATAGTTGTTATTATGAAATTCATTTAGTTTACATTTTTGCTACTTCAAGTTCCATAGCGATAGGTTTGAACGCGTCTGCAGATAGAATGACACCAACAAGAGCTACAAAGGCTGATACTAAGCATTCTGTAACGATCTAAAAGAATTAAACCAAGTAAGCTTTTCTTTTCTTTTCTTTTTTTGTTAATGCATATATAGCTTTTATCTTTTTTTTTTTAATTTTTAATTTATACTTCTATTGGAAGTGTTGTATTCACTTCATCAACTGCTTTAATGTATGCGAGATCTAGGAAAAGAAATGTTAATGTTTAAGATACTAAACATATACTGATATTTTTTAATTACGCTCATAAGTTGAATAAGCTGAATGGGCAAGAAATAAGGCACCAAACAACCCTAAGAATTTCCCTAATTGTTGAGCACTCATAATAAAAATAAAATAAAATAAAAAGCTTAAAATAAAGTCATATTATACAGAAATGTGTGGATTCGTATTTTTTATTATTATTATTATTATTATTATTTTTAGCTTCCGAATTGTATAAACTACAACACAAATGTGTATAAAATAAGAACATGTATTAAGCAGAAGCTTCCACAGTTGAGGCTTGTTTCTCTCGCAAGAGTCGTCTTTGTTTAACATCCCAATTATATACACGTGCAGTATCTAGTATGCAAAAAAAAAAAAAAAAAAAAAAAAAGAAAGAAAGAAAATGAAGGTTAAGGATAATAAATGTCTTCTTTAACTTATTTTGATCTAATCCCTAAAAAAAAAAACAAGAAATCAAAATTAAAACAAAAAAGGATACTGACTTCCATAGTTGTAATCTGGCTTCTCAAGAATTCAAGATCTTCCAATGTGTTTTTTAATGACGTTTTGGCTGTTTCAAGCTTTGATGTTAACAAATCCTTGGCTTCTTCAAAAGTATATTCAAGCATCACATTAGCCTATACATATATGAAATCATTAAGTAAAATTTTCAAATTTATGTACATGTGTATTTTTTTTTTTAAAAAAAAAAAAATCTTTACACCTAACCAAAGATAGACAGTACCAGAGGCTTCGATTTTAGCTTTGGCATATAATGTGTCGTTTAATTCAAAATCAGTATATAAGGGTTCATCTGAATCCTTCTTTTCTGCCAACACATCGACCATGGCAATCGTCTTTTCGATCTCGGGAATCTTTTCTTCTAATACTTTTCTACGCTGTAATAAATTGATTTCCATAAATTTATATTTACTACAAAACAAGTTGGGTCAAAGTAGGTTAAAAAAAAAAAAAAAAAAAAAAAAAGATAGAAATAAGATTTACCTAATGGCTTCTTGAAACTTTCTTAACACAACCTCAACAGGTTCTGCTTCAGAAACATAGTCTTCAACGCGTTCCTAATAATATAAATCTTTAGTTTTGTTGTTTTTATTCATATTGTTAATAAAACATACCACAAAAGGTGAACTAGGAATACCACGAGGATTTGATGTTAATTTTTGTTGACTCATTGTTTAACCGAAATGTATAAATATTTATAAAAAAAAAAAAAAAGAAATAGATTTATAAATGAGCCTTTTTTTTTTTCGAAATCTTTCATTCGCTGAGATTAAATAGACTTTAATTTATTTTTGGTTTATAAAATCAAGGGGAAGCTATATTCTATATGTATAAATATTTATTCCTATATTCTTTGTTATAACACTTTAAAAAAAAAAAGTAAGGATTTTCATATAAAGTAATGTTAGATTTTTTTTTTAATGGGATTTTTTGTAGACTCGAAGGCCATCGTTTGAATGGCCCTTCTTGATAGCTAAACCAATTGCTTCGTTTTCAGGATCAAAACTTGTATAAAAGGCATTTATTAAACTTGTACCAAGCACCCAATCACGCTCTGAATTACCACGAGTAATTTTAGTTTCGCAACAGTCACGATCAGCATCTACAACAGCAATCCAATATTTTGCAGGCAATTCGACAATATGATCTTCAAGTGTCATTTTCAGAAGAGGTAACTCAGCAGCTTTAGAACATTTGATAGCATAGTTACGCTTTGAAGGTTGGTATTGACCACCAAACTTGGCATGGAAGGCATCAGCTTGGTCAGGTGGCATGGAAATAAAACTAGTAGATGTAGAGACAGAGGCAATCGCATTAGGCTGCTGACGGAAACGAAGAGGACCAAAGCTAGCATGTCGAATACAAACGTCCCAATTCTTGGCTTTAGCACCTGGATTATCAGCTAAACGAATATATTCCATTTTACCTTTTATAATTGACTTATCGACACCACCTAAAATAAGGTAGCCAGCAGGTTCTTCTTCTTCTGTGTCGGCGGCATGATTGTTTCGTTTTGTGAGAGCACCAAATCCTCCATCTGTGACACTACCAGAAGTATCAACGGTAGTATCAGTCGTAGTGGTGTTGGTATTGATATTAGAACCAGGTGGAGGAGTGGTATTTGTGTTAGCTATGTTGCCTGTATTGGATGTTACAGGTGTAGTACCAGATTGATCAAAACCGGCATTTGTGCTTGTTGTATAGATACCAAACTGAGCACTTGTTATTCCAGAACCTTGTTGGAAAGCAGTAGAAACAAAGGCAGAATCAGGAAGTGTAACATCACGTTTACTCAAGCCTATAAAAGAAAAAGGAAAAAAAAAAAAAGAAAAAAATTAGAAATTTTATTATGCATTTTTTTTTTTTTTTTGTTTCCATGTCAAATTTACTGTTGGATGCGGTCGATCTTATCTTGGTAAAATTAAAATCAACACTACGGCCAAGACCAAGATAACCGTCTATGCATAAAATAAAGTAAGTAATCTACATGCTACAGTTTATTTATATATACATATATATGATGTGTAGCTTACCAAAACCATTAGCGAAACCTGACATACGATAGGCGCCGCCAAAAGGCATATTCTTAACTGTAAGATTGCTGAATTCAAAGGTATCTAAATAAACATGTGTATCAACACAAGAGTCGCCATATTCAACTGAAAATTTTTTTCCTGTTGAAACAACATCTGAGGATTTGAGGGCATAATAACTACAACGTCCACGACAATTTTTAGTTTTACACTATTAATAATAATAATAAATTTATAAGATTTAGAAGAATATGCAGAATGTAGTGTAAGTAATACTTTACTCTAGAACCACGAACCCAAGAATAACCAGTCGCTAGTTTAAAAATAATGAAATTAAGTACAACCTTGTAATAAAATAAGGGGTAGGGGAGGGGATAAAAAAAAAAGAAAAAAGAAAGAAAAAAAAAAGATCAGATATATTTACTGGTATCAAAGGCTACAGTAAATTCTTGAGGAGGATTACCAATCTTTACTTTACCAGCAAGCTATATAAAGAAATTTAACTTAGTTAGTATATTGTAACACAAAATATTAATTATGTATATTTACCACACCATTTTCAAGTGCTTTTCCGGCAGCTTTATAAATAGCACCAGAATCAGAACGTTTATAAAGAGGAATATTGATAGGGTCTGCTGAAACAGCATTTAAAGCTAATTGTGCAAAAGCTGCAAGACAAAGGAAAGCAGTACGCATATTTATAAAGACTGGAAAGGGTATTTATTTATACGATTTATTGGAGTTCGAATAAGATTTTGATTTCGTTACTGTTTATGATATAAAGATTTATGACCTATCTAATAATACAAGAAAAAAAAAAGAGAGAAAGATAGAGAGAGAAAAGAAAAGGAACGAGTGAAAAAAAAAGAACGAAAAAGGAGTAATAAAATATATTGAAAAAAAAAAGGAATTATTAGTTTAGAGTGAAGCTTTTTGTGTGTAATGATCAAAGAACAAAATGAAGAAATTGAGTTTAAAAATTGTTAAATTGATTGGATAGAAAGTAAGCTAATTAACTATTGTGTAAAGGGTGCCCTGGATCTTTTATACTCCTATTATTATATAAAGAGTCTATGATAATTATAAATTAGGTCGAGAATTGCCTACATAAATATATGCTTTCATTTATGTATAATACATCACATATAAATATATACTTTCATTTATGTATAATACATCACATATAAATACAGAAAACTATATTCTGTTATGTAATTAGAAGTTTTATACGTACAACAAGGATCATTGTCATTTAAAAATACATTTGATACTTGAAATTTGGATTCCATTATTTAAAAGGGTTCTTTATTTGCAATCAACAGTTAGCTTGGCATATTTAATTAAAGTCTATATGTCTAAGGAGATGCGTCTTCAGTGTGATTCTATATATTAATAACAATATATACTCTATATTTTGTTCTCTTCTATTTAAATAGCAAATCATAGATATTCTTTACAGAATAGACTATTTTTGGAATAAGCTAGTCTTTAATTTTGAAATTTATTTCTATCTTCTTTGGATCATTTCACTTTTTTCTTTAATACTTACTTTGTTCAATTAAAAATAATTTTCTTATTTAGATATGTGTAACTAAGAAGATTAAGAATAAGCAAGCTATAATTATACTGCTTTCGTATTTATTAAGCAAAAGGTGAGTAAGCAAATTTCGGATCCAAAATGATAACACTATTAGTCATCTGGGACATGTCTATTCCCTCCCTCGTAATTTAAGAAACAGGAAAATATCAAACTTATTAGACTAACTATGATTACAAGAAGGTATAACATTAATAAAGTTTACAAAAATAAGTTAATAACGATCAAATCTACCAAGAATCAAGTTACTTTACACTTTTCAAGCTTATATTAGTCTTTTACTGCGGTAAAAAAAAAGAAGAAGAAGAAGATAATGAACATATATTAGCATGATGATTGGCTGTCTACTAGTTACATTAAATAATTATAAGTGTATATTAGGTCTTTTTTTAGAACGTATTTCTGTCCTAATCTAGAATTCATCAACACTATTTAAATTATTGTTGGATATGAATTTATCCATGTATGCGATTTTATGACATCTTCCTTATAGAATAACACGTAAAGTAGAATAGAATAGCTCATTTATTTCGTTTGTAAACGGCATAATGTATTCTAATAGTGCTACAAGAAAATTATTATAAGAAACTACTAGTAAAGTAAACGATTAAGGACTCTTATTGTATTTTACTATATTGTTACATCTATTTTTAAGGTGCAAACAGTATTACTGTAATTGATAGTTATCGATAATGACGATAATTGTACAATAATAAGCCTTACTTGGATTGCAATTTAACTGGAAGGGTTTATAAAATAAACTCATTTATTATTTAGCTGCACTATAATATAATATGTTCGATTTATATATAATAATCAAACCTAAATTGTTATAGGAGGTTCCTCTAAAGACACATGTTATATTTAACAATACATTTATTCCAACGCTCTATACTACTAATAATTAGAATCTTCTATAGATCTTTAATGAGTATAAGGATCATTTAAAATGATCACTTTACGTCTATTTCTGAAAACTCTATACTTGTATATGAAAGAATACATTCATTTCTTTTAAAATATGATCAGAATTTTACTAATTGTAGTAAATTCTTCAGTTTCTCTAAGCAGCTAATTCAAAATACTACTATTTGAAGAAGTATTAAGTTATCGAAAAACTGATATAATCGGAATAATAATAGAACGACTCATTGATATTAATAGGACAGCAATAACCGTAGTAAAACCAATTCTTGGTAAACACAAATAACAAGTTGAAAAGGGAAATACGAGGTATTGCTTAGAATATTAAAATTTAAAAGAAACAATTTGATAGCCATATAACTATGTTACTAATACACCATTCAAATCAGTTATGTTATAGACTGTTAATATATTATCCATTCTATATCTCAAAAAAAAATAAATATATATATATATATATAAGAACACGTGTAAAGCAGTAGTTTGATAAATAACTTAAAGATGACATTGTAAGTCTTTTTCTTTTTTAAAAAAAAAAACCACAGTTGAATTGGCTTAAATAAGCGTATTATCTATTTAGATAGGGCTATGGTAAAATCCAAAAATTTAACCTTTTAAATGATGTAAATATGCTGTAGTTTCTGTTTAAATAACGATAATAAAAATGAAAAAAAAAATCAAAAAAAAGAAAATCTGAAGTATGCAAATGTTTTATTTGCTTATTTTAACAGTTCGGACATTATTATTTGACTTTATTTTTCTTGAAGTTTCTTTTTGCTCCTTAACCAAAAAAATAAAATAAAATAAATAAAAAAAAAAAAGAAAGGAAAAGGAAAAGAATAAGAAAACGAATAAGAAAAAGAAAAAAAATGAAAAAACAAAAGCAAGACATATTGTATGATTGTGCATTATGGCTATTTAATATTATGCTTGATGTCTTCTTTCGAGAAATTAGACCTAGAGGTTCACACAAGATCCCTTTAGATGGCCCTGTGATCTTTGTTGCTGCTCCCCATGCAAATCAAGTAGAGTATAATCATTAAATAATATACAAATTTTCACTGAATTAACATAATTCTAGTTCGTTGATCCTTTGATTGTTATGCGAGAATGTAATCGCCCAGTATCCTTTTTAATTGCTGCTAAATCAATGAAACAGAAAGCCATTGGTTTCCTTGCTAGCCTTGTTCATCCAAGTATGTTTCTCTATAAGCTGCCCTATTTTATTATTAGAAACATTAATCTTTTTTTTTTTTTTTTTTTTTTTTTTTGCAGTTCCCGTCATGAGGCCTCAAGATCTTGCAGAAACAGGTCATGGGCGCATTCACCTTTTAAATCCCAAGACCGATCGTCTTAAAATTCATGGCATTGACACTCAATTTACCAGCCAATTTCAACCTAACGATGCCATCATTTTACCTCGTAATTCAGGCAAAATCACCGTTGCAAAGATATTGTCTGACACTGAACTTATTATTAAATCACCTATTACCGATAAGCGGGCACTTGAACACCTCACCAAGCCCTCGGGCTCTGCCTACAAATGTTTACCCCATATTGACCAAGATGGTGTTTATGAATGTGTTTACGAAGAATTACATGAGGGTCGCTGCATCACGATTTTTCCAGAAGGTGGATCGCACGATCGTGCAGAGATGTTGCCATTTAAAGCAGGTGTGACTATTATGGCATTAGGCGCGATGGCCAAATATCCAGGTCTTGATGTCAAAATTGTACCTTGTGGACTCAACTATTTCCATGCTCACAAGTTTCGTTCAAGAGCTGTGATTGAGTTTGGTAATCCAATCACAATCTCTAATGATCTTGTAGAAAAGTTCAAGAAGGGAGGAGAGGAAAAACGCGAAGCTTGTTCGAGTTTATTAGATACTATATTTTATGCATTAAAAGCTGTCACAGTCAATGTTCCTAATGATCAAACTCTAATGTGTATTCAGGCAGCTCGTCGTCTCTATAAGCCAGCTACTCATCGTCGTCTTCATATTGCTCAGGTTGTTGATTTAAATCGTCGTTTTGTTATTGGATACAATATCTATAAAGATGATCCACGTGTTATTGACTTACAGCAGAAAGTATTAGCCTATAATCAATTATTAAAATATCATGGATTAAGGGATCATCAGGTGCCAGAGATTAATTTAAGAGAGTGGAGAACATTTTGTTTATTATGGTATCGTATTGGTGTTTTAATTGTATGGGCTCTATTGTCATTCCCAGGGTAAAAGAAAAAAAAAAAAAAGAGAGAAAAGGGAAGAAGAAGAAAGAATGAAAATTTATTTAATCTTATTATTAGATCTATTCTGAATCTACCTATTGTCATTACAGCAAAAGCGCTTAGTGCAAAGAAAGCAAAAGACGCGTTAAAATCATCTTCAGTAAAGATTAGAGGAAGGGATGTATTAGCTACATGGAAATTTTTAGTTGGTTTAGTCTTAATACCCTTACTTTATGGTTTGTATACGCTAATTGTGCTTTGGATATGTCTAAAATCAGATTTAAGTTGGTTCAAAACTTTGTTATATCCTCTTTTGACATGGACCATGTTACCTTTTATTAGTTACGCGTCAATGAGATTTGCAGAAAATGGAGTAGATGTATTCAAGTAAAACATGATAAAAAGCACACTCATTGTTTTGTACTTACTTATTCTATTCTATTCCTCAGATCTATTCGCCCTTTATACCTAGCTTTAGTAGACCCTGATGCATCTGCTAACTTACGTCAACTTCGTGAAAAACTTTCTCAGGACATTACAGCAGCCATCAACGAAATTGGTCCTAACGTCTTTAGCGATTTTGATTCATCCAATGTATTTAGAAGTGACAATACAAGCGAAGAATCTGTATCTGAGTTAGCATCAGGAGGAAGAACATTTTCACAAATTGCTAGTGAGTTTTTGACAGGCACTGCAAATGTGTTGCTTCATGACAGCAATATCTTTAATTGGACAAAACAAGAAGAGGAATCAGATTCAGATGAACAACTTTATTTCTTAGATAAGACAGGTAATACGTCAACTACAGCTTATAATACTTCTGCTTCCGCAAGCGATGTAGAATTATCAAAATAATACATGCATTCCATTATCAATAAATATTATATATTCATTTTATGTAAACAAACAGACAGAGCGTTAGGCCATTATATAACAAGCGCGTTTTTTTTTCTGTCTACCATATTAACAACCTATGTTTCAAATGTTAGTTATTACTAAATAATTGCAAGAAGCTTACATGTATAAAAAAGCATGTATGAAATAATCAATAAGCGTATAATAGCTTAAAACTATTACTGTCTAATTGTTAATGACACCTATTTTAGACTTGTTATCTCACATACAAATCTATATTTTACCCTATAACATTAAAACAGCACACAAGTTCATTATATAGATGGAGTAAAGTTAGAAAATTAACAAGAGAAAGAACGAAAGAACATAAGATAGAACAAGTATGCAAAGTAAAGAATCCAATTAAAAAAAAATGCATACAAAACAGAAAATATTCATTATATAAAATACAATTAAAAATCAAATAGTTTTAAATATATGAAATAAAAATCCATGTCTAAAATTGTGTGGTATGCTAAGAGTAGGATTGTTAATGTCATAAGGATATCTTGCACACAGCGCTATTAAAACCAACACTTTGTAAATAGTTGTGTTCGCATATCTAAGCATATCCTTTATATTTTAAAACACCGACTTACATAATCTTTTTTTTTTTTCTTTTTTTTTTTTTTTTTTTTTTTTTGTTTTTTTTTTTTCATTTTCTCAAGATGTCAATACCTACGATTATATTAGATAATGGAGCCCATACGATGAAAGTAGGTTTATCCTCTACACACAAGTCACCAAGGTAATACCCTTCAATAATAATACTCAATAGTTGAAGCTAATCTATTCTAGGCTTATACCCAATGCCATTATACGTGATAAAAAAGACAAACGACAGTATATAGGCGATGAACTCGACGAATGCACTGATTTTTCATCCCTTTATTATCGTATACCCTTTGAAAAAGTAAGTTTCCTTTTTTTTTTCTTCATACATAGAGATAGCTCGCAGTAATATGACTCATTTCTTTTAATGATAGGGTTTACTCGTCAATTGGACCATCGAACGCAGTATTTGGGATCGTCTTTTCAAATCGCATTTTGATCCTAAATCGAGTCGTCTACTTATAACTGAACCTTGTTTTAACTTACCCATTATTCAGGATAGTTACGATCAAGTGATTTTTGAAGAGTATGAATTTAAAGCTTGTTATCGTACTATGGCCCCTCAATTATGTCTTTACAATGAGTTAAGTGGACTCTTTAAGGACAAGTTAGGATCTATTCCTGACTGTGTTTTAGTGGTTGATTCAGGCTATTCCTTTACTCATACTGTCCCCTTTTTGATGGGGAAACCTGTTTTAAAAGGAATAAGACGATTAAATGTAGGAGGGAAATTGCTGACAAATCACCTTAAAGAGGTTGTCTCCTTTCGTTCCTACGACATGATGGAAGAAACATATATTATAAATGATGTTAAAGAGAAATCTTGTTTTATTTCAAAAGACGTTTATAAAGATCTAGATATATGCAGGTAAAAAAGAATCAAAAATGCAATTTTTTTCTTTCTCTTATTTTTTTTTACTAGAAAACAAGGTATCAAGAATTCAATTATACAGGAATATGTATTACCAGATTTTGTAAATACAACAGAAGGTCATATTCGTCCTTATGGTTCAACTTCTTCAGATCAGCAGGTGTTACTAATGAATAACGAAAGATTCATGATACCCGAAATATTAATGCATCCTTCTGATATCGGAATTGATCAAGCTGGTATTCCTGAGGCCATAACTCAAAGTGTACTTGCTTGTGATTCATGTAATATACACCTATATTTTTTTTTTTTTGCCTTTTTTTTTTCTCTTTAACTTTTGATTTATTTAGCTATTCATGGACTTTTATATGCGAATATTGTACTTGTAGGCGGCAATGCAAATATACCAGGTTATATGGAAAGAATGTAAGGCTCCCTCTATAAATAGGTTAAATTTATTAATAAACTCAATTAATATATAAAATAGTGAGCAAGATTTAAGGCTATTAGTTCCTACTGAATTTGATATTCGTATAGTGACACCGCCTAAGTAAAAGTGTACATAATTACAGCTTTATCTATTTTGCTAACTTTTTTTTTTCTTCTTCTTCTTTACTTTTCTAGTCCTGTCACTTTTGCATGGGAAGGTGGAAATAGATTTACTTCATTAAGCTCTAAAAGTGAATTGCAAAAGACGTTTGTTCAGCGTAAAGAATATTTGGAATATGGTAGTGAGATTTGTAGAAGGAAGTTTGGAGCAATTTGATTGGCTTTTTTGAAGAAGTTAATAAAAAAAAAATTTTTTTTTTATACGCATATAAGCTTTATTTTTTCTTGTTTACATAAGGAGAGAGAGAGAGAGAATATACAAAAACATGGGCATTGTTTCATCAAAAGAAAAAAAACCAACTGAACAAGAGTCGATAACTGAGGCTCAAAAAGCACAATCTAATGATCAAGGATCAACAAATGATCAAAAGACAGAATCTAAACAACAAGAAACAGTAGGTGCAAAGCGTCCCATCCAAATTGATGATCCCAATTTTTCTTCACCTCGTTCAAAACGAAAACCTACAAAAAAGGAATATGATGAGAAAAAAGGAGGTGGTCGTGTAGGATTAGAGGAACGTCCTGAACATTTAGGTCCTCGTGAACCTCGAATTCCAAAAAAGAAAGTTGCTTTATTGATCGGCTATAACGGAACTGGTTATCAAGGCCTCCAGCTGTAAGCATAAAATGTGTTTTTCTTTTTTTTTCTTTTTTGAAATGCTAATTATTCGTTTGTTAGTAATCAAAATGCTAGTTCGATTGAAGGAGAACTTTTTAATGTACTTTGTAAAGTTAATGCCATTTCAAAAGATAATGCAACTGATCCTAAAAAATCTGCATGGATGCGAGCTGCACGCACTGATAAAGGTGTACACGCAGCTGGCAATATCATTTCTTTCAAAATGCAAATTATGCCCGATGAAAGCGCTGATGAGATTGTTCAACGTATTAATGACCTTTTGCCTCCCCAAATTCGTGTTTGGGGTTTTGTACCTGTCATCAATTCATTCAATCCCAAAAACCTGTGTGATTCACGAGTTTATGAATATTTATTGCCTACTTGTGCCTTTATGGCACCCACTGAAAAAACATTGACAACAGAACCAAGTCATGAAAACGACTTGAAGTTGGTAACCCCAGAAGGTGAATATCGTTACACAACACGCAGTACACCTAAAGAGCTTGAAGAACGTCACCAATATAGAGCAACAAATGATCAAATCAATATCTTTAAACAAGCTCTCAAATGTTTTGAAGGAACTCATAATTTTCACAATTATACAAATGGAAAATCCTTTAAAGAAAAAAGTGCTAATCGATTTATCAAAAGTATTGATGTTTCTGAGCCCATCTATATTGATGGCAGTGAATGGCTTAGTATTAAGTTACATGGTCAATCATTCATGTTGCATCAAATTCGAAAAATGATTGGTAGGTCAAAAAAAAAAAAAAAAGTGAATATCCCAGTCTTTACCTAACATTTATTAAATTAGCTATGGCATTACTTGTGACTCGTACAAAGACACCTATTTCACTGATCTCTCAATCATTTGAAGAAAATAGAATTAATATTCCTAAGGCACCTGCTCTTGGCCTTTTATTAGAACGACCTATCTTTAAGGTTTACAATGAAAAGACACGCATCAAGGCATCTAATGAAGTCAAACGAGATAAAATTGATTTTGATCTTTACAATGATAAGATTGAGGAGTTTAAGCATGAATGGATTTATAAAAAGATCTTTGAAACAGAACATAATGAGCATGTATTTGATGGTTATTTAACATCGTTAGATGCTCATGTGGGTCCTGATTACTTGTATTTGAATGATAAAGGTGTAATTCCAAAGGAATGTTTAGTGGAAACAAAGTTTAACAAGAAGGGTAGTGATGAAGAAGAAGATGAATAAGTTCTTTTATATACTTACATAATAAAGAATTTTGTTTCCCACGAAATTATAATCATTAGGTAACTTAAAATACTACAGTTTCCTATGTGTATTTCAAGTCCCTCCTTCCCTTTTTTTTTTTTTTTTTTTTTCCTCTACTGTTTTTGTTCAATTTTAATTATGACTTCAACTGCTAATGATCGAGCAACTCAAATCTTTCAACATTTAACTAATGTGACTCCATCTCTTAAGGATAAAGTATGTATCGTCACAGGTGCTGGCTCACTTTACGGCATAGGGTGATATATACATATGATACTATTTCTTCATCTTCTCCACATATACCCCGTATACTAACTTTTCTTTTTTTTTTTTTCTCCTCTCAATGGTAGCCGAGCTTCTGCTATCGATCTAGCCAAACGAAGTCCCAAAGCTATCTATGTGACTGATCTTACCCTTACCAATCTTGATGATCTTGTTCAACATATTAAACAACACTATAATGTAGACTGTATTGCTAGAGCTGTGGATGCTGCTTCTCCTTCAGCTGTCTCTGGTATCATTCATGAAGCCCTTGAACAATATGGTCGTGTTGATGTCTTTTTTGCTAATGCTGGGATTGCTACAGCAGATAGACTTCAGGATGAAACAGCTGAATCATTCATGACGATGATGAGAGTAAACGCCCTTAGTGCCTTTTTGGCTATCAAATATGCAGGTGAGGCCATGCTCAAGACAAACAACGAAAAGCAGCAATCGAGTGGCTCCATTATTTGTACAGCATCCGTTGCAGGTCTTCGATCTGGCGCTGGATCACCTGAATATTCAGCATCAAAAGCAGCGTATGTTAGTTCATCATAGGATGAGGAATAATAATAATAATAATAATATCGTGTTATATGTGTTTTGTAGGGTAATCAATTTATGTCAGACAAGCTCTTTTCAATATGCTGGAACAAATATTCGAATTAATGCAATTTGCCCAGTAAGAAAAAACCTTTTTTTTTTTTCAACCGAGCCGTGATAAACTTATTTTATTATATATAGGGCTTGATTGAAACAGGTATGACGAAGGCTACTTTTGACTATGCTCGTCAAAAAGGTTCTGCAAACAAGATTGGACAGCTTAATCCAACTCGTAGATATGGTATTTCATCAGAGGTAATATAAATATACATATACATACATATTTATTTAAATAATAATAAATAACAAATTATATAGGTTGCTCACATGGTTGCCTTTTTGGCTTCAGATGAAGCTTCCTATATTAATGGTCAAGCTATTGCTATTGATGGTGGTCTTTCAGCAAGTCATCCTGTTGTGCTTGGCAAATTTCATTAAACAAACTGTGTAGTATCTATAAAATGTTTTACAGTCGCTATACCTCCTTCAGTTGAAAACCTCTTTTGTCGACATATAATACTTCCATGTGCATTAAATGCCTTTAAATAAATCCAAACACGTTGCCATTCTAATAAATGTAGGTTATTGTGGATATGTTTTGTCGTATCATTTAGCTTAAGTAACGCTGATTTTTCAAGGAGTTCATGAGAAGGTTTAACGTTGTAATGGTTATGTTGAGGATGATCATCCAATGATGATACAGTATTGTCATTTTCTTCTCCAGGAGGCATTAAGTTAACTGCATCTAGTGTGCCAGCTAAGAATTCACCATGAACAATTTGATCGGTTGCTGTTGACTTGCGTCGTCCGCTTTCATTCTTGTCCTCTACCTTTAATAATCGTTGTTGTTTATGAAGTAGTTGTGATGCTCGATATCGACTTATTATTCCTTGATAACTGAGAACAGAGAGTGCTATCAAGACAAATAAGGGCGCAGCTATAGGAAATAAACAATAAAATGTGTATTTTAAGGCCACTGTTTTTAATGGTTTCCTTTCCTTTTCCTTGAAGGCTTTCATTTGTCCATTTGATTTTTTAGTTGAATGACGAATATCAAAGGCAGTAATAACAGAAATATAAGCTTCATCTAGTGTTCTATTATAGAAAATTAATTATATTAAAGTAGTGACGTATTGTTATCATTATTATTATTTTTCTTACAAGTCCAATTTTCCTTTACTGTTATAAAAATAATCCATCAATTCTATACCAGCTGTCCAATAAGGTACAGTACGATCATTAGCAATATTCGCATATATTCTTCGTACCTTAAACATAGAAAGATATTTGAAATAAACGCCATCTATAATTTAATTCTTCAATACACATCATCTTCTTTTTTTTGTTTTCCTGATAATAAAAAAAAAAGAAAAAACATAAAAATAAAAATAAAAAATATATACCTGGATCTGACATGACTTCGAGTAATGGTTCATGATGTTGATAGTTGTCTATTAATTGAAGTTGTTCACCTGATCTGGATACTAGTTTTCCACTCACTAAATTAAAGAAGGATGATACAACAGACGATGAAGGTAGCCTAACACCCAAATGTGGAGTAGCAAATGTAATAAAGTACTAATAAACATAATCCCCGATATTTTAAATAATTGGCCTAACATTACTTTGGACTTTCTTATTTATTCAATCAAAGTTACTTACAAGTGGCTCTATCCTCTTGAAAACACCTCTTTGCCCCAAGACTCCAATAGCAAATCGTGTGATGAGTCCACCTAGCGAATAACCGATAAAACTAATTTTCTTGACTTGTTTACCATCCTTACTAAATCTGGCCACAGTTGACTCAATCTATTTAGCGTATAAAGTAGTTTTATAACAAAGTCATTATTGAATGAGGCAAAAAAAAAAAAAAAAAAAAAAAAAAAAAAAAAAAAAAAAAAAAAAAAAAAAAAAAGGAGGAGGTGAGGAGGGAAAGTCTTACTTCATTAGCAAGTCGAATACCACAAATGTCAATACCATCATATGTATATTTAGCTTCATTTATACTTGAATTCAACTATAGTAGAATTATTCTGACTATTAACAAAACAGCATAATAATCAAAGTATATACACATCTATTTTTACAATACAGATACTACTATCTCGATATTTTTCTTTCAGTTTTTTTTCTATATAACTCATATGACTTTTGACTCCCCACAATCCATGAGATAAGACAACAAGTGAGACTGTATCTTTATCCATGATTATCTATAAATATAAATATTTATATGTGTATTAAAAGAAAAAAAAAAAAAGAAAAAAAAAAAAAAAAGACAAGTTTGTTAATATTATATTAACTTGAATCCGGTTAAACAATTTCTCCGTTTCTCTTTCTTATTAAGGAAAGCACTGACGTATAAAATCATGACCGATTTTGGATACTTTAATAAAAATATGTATTTTCTATAAGGCCACAGTAGCATGTACTCGAAAATAAATGATAAAAGATAAAATGGCTGGCTATTGTTTAGGTTACAAAATAATAAAAGTTAGTAAGCATAATAAAGTGCTTTGAATTATAAACCAGAAAAAGAAGAAGATGATGATATAAAATGATAAGAATACTAAGGAACTTGTATTGAAACTATTCAGTCAGTCTACAACTAAAAACCAAGATGATAATATCAGTTGTAGAGTAATTTTTTTTTGTTTTCTTAGCTTGAAATTTTTGGAGATAAGCATGGTATGCATTCCCAAAGTCATTATTGCATTATAATAAACAATACACGATAAAAAAAAATACCAAGGAGTACTTATTTATAGGTCATGAATAAAGGATGAATTAAATATATATATATATTTTTTTGGCCTTCATCCTATTGAGCAATCCTTGATCTATCGCTAGAAATTTAAAATGAAGAAAAGAAAAAGCTATTATGTACTTTAATAATTCATATTCTTGGAATTTCTGAGACTTATAGTAACAAGATTCTTATTAGTGTGTTTTTTTTAAAAAAAAAAATCTCATTATCATTATTCAACTTTTCTGAAGCTGAAACCCTAGTAATGCACAATATGGTAATTAGAGGGGAATAAGTTACGTAAGTCTCTTACCAAGTGTAGAAAAAGCTAAAGCTATAGTCAAGTAATTTGAGATATTTGTAAAGAGTATATATATAAGAGTATTGAAATTTCTCTTTTCTAATCCATCCATCCTATCAACTCATATTTTGTTAACATAAACAATGTCTTCTTCTTCTGCTGCTGCTGCTACTACAACTACAAAAACTACTACTACTGATTTACCAAAAATGCAATACGTTCGTCTTGGAAAAACAGGTCTAAGAGTAAGTTGATATGATTATATATTTGACCGTTATTATCATCAATACATATTAACACTATTCTATTTATTTATTCTTATTACATATTAGGTTTCTCGTATTTGTCTTGGTTGTATGTCCTATGGTAGTTCAAAATGGAGTCCCTGGGTTAAAGATGAAAAGGAAAGTATTGAGTACATCAAGAAGGCTTATGAAATTGGTATCAACTTCTTTGATACAGCTGATGTTTACTCTTATGGTGAAAGTGAAAGAGTTCTTGGTAAGGCTTTGAAGGAAATTGGTGCAGATAGAGGTCGTGTTGTGATTGCTACTAAAGTCTATATGCCTGTATATGATAACTTTGATGAGTTTGACCCTATCCCAGAGGACAAGGCTCATATGGTGAATTGTTTTGGTCTTTCTCGTAAGCATATCTTTGATGCTGTTGAAGCCTCCTTAAAGCGTCTTGGTGTTGATTACATTGACATTTATCAAATACATCGTCATGATCCAGTAAGTTAGAAAAAAAAAGAAAAGAAGATGCGTATAAATAATATGATGTATTTATCTTTATTATAAATATATATATATATAGAACACTCCTATGGAAGAGACTATGGAGGCTTTAAATGATCTTGTTCGCTCTGGTAAAGTTAGATACATTGGTGCCAGTACCATGTCTACTTGGCAATTCCAGAAATATAATAATATTGCTGAACGTCATGGTTGGGCTAAATTTATTTCCATGCAAAACTTATATAACTTGATTTACCGTGAAGAAGAGAGAGAAATGATCCCTTATTGTATGGATTCTGGTATTGGTATCATCCCTTAGTCTCCTTTAGCTGGTGGCGAACTTCTTGCTAAGAAGAGAAATACTGTCCGCAATGATACTTACTTTGTTATCTCCAAGTTTCATCCTGAAGTGAAAGCAGATTGTAATGAAATTATTATTGACCGAGTTACTGAACTTGCAAAGAAGCATAACGTATCAAATGCACAAATTGCTATGGCCTGGGAATTATCAAAGCCATTTATCACTGCACCTATTCTTGGTGTCAGTAAAATTGAACAACTTTATGATTCCGTTCGTGGATTAGACTTGAAGTTAACTAAAGAAGAAATCAAATACCTTGAAGAGCCCTATACACCTAAATATCCCATCTAAATGCGATAAACAGAGGGTTTTCTTAAAAAATATATATACATATACATATACATATATAATAAAAAAAAATTCTTTGGAATGACATGTATAAAATTGAAATTATTCAGAAAAGGTTAAACTAATATATATGAACAAAAATACAGGTTTGTTAAAGGGGTATGTCTTCTTTATGGCATGTATATAGATAACACTAAAAATTATGACTCTACAAATGTTGAAGAAATAATATTCATTTTATCTTTAAAGTTGCTAAGAGGGGTGTATAATAAATCCTTCAATCAATATCCTTATCATGTATAGGAATAGCAAGGAAGTAGATACATTGTTGATTGAATCAACCAAGTTGTGAATTGTTATTTTGAGTAATGAGAATTTCTTTTTATTTCCAGTATTCTGCTGCTCTTGAACACCTTCTATCTTCGTCTTTCTCTCTCTTTCTCTTTCTCTCTCCCTTTTTATATTAGTTTATCATTCAAGAAGATAGGTGAATCCAATAATGTATTGATCCTAGAAAATATGTATAGCAAAGCAGTAAGGGTTGATACACTTTGGATGAATGATTGGAAAATAAAATAAAATAAAAAAAGACTCTAATAAAGCAATGATACAACTTGTTCTTAGGGTTTCTAAAGCTAGTAATAATAATAATAAATAACGACTTCAGAGCTTTCTGTTATTTATGCAGCTTTCAAAATTTAATAATAAAGGTTTGATTGAATTGTAACATTATTCTCAAAAACCTTGCTGAGTGTTTGTATGTATAATCAAGCATCCCAATAATTTTGGATTATATCATCTGTTACTACATATAAATGAAAGATTACCCCTCATATCTATATGAATGATATGTGTATTAATCAAAACTGAGCCTTTTAAAGATTAAATAGTTATCACATGACCAAAGAAAGAAAGGAATCTTGCACACACACACACTATAAAATCAAGGTACAAAAAAGAAACAGTTTGAGACGGAGTTATTTTTTCCTTCACAACAACATACATGAAACACATACATAAAAAAGTATACATTAAAATGACATTTTTATTTGTTTGTAACGTGCCTTTAATAATCAAAAATAATAAAACCAACTAAAGTTTATTCATTTATATTCCTTTTCTTTTTTTCCTACTTTTACTCTTTTCATCCTCTTTTTTTTTTTTAAATGAACAATCAACAAAAAGAAGATGACGCATTTTCTGTTGCTATTTCATGGCCAATACTACTTGCCATTATACCAACACTAGGCACATTTTTATTTGGTAGTGCAGAAATATGGAATGACTTTATCATGATTTTACTTATTTTATATTATGTTTATAAATGGATTACGGGTAAATGAAAATAGGATAAAAGAAGAGACAAAATAATAATAAAAAAAAAAATACTTACTTTATTTTGTTTACAAGTGCCTTGGAGTTATTATGAAAGCACTAGATCTCATCGTCGTCAATGCAATACAAAGCCATGGATTGAAACAGAGCTTAAACGTCATGAATGTGTGGCTCTATTCTGGATTGTTATATCACCCTTTTTAGCAGGATATACTTTACAACTGGGTCGTTATCTGCTTAGTAATTATGATAAATACATGAGTTCATTTAACGTTACTATCTTTATCATTGCAGCCACCATAAAACCCCTCTTACATATTACTCAATTACTTAAGCAACGTACTCTCTATCTAAATTCTTTAATCGACACTGATCCCTCTGCAATCGATATCATACAAGCTAAACTTCAGCTTTTGCAAAATGAACTAGATAACCTAAAACACAATACGCGAAGAGACTTTACACAGATCACAAAGGCTTTATCGCCTACTATTCATCAACTATCTACAAATCTAAAACAAATTAAAGCACAGCAACTCGAATTAAAGGATTGGTCAGAACACCAGTTTTTAGATATCGACGAGAAGTTAAAGGAATATAAGCGAGGATTAGTCGAGTCCGTTATCTTTTTGCCAGTTGATTTGAGTATAGGAATAGCCAAGATGGTGGGACTTGTAAATATGAATAAACGAGAACAATTTTTGCCATCTAATAAGTAATATTACGTAATACATTGGAATGCTGTTAGATGCATGGTTTTATACAAATAACAATAATAATAATGATAATAATAAAAAAAAAAGTTAACAGGAGCTATTTACTGCATCAGATCTCCTTTCATTCATTCATTCATTCTTGCTTTCTTTCTTTCTTTCGTTCTTTGTTTTTTTTATTTTTTTTTATTTTATTATTTTGTATAAAGCATGAAATACCTTGCACTTATCTTGATTTTATGTACACTAACTAGTATTGTTTATGGTACAAGTAAAAGTAACTAATAAATATGTTACATTATTATTCATAGTTTGATTTATATTTAGGTGCTGAAAATAATTTAGACAATCCATTATCACCACGTACTATTGAAATTGATAAAATTGCACCTGTAAGTACATAGATAGGCTCCCCCTCTTTATATATATATATATATACATATATATATATACACGTGCTTGATTATTATTTTTTTATTTTTTTTTTTATAGATATATTCTTATAGAATTAAACATTACAAAATACATACTACCGCTAATCAACAAATCAAACGAGCTGTAATTGATAATAAGACCTATTATGACTTTACAAATCAAGAGAAAGAAGACATTTTTAAAAAGGCAGATATAGATGGCATGTCAGTAGCAAGAGATCGTCAATCTCAATCCCCTTATTCTTTGTCACCGTCTTCTTCTTCTGCAACAGTTGTAACTCTATTTACTACACCAACTGCGACAATGCAAGTACAACAAGAAGTTGTTTCCTCTTTATCAAATAAAATTGAGGCATGGAGCTTATTAGGGATAATATGTTTTCTAGCATCTATTATAATGATGATGAAGATGTAAAAGAAAGAAAAGTGACTTTTTAATTTTTTATAATTGAAAAAAAAAAAATAAAAATAAAAATAAAAATAAAAAATAAAAAAAAATAGTAAAGAAAAAAAAAAATAAGCTTCTTTCTCTCTCTCTTTTATTTTATTTTTTTATTTTTTTTTATTTTATTTTTTTTTTTTCTTCCTTTCTCTTCCTTTTTATTTTTTCTTTTTTTTTTTTTTTTTTTATTTACTTATCTTTATAATTAAATAATCATGGATCCCAAACAAGTAAAAAAAAAAAAGAAAGAAAAACTCATTAATGATAATGTACTAATTATAAGACTCACTTTTACATAAATACATATACATGTATGTATATAGCAAGCGCTAATTGAAGCGAAAAGAGCAGAGGTTTTAGCCAAAATGGCTAAATTTCGAAAAACAACTAGTACTCCTATAACGCCACCACAGCAAAGACCAATGCCATCTATGCCATCGGCTTCAACACAACCCCCAACAGGGAAAACAGGTCTCAACCTTGTAGAATTACAACGTCGTATTGCAGAAGCTAAAAGTCGATTAGCAGGCACTACACCCACAGTAAAGTACTCAAAAAGAAACATAAGCTTTTTTTTTTTTTAATGAAATGAACATGTTTGTTAATTTATTTTTATTTATTTATTTATTTATTTATTTTTTTGGTAGGTTCGTCCAGGAGTTACACGTACAAGTGAAATGAAACCACCTGCACTTCCTCTTAGTTCATCAGGCGAAATAGATTTAAAGGCAATGATCGATACCGGTATTATTCCACGTCGCGAGACTACCAATACCAAGGTAATATATACTTTAAATTTGAAAATAATAATACATATACATGTTATAATAATATGTTTTATGTCTTTATACATATATATGTGATTAGGCTATGCAGCGTGCTAAAAACTCTCCTGCGATTTCAGAAAAAAAAGCGAAAGATAAACCTACTAAAAACCCATATCTTGATACAACAACACCCGTTGATTTTGATGCGATTAAACCACGTCGTCCACGTCAACTCAAATTTATTCAACCTGGTAAATATATCGATATTGCCAATCAAGAACGTGCTAAACAACAACTCGAGAAATTGAAACGCGAAATTACAGAGAATGTGAAAAAGGCAGGTATGCAAACTGAGTTGGATGTATCGGATAAGGTTATCAAGAGAGAGGCACCTCCAAATGTTGAATGGTGGGATGCACCCTTTTTGGCGGATAAATCTTATGCAGAGGTAGATACTGTTGATGTAGACAAGTTGGAAAGTTTAGTCACTCATTATGTACATCATCCAGTCCCAATTCAACCACCTGGTGAACTACATGCAGCTCCTGTCGTGAGATCTTTGATGTTGACCAAAAGGGAACGAAAGAAAATGAGAAGACAAAGAAGAGCAGAGGCACTGAAAGATAAACGAGATAAAATTCGATTGGGTTTAATTGAACCTGATCCACCCAAAGGTAAGAAAAAGTAGAGGAGAAAGAGAAAGATGGTGGTGGTGGGGGGAAAAGTGATTTCTGCATGTTTTATTTTTCTCATTTATGGGGCCTAACATGATGTTATGTTTTTTATTTTACTTTTATTTATTTTGTACGTGTAGTTAAAATTAGTAATTTAATGAAAGTGTTGGGTGAAGAAGCAATACAGGATCCAACTAAAGTAGAGGCACGAGTACGAAAGGAAATGGAACACCGACAACGTATGCATGATAAAGCAAACGAACAACGTAAATTGACACCTGAAGAAAGAAGAGCAAAGATATTAAATAAATTAAAAGAAGATCAAAAGACATCAAATGAAGTGGCCGTCTTTAAGTAAAGATGATATATATATCTCGCGATATGAAAACTAATTCTCTCTTTTATTTAGAGTCAAATATTGCTCACATCCTAAATTAAGATATAAGATAGAGGTAAATGCCCAACAATATCAATTAAGTGGTATAGTCATTGTTCATCCAAAATGTAATCTGGTGATTGTTGAAGGAGGACCAAAGTCTATCAAAGCTTATAAGAAACTTATGTTAAGACGTATTGATTGGAATGATCTTCCACCACCTAAAAATCTAAAGGAAGATGAGCCAATAGGATTGCCTGAAGGAGAAGAAAACACGTGTTTTTTGGTATGGACAGGACAAGTAAAGACAAAATCCTTTAAAAGATTTACATGGCGTACATTTGAGAGTGAAAAGATGGCAAGAGAAGAATTAGGGAAATGGAATGTCGAGAATTATTGGGACGTTGCTATAGCAAGTACGGATGAAGAATTAATTGCTAGACAACCACAATTATAAAATAAATTTTATTTTATTTTATTTTTTTATTTTATTTTTTTTTTCGCTATTTTTGTTACTGTTAAATTATTATTTATTCTAACATGCAGATAATTAATATAATATATCGTATCTTTTTACCTTTGAATTAGTAGAGCTATGTGATTATTATTAATAATAATAAATAATTTATTACATATTTGGCTGGGTGAATATACGATCTTTTTTTTTTTTTTTCTTTTAGCACTCATCATCATTATTATTTAATATGTCATTAACATTAATCTTATTATATGATACATGTTCCTTGTTTGCCCCCAAACTAAAAATAAAAACAAAAGAAATCCCTTTCTCCTTTACAGCTTTTGCTTATAAAAGACAAGTATCTATAACTATTTGTATGTTCCTAAATAGCACAACTTGGGAGACTAAACTTGACTGAAAGACAGCCCTTGCTCTACAACTACTTGCTGAGAGAGTAAGTAAATATCGTTTGGAACAGTTTTGTTGTGAACTGGGTAACTGTCCCTGCTGCACCTCAACCCATTTCGTACACTTGTAGTGGAGTTAATCGCTATTTTATTATCATTATTATTATTATTTGACTAGCCATGAATCGTTGAAGGAATTAGTAGTGCTTGCTTATTCATTTATATTTATAACATTCTTTTCATCATCACTCTTTTATTGGTTGTTATTACTTATAAATCAAATAGTATTTGTAGAGGCTGCTTTATCTTGAATATTTAATCTCAGGAACAGTTCCTTTTTTTTTTTTTAAGACAAAGCTAGTGGTGATGTTCGACTGATAGAAGATTGCTCCATTTAAATTCGTCTCAAGAAAAGGAATCCTCTTATTATTATTATTACTACTATTATATTAACCTCAATCACATACCTAAGCTAAGCAAGCTAAAAAAAAGGGGGAAATTGAACATAAAGGGGATGGAGAAGAGTTATTTATATGTTTTTTTTTCACTAGATAAGTGATAATGATATTAATAGAACTTATGGATATAATATCATCTCCGAACTAGTCTGCATTTTATGCAAAAAAAAAAAAAAAAAGAAATTTTTATTCTCCTTGGTGGACTGTCACTGAAAAAATAGATGATTATTTCTGGAGTAAACAACACGTCAATGTTAATTCATACCTCGTTATTCATATGCTACTAATATTATCATCATGTGACTTAATTATATTACACCATTTAGTATCATTCATACACATGTATGTACTATAAAGGTCTATGAGTAATTATCTAATTGAATATAACAGCAGTCATAATAATCCTTATTGTTGCATACTTATCATGTTCGAATACTCTAGCAATGGATGCTTATATCATTAAAACTGAATGTTAGATCAAGTCAATGACAGTAAGCTAGTTTTAATTGAATACTCTCTTTATATGCCCATTATCCATTTTCTTTCTTGGTCCCCAGACAAGTATGTATCAAATGCATTTAAAGATATTTAATAGCAAGTGTATGTATGTCTAAAGATACTCTACCTATTGCTGCTGAAAGAAAAAAAAAATTCCCCCACATTAAATACACGTCTTTCTTTTTTTTTTCAAACTATCAAAGTATTAAACAAACAAACTTGAGAGCTTTACTAATTTATTGCAAAGGAAGGTGCCATGTCTTTCATCTTTGTGTTTCTTAATTCTGAGGATTGCTTCTATATTAATTCTACGTAAATAATAAAGTTGACAGCTGAGTGAGTGTTGTATTGATTCGTAAACGATGCATGTGTTCTTTCCTTTACAAACCAAATGAAATCACTAAGAGGTGATGATATACAAATGCCAAGAATTATAGAGGCTGCCAAGGAAATATAAAATAGTAAATTTAATTGCAAAGTATGAATACAGTACGCAGTATCATCCTTTTGAATACTGTCTAAGCGTGCAGTGATTACTTTTAACTAGTCCTATTTTCTTCTTCTCTTCCAAAGTCTAACATAAATAAAGCTTTAACTCGTCACAAGAACACAAATTTAAAGGTCAACAATAAAATATTCAGAATTTAGTTTCAAATACCGCCAAACAAAAAAAAAAATAAAAATAAAAATAAAAAAAAGTTCTATTAAAAAAAAATAAAATAAAAAAAAAATGAATCTCCGAATATAACATGTTACAGTTATCACGACAAATGAAAAAAAGTACAGACGCGTAAGATTAAATAAAGAAAGGGAAATGTGCCTAAAAATAAGATGACAATGACAATGATTGTCATATTTGTATAAAAAGTGTTACTGATACATACCTGTTTACTTGAAATAATGATGGTATGTTTCTCTTTGATAATAATTTATTATTTCGTTTTCTTTGTTAACAATAACAACAGAAAGAATATATTTATTCACCAATCATATCTTTGCTTAATAAATTGTCTGAAATAAAAAAAAAAAAAAAAAAAAAAAGAATATATAAATACCTTTTAGAATTTAATAAGAAAGTTAATCGAAAAAAAAAATATACATTTAGACTTTATTTTACTTTACTTTTTTTAATTATATTAATAAGATCCAAATAAATAAATAAATAAATAAAATGCAAAAGGCTTACTTACTCGTTCTTTTACCTTTTATCGCTCAATTGGTCAATGCTATGTGTACCTGTGACCCTAATGATAACACTTGTCTTCAAATTTGTGGTAAGTAAAAAAAAAAAAAAAAAAAAAAAAAAAAAAATTTTAATAATAATAATATTTCTATTGTATTATCTAATTTTTTTTTTCAGTAAATACAACTCAGCATTGTATTGAAAAGTGTAACGGCGATAATATCTGTTATAATACTTGTATTCATAATTACTGGCCTGGTCAAGAAAGTAGCTCAACTACACTTCATCAAATTACTCTTCCTGCCACAACCATGAGTGTGCATCCTACCTCTGCTACCACTACAGATATGAAGAGTGAATCTACCTCTGAAGCTCATCCTTCCACCACTGAAGCTCATCCTTCTTCTTCTGAAGCTCATCCTTCTACCACTGAAGTTCATCCTTCTTCTGCTGCTACTGCTACTGATAAGGCTTCAACAGTTACGAGTCATAGCGATGGTAAGTGTAAAAAAAAAAAAATAATTATAATATTAAGCGTATACAAGAGAGCATAAGTACAGATAGAATTAACTCTGTTCTATTTATTTATTTATTTAATAGCTTCACATCCTACATCTGCTGCTGCTATGCAACATGAATCTACTTCTACTACCCTTTCTGCTAGTGGAACTCCTACACCTGCTTCTGCTTCCGCTTCTCCTGAAGTCAGTCATCATACTAGTGGAGCCACTCATTTATTATCTGGCTCTGCCTTTATCCTTAGCATCATTCTTTCCTTTTTCATGTTTTAAATCTCTTGATTCATTTTTTATTTTTTCCTCCCCTTTTTTTTTTCTTTTATTAAATTGGTATAGTAATAATAGTAATAATTGTAATAATAATAATAATAATAATTAACTTATAATACATCGACTTGTCTGTGATCTTGGTTTATAATTTTCAATATATTTTAATTGTTTCTTGTTAATAGCTCCTCGACGACGCTCACGAATATAAGATACTGCATCTAAAGGTTGCATTCCATCTTCAATCAAAGCAATAGCCACTAAAACTGGGGCTCTACAATATATATATATATATTAAAAAGGAACTTCCAAAAGTCTTTTTTTTTTCCTATCACTTTTTCTTTTAACAATACCTTCCTAAACCTGCTACACAATGAATAGCAATAGAGGGTTTCCTTTCTTCATCTTGATCTTTAAACCTCGTTTCAATCAACTGAAGCCAGGCATCCACAATATGACTAGGTGGTGCTTCACCATCAGCAAATACAAAGTCATGAACTTGAATGTGTTTTTCATGGAGTAATTCTTTTGAATATGTTGCTTCACAACAACGAACAACATCTGTTACATTCCAACGTTCAAACTCCTATAATGACAAAAAAAAATTGAAATGTTGAATTTATAACCCATCTAATACCATGTGTATGTGTGTTGATTTTTACAAGTCAAACTGCCTACCTGGAGATAGAGTGGTAAATTGTTGGAACTAGGCGCATCCACAATTAAAAATCGTAAACCATGGTATTCGAGATAGGTAGGCGTGTTAATCAAAGGTCTGACAGCGCCACCTGCTGTTCCTCGAGAATACATGTTGGAGGGAATTTATAAGGTTTGAACAAATAAGTTAATCTTGGTGATACTTTGCTTTCTTTCTTTCTTTTTTTTTTTTTCTCTTCTAAAAAAAAAAGAAAAAAAGAGAAAGTGAAAAAGAGAGATAACAAACAAACAAAAATAAAATAAAGAAAGAAAGAAATGCAGTCAATTAAAGGGTAAATGTGTGTGTGTGAGAGAGAAAGAGAGGGTGTGTATGTATATTTATAAATATATATATGTATATAAAGGAGGAGGAGAAGATGAAATGGAATTAAATCGAACAAATAATGGTATCTAACAAAAAAAAAAAAAAAAAAAAAAAAAAAAGGTCTATACTGTATATATAAAAAAGTAGCCCTTTTAATTAATTTAATCAAAAACTTGTTATTAATCAATCATCCATTTAATTAAATGTTAATCTTACCTGGTAAAATAATAAAATTGCAAGACAAATTATGTGCTAATTAATAAGAAAGAGTAAGAAAAAGAAAAAGAAAAAGAAAAAGAAAATGAAATCAGCCTGGATCAAACATAAAATGTCGAAGAAAAAAAAAAAAATAGGACTAACGTCATTCTACTAATAAAAAATAATAATAATAATAATAATAATAAAAACATTTCAGATATTATGCTGAATCTTATGTAATATTTGCATTATTATAAAATAAAAAAAATAGATAAATATAAATTTATTGTTATTATTATGATTGTATACGTTGTTCTAAAGATCCAGAAGAAAGAATCGTATCTTGATTTTGTTCTTCAAAGCCTTCATAAGCTGGCACATAGTCATTGAATGATTTATTAGTATTATGAGTATTATTAGTATTAGGGGTATCATAAGCAGGTGCTGCCTCTTCTACTTTTTCTTCTTCAGCCTTTGTAGTAGTAGTAGTAGTTGTAGTGTGACCACCAGGTTGGTTCCATATAATTCTTTCATTACCAGCAACATAGACAGAGGGACTACTTGTGTTTGCTTGATCTTGACCTCCCAAGTATCGTTTTTTAGCATTAGGACTAAATAAAAAGACCCAAGCAAATAATTCATCAGGTATCAATCGAATGACAGCACCGATAGGTATAGATAAAAGTCCTACGACAATCGAAATCGCCCAGGCGACACCATTCACTCTCGTCACTTGGAATGCAGCACCACCCACATTAACAATAATGACTTGAAGTGCAACACATAAAGCAAAGATGAAGATGAAAAACTTGTTGGCGAGGATGTTGCTAAAGATGTTCAGATGAGAGTCGATACGTCGGCAATTGATTTCATTAAAGATTTGGCAAAAGACAAAGGTATTAAAGACGATGGTCTGTAAGATGGGGTCATTGGCTTCATAATGTAAGACATCACTGTATAATAAGATGGTGGTAACGACGATTTGGAAGATGGCTTGACCAATAATCATCTTCCACATTTTAAATGTGATGAGTGGTGCCGATCTTGGTTCAGGGGATCTTTCTAATAATTCCTTTGTGGGTGGGTCTGTTGCTAACGCCAAGGCTGCAAATGTATCCATAATCAAATTCACCCAGAGTAATTGAACAGCGGTTAAGACTGACTTTTGATCATGACTCACGACAGATGAAATAAAGGTGAGGACGACGGCAGTGATGTTGACGGTGATTTGAAATTCTAAAAATTTCTTGACAGAGTCATTCACACAACGACCCCACATGATAGCCTTCACGATACTTGAAAAGTTATCATCCATCAAGATGATACTTGATGCTTCCTTAGCTACCTCTGTTCCAGCGATACCCATTGAGAAACCTACATCAGCTAATTTAAGGGCGGGGCCATCATTAGTACCATCCCCTGTTACGGCCACGATATCACCCAGTTCCCTTAGACGACCGACGAGGATTTGTTTGTCCTCAGGACTGGATCGAGCCAAGACTTGTAAACGAGGTAAGATAGCATCCATCTCATGAGGGGCGAGAGAACGAAAGACGGGACCCTCCATGACAATACCACCTGCTGTATAAATCCCACATTGTTTAGCAATTGACTTTGCTGTTACAGCATTATCACCCGTCACCATACGAACAAAGACACCAGCACGTTGACATGCCTTGACAGCTTCTTTTACACCAGGTCGTAAAGGATCTTCGATACCTACGATACCGATCAATGTCAAGCCTCCTTTAATGATATCTTCGTAAGGTATTTCTTCTCCTTCTCCTTCTGCTTTCTTCTTTTTGATGTCCCAATCATCCAAATCACGATAAGCCAAGGCAATGGTACGCAAACTTCGAGAGGCATAACTTTGAATGATACGATCCAGACGATGACGATCTTCTTCCGTCAATGGACGTGATTTGAGTACATCATCTGTTGTCTTACTCAATGTCACGATACGTTGACATTGTTGTACTAAAATTTCAGAGGCACCCTTCACATGGACTCTAACAACACGTTCATCCTCTAGACGAATGACGGTTGCCATCGCCTTACGTTCAGAACTGAATGGGAAGACCTGAAGTTGAGGCCATTTCTTTCGAAGGTCATCATAAGCTTCACTCTTGGTATGTAATTTAGATAATTGTAAGAGAGCCGTCTCTGTCTTGTTACCCACAAATTGTAGAACACCCTCCTGTTCCGTTTCAAATGCAGTTGAGTTCACTGCAATACCTTGATTGAGTAAATGAAGAATAGGTAAAGGTACCCTTGATGATAGAGTACTGATATCATTAAGATCGACACGTTCTGTAGGGGCATCATGAAGGAATCTAAAGGAGGAACCCAAGGTACCAGCAACAACTGTCATTTTATTTTGCGTAAGCGTACCCGTTTTGTCTGAACAGACTGTAGTTGCATTACCCATTGTTTCACATGCAGCCAAAACACGAACCAAGTTATTGTCCTTGAGCATACGTTGAGTAGCATAAGCAAGAGCTATATATGAAAGGAAAAGAAAAAAAAAAGAGGTATGAGTATGAATATGAGCATGTGTATATACATATACATATACATATGCATATATGTATATATATTTATATATTTCTGTGCGTGTGCTTTACCTAAAGTGACAGCTAAGGGTAAACCTTCAGGTACAGCAACAACAATAATGGTTACAACTACAATTAAAATCCCCATTACTTGTTGAACAATTTCAGTTGCTACAGTGGGGATACCATCATACTTCCAATTGACGAAATATCGAATAAAAAGTACGATTAACATCAAGAGACCAGCAGCAGAACCTAATTTGGCAATCATGGACGCTAAATTATTTAATTTTTCTTGTAAAGGCGTTGATTCATTTTCTGTTCGAAGAGCCATCATTGTACGACCATAATAAGAATGAACACCTACGCCCGTTACCAAATAAGTACAAACACCTTCAAGGACTTTAGAGCCAGAAATAATAAAGGGATCTGCCTTTGGACTAGGTTTATATTCGTCAGAAGAAATAAAACTATTCATAGAAGAAGCTTCAGCTTTAGTTGTAGGGACACTTAAAAAGTTATCTATTTTAATTTCTTTAGGCTGTTGTTGTTGTTGTTGTTGATGGAAATAGCAAGATTCAAACGTTTGTTTACGAACAGCATCTGATTCACCTGTTGCTGCTGATTCATCACAACGTACATTATGACCTTCGATAAAGATACCATCAGCGGCGACAATATCACCAGGTTCAAGATATAAAATATCACCCACTTGAATATTATAAACAGATATTTGTACTGTTTGACCATCTCTTAAAGCCTAAAATAGATGTGTATATATGGGAATACATATTAAAAAAAAAAGAAAAGAAAAAAAAAAAAGGGAGATGCTTTTATATTTTATTACCTTGACAATACGATCTTCTTTTTTGCATTTAATTTTCTAAATTGTCTTTCTTTTTGAAAATCATTAACAGAGCCAACAAGAACAACGATCAAGATAGCTACAATGATAGCTACACCTTCAACCCATTTAACACCTGCAATTCTATTTCCTTGAGCATCATATTCTGGTACTGCGATATCTTCATATAAACCTACTGCTAAAGAAACTATAGCAGCTACCGCTAATAAAATCTATGTATGTATATAAATCAGTTTTTTTTTTTTATAAAGCTACACAACATAATAATCGGACTTTACAAGTGTTTTATCTTGAAATGCTAACCACATTAATTGAAATATATTTTTTGATTTTACGGGAGGTAAGACATTTGAACCAAAGATGGTAGTACGTATAGATTGAGTTGTATCTTCTGTTGTTGACGCATGTTCATGTTGAATAGGTGTAGGTGGAGGTGTAGTTGTGTTTAATTTACTTGAATCTAAAGTGATATCATATAAAGTAATAGGAGATTTGTTTAAAGCATCATCATCTTCCTTCTCTTTCTGCGTTAAACCCTTTTCTAGATCTGTATGTAAGCCTTTAGCCACCCCTTTTAGACCACCAAAAATATGTAATAATTCGATATTTTTAGGATCTTGTAAGGCAGCTAATTGATTAGATTGAAAGGCGAAAGGATTTAAAGGATCTGAATGTGGTGTAGTTAAAGTATCACGCATATCCACCTTTACATCGTTTATAGTTGATGACATTATAAAAGGAAAGGGAAAATAGATATATATAAAAAAAAGAAAAGAAAAGAAAAGGTAAAAAGAGAGAGAGAGAAAATAAGTTGAATGAGTCTTTTTATATAAAAAAAAAAGTGATTATATAAATGTGTGTGTGTGTGTGCGCTTGTGTGTTGTATGTGCTTACTTTATTAATAAAATATGTGTATTGGTGATTTTTTTCCTATAAGAGAATTCCAAGAAAAGACATTTGAATTACCGAATTTAACTTTTATTATAATTATTTTTTTTATTTACAAGCTTAAGGAAACAATCATTTGATTAATAACTATTCTAAGCTAAATTGACAAAAATTTACATTGAAGATCCTTCTTTTATTTCTACTACAATTAAAGATGTTCTATCATAGTAAAATTAAACTTTTTGTTTGTACAAAAATTACTTTATTTGATATGATTTACTACATAAAGAAAAAAAAAATAAAAAAGATGTGATCGACCAGTTGTTAAAGAAGTAAAAGAAATAATAGAAAATCATTGTTATAAACACACAATTCGATAAAGAATATTAAACGTTGTCTGTGTAACTTTTCTATAAAGAAGATCGACATTTTTTTTTTTTTTTTTTTTTTTTTTTTTTTTTTTATAAATCAAATAAGGTTCGTAATTCTTTTGTAGTAAGTTTTTGTTGAATAGATGAAAAGCTATTTTCTCCTAAAGCACTTTTCATTAATTGTGCCTTATATATGGATCGTTATTCAGTCATAGAATTCATTCATAGCTAAATATCATAAATACCTTTTTTTCTTGTAAAGCTAACATTTTAAGCTCAATAGAATTGTCAATTAATAATCTAGTAACATAGACGGGTAATCTTTGTCCAATTCTATATACTCTATCAATTGCTTGTTCTATCATATAATAATAAATAACCAAGTTTGTAGTATATAATTGAACAGTTAAAAAAAAAAGAAGGGACTCACCTTCTATTGCAGGATTCCACCAAATATCCATTAGAATAACTCTATTTGCTTCAGTTAAATTTAAGCTATTAGAAATATTGAATTATTTAATTTATCTATTTTATTTTTATTTTTTTTATTTTTAACCCAAACCCTAAAGAACCGCATTTTAATGATATCAGCATAATTGTACATTCTGGATTATGTTTAAATTCAATTAAATTCTTTTCACGTAAAATAGTTGACATAGATCCATCATCTATTGATTTTTGTAAAGTAAATAAATAATGACGTTTTTTTTTTTTTTATCTATCTATTTTACATCGAGAGTATTGAAATCCATTCTCTCTTAAGGAATCTTCCATTAAATCTAGCATTGAAGTAAACTGTGAAAATATGATTGTCTTTTCTTTTGGATTTTGAACTCGAGTTTCTTGTAGAATTTCTAATAATTTTTTCATTTTTGTACTACTACGACTATTGTTATCTGAGGAGGAAGACTTTAATGAGCTTAATATGGTTTTACATTCTTTACAGAAAGGCAAGTCTTCTTTACTATATCAAAAAAAAAAAAAAATTAGAAAAAGAATATTCTATTTGGAAGAAATTGCATAATAATAGTGTGTGTGTGTGTGTGTGATCATATTCTTTACTTTCCGCATAATTTACAACAGCCATCAGCATTGTTATTGATGACGGTTGTTGTTGTTGAGTGCTGATGGTTAATAATGTCTAAAGCATCTTTATCTTGTGTAATTGAATTAAATACAAGCTGAGGATGGTTACAAGCTATTATCATTTGTTATTATTATTATTATTACGTAATCTTATGTTCTATTTATATACATACAAATATATATAAATTCATGTATATTTTTATATGTATAGTTTTTTTTACCTTGTCGAAGTCTTAATAATAAACATAACATGTTTATATATCGATTTTCATTATATTCAAACACTAGAACTCTTGTTCTATTTAATAACATGTTGTATAAAGATCTTTCATAGTCTTCATTAAATTCAAGTAAAATGTCTTGTCTATACTTGATACTATAAACAATCGTATTATCCTCTTTTTTAGTTCTTCTCAACATGATAGCCATTAAAATACTTCTTATTTTCTCTAATATCATCTTTTCATTGCTGTTACTATTTTGATAAATCATCTTTCTAAATGCTTTATAATTGGACCATGGCTCTATTTTAAGAAATCTAAAAAAACTATAGAGTTCATTTATATTATTTTGGATAGGCGTCCCCGTTAGACACCATCGTTTTTTAGCCTGTAATTCACAACAACGAATTGAAATCTTGGTTTGATGGTTTTTAATATAATGCGCTTCATCTAATACGATACGATACCATTCAAAATTGAAAAGTGTCTCTTTATCTGACAAGATAAGTTGGTAGGTTGTAACGACGACGTCATAATTCTTGAATACGTTTGAATCATTTGTTCTATTGGGTCCATGGTATCTCAAGACATTGAGTGTGGGTGATTTTTGTTGAATTTCATTTATCCATTGATGGATTAAAGCGAGTGGTGTGACTATTAAGGTAGTAGTAGTAGTAGCAGTAGTAGCAGTAGCAGTAGTAGCAGTAGTGCTAGCAGTAGTGCTAGCAGTAGTACTAGTACTAGTAGTAGCCAGCTTTGTAGACGTCATTAATGCAATCATTTGTATCGTCTTTCCTAACCCCATCTATGAATAAAATTAGAAGAAATAAGAAGGAATTCGATTCATGTCTATATAATAACTTACATCCTAATAATAAGATAGTTTAATAATAACACTCAAGCGTTTTTTTTATGTATAAGACTTACATCTGCTAGTATGCCACCTTGACTGCTTTTATTATGTTCTCTATCTATCATCCAATGAACTCCTTTTAATTGATGCTTCATTAATTCGATTGTTAATCCATCTTGAACAATCAAATTCTCTTCTCTTTCTTCTTCTTCTTCTTCATAAGCAATACTATTTAATAACATTTCAATTTGTTGTTGTTGTTGTATTTGACCGTCATGATGATGTGTGTTTGTAAATGATCTCTGGTGCTGTAGAGACTGTTGACGGGCTTCAGGATGTGGGTTATAATAGTGACAACGAGGATTATAAAAGGGGGGTTGCTTTAAATAAAGTTGGTGTACTTTAAAATGATTTGCTATTGTATCTACATGTTTAGTTTGACAATAAAGAATGATATAAAGTGGTATGCGTGTCGATGTCGCTTTTGAATGTGGAATGACACCTTCCAGCTGTATTTTATCTCGTATAGGGCCCAAGACTCTTGTTTCTCTAAATGGAACCCAACCTAACTAATAATATGTAGATTTAAATAAATAAATTCAACTCTGATTATTATACACTTTACAAACTTTGAACAACTGATTCGTGAGATAACCCTGAATGCTATCATAATAAAAAGTAAGGGTGAGAGGTCTTTATTGGAATAAACAATCAATACTATTGTACTTTACAATATTCATTCGAGTTTAATTTCCCCTCATATTCTACTCGAACAGGCTCATAGTGTTCATCTTTATTGATTTCAAGAGCTGGTTTCTTTACTACAATATCTGTAATCATCATACCTATACAACAAAAGGGTGATAATAGGGTCTGGGGTGCTTGTAGTGTAATTTGAGAATTATGTATGGCTATCTTTTTTTCAAGTGGCTGATGAGCGTCACTCATCAAACGTTTGCGTTTTAGATCTACTTGATCTGAATTAGTAAATGTTGGATCTGTAGCCGATGAACTCGATTCTTTATTCAGATTCATTATAAAAATAATAATAGTTAAAAGAATAAATAAATAAATAAAAATAAAACGACACGAAAAAAAAAGAAAGAAAGAAAGAACAATTTTTTTTTGTTTGGTGTCTGAAAGGCTTGTTATATAAATGTATATGAGTCTATGTATGTGTACACATCATGTGATGAGGTTTTGCTTCTCCATAATAGTCATATGATGACCCTTACATTTCATTTCTTTATTGAAATAATAAGTCACTAAACATCATATGACATGTTGTAAAAATAAACAATTTTACTATTACTATACTTTAGAAGATAATGTTAAAAGAAAACTCTATCATACTCTCTTTTCTATCATAGTTTTGACATTTGGAATAGTCGTTTTAATAATATACCACAAAAAGAAGTAATAGAGCCAATTTCTTTTTTCATAAATACTTGATTAAACTACCAGAATAGCTTAGTAGGTTTCAACTCTAAATTGTAGGGAAATAGTAATCTCTTTTTAAATTGGTAAAAAAAAAAAAAAAAAAGTTGGAATAATAACAATAGGATAATGGCCTTTTATACTTACTCCTCTTTGCTTGTACTATCAAGAAACATGAACTTAAAGGATACATTTTTCTTATTTATGACTCTTTGATTAATATTATCAATAATATACTATTTTGAGTAGTTCTTTCCTTGATATCATTTTCTCCTATTATTTTATAGCTATTTAATAGATGGATTCCGTATCTTTTCTTGCTCTCCTTCATTCTTGAAAGAAGTCGTCTCTTACTTTGTTTTTTTTTATCATTGACACATGCGTAATACTCACTTTTCTTCTCTCTTTTTATCTATTTGAAAGTTTTTTTTTTCTTTCATGTTTAATGTGCTAAAAGAGTCGATTCTAGTGAACAATGCCACTTTTGACAAATTATGTTCATTAGCTCTCCTTCTCTATCATTGTTTATTTTATATTAAACAATAGGGCTCTAATAGCAATACCTTGAGAGATCAAGCATTGTATGTTCTTTTATGGAAAGACTATAAATACATGTTAATGATATCGCTGGGAATTCTTTTTTACATTTGTTGATTTGTTTGATATACTACAAACACACTCCCTTTATGGTTACCTTATAGCCTTCCTTCTGTTATATATATTTATATACATATATAGTCTTATTTGATGAGCATACTTTTTACATTTAGAGGATATTAGTTATTTTCTGTCTATAAAGACACATTTAAGCCATGAATCAGGTCACTTCCTTAAGATTATATAACCAAAAAAAAAAAAAAAAAAAAAAAAAAGACGATTAAATATATACCAGTAGTCTATTTCGATATTTACATTATTCGAACAAAGTTAATGGCTTAGTCATTCGTTGTTCAAATGGTAAATATCTCAAATAATTAAAAAAAAAAAGGCTCATTCAAATGACTGTATTTATCGAATCTTTTTATAATTCCTTCCTCCAAAGAACATACAAGACAGGCGTAAATATTCTATTTTTATTACAGCGAGTTTTATTTTTTCCTTCAAACTTTCTGCCTATATTGATCCTCTGATTTATCTTTTTGTTTGAATGCAGTTTTACTCATACTGGTTATCTGGTTTATATACTCGGTAATAAACCAAAAGTCTTGCATTGCTTCCTCTCTCTGCCTTGCCTTCCCCTCCCTTCTATCATTTTCTCATCCTATATTATTCAAGCATGAATCTCGCTCAATTGCATTTGTTTTAAGTACCTTCAAATATTATCTTTGTCTCCCTCCTTTTTTTTATTATTATTATACCACCTTTCTTATTAATGTTCCTAGGAAATAAATAAGTAATTATCTGTCTTTCTTTAGTTGTTTATTTATTTAGTAATTACTGCCTCCTCTTTTATCTAACGAATTTCATGTCAAGTAAAATGTATCATGATGGCATATTGTTATTTTTTCTTTCATGTGACATTTATATCAATCTAAATAATAGAACTAATATCCATAGTAACATGACATCATAAAGGGTATCTTAGCATCAATGAAGAGTCTATTTTTTCCGACTTTACATTCATCTTTGTTAATTAAAAGAAATATTACTATTCTATTGAATTTTGTAGTATCTAACTAACTTGTCATCTTCCTTTCTTCCCTTCATCGTACTGTCTTTTTTTTTTTTTTTTTTTTTTTTTTTTTTTTTTTTTTTTTTTTTAAAAAAAAAAAGGAGATCACCCGCATTCATTCAAATTCATCTCCATACATAATCTCCGCTTTTCTTATTATACACATAAATGGATACATTTTTTTTTTTTTTAATCGTAACATGACTCTATTATTATCAAGAAGTTTCACTTATAAAAAATGAAAAAAAAAAAACTCTTTAATAAAATTCTTTTCTTTTTTTTTTCTCGTTTCCTTTTCTTTAAAAAAAAAGCAAAAGCAAAAGCAAAAGCAAAAGCAAAAGCAAAAAAAGAAAAGGAACCATTATTATGTCAATTGAGGCATTACGAGAAGATTTAAATACGACGATTGTTACACAAGAAAAGAGCCATCAAGAAGAAGACTTTGAAATCAATAATAATAACGAACTCACACGAACCTCTACTTTACAAAGCGTACAAAAAAAGATGACCAACCTTTTAGACAATATTGTCTTTGCTGCATTTTTAATAATTATAGCTGGTGCTTGTGTAGCATTTCAAGCAGGTGGATATAAGATGCAATATTTATAAATATATATTTTTTTTTGATAGTATTATTAACACAATTTTTTATGTTATATTTACTCTATGAAGGCTGTAATGCTACATTAAATCGATATGGTGGTAGATCATTTTCCTCGGTTATTTCATTTTCTGTAGGTCTGATATGCTGTTTATTATTCTTTACATTTGATATAACACTAGCAAAGACACCATTACCTACTGAACATGTCAAAAGTAACGTTGTTCTATATTTAGTATATACTTACTCATCCTCACTCTTATTTTTTTTTGTTTGAATTTATATATATTTATATATAGCTGCACCATGGTATGCTTGGATAGGTGGTATTTTAGGTGCTTATTATGTGATTATTAATATTTTGACTGTTCCAAGATTAGGCGCTGCGACGGTATTGAGGTAATAATAATAAAAAAGATAGTGGTGATGACCTATAATATGATGAAATATTAAAAATTCATATAATCGTTTTCTTTAGTATATTTGTGTGTGCTCAGGTAAAAAAAAAAAAAGAAAAAATGATTTATTTTATTATTTAGAGGGTGGCAATTTTGATGGACTCATTCATAATAATAATAATAATAGATTATCACAGCATGTCTTATTGATAACTTTGCATTAGTTGGTGTCGAAAAACGACCTTATACCATTTGGAGAATTTTGGCTTCTTTAGGCTTGGTAGGATGCGTTGTGGTGATTGCTAAATTTTAATGATAAAAAAAAAAGCCCCTTTCAATACCCATACTACGTCCCTTTTTAATGTATATATTTTTTTTATATGTGTATATTTTTTTAACCAATTAAAGTTACACGACCAAAAAAAAAAAAAAAAATAGAGATAATAACAAAATGTAAATTTCCTTTCTTTTTCTTCTGATTTTTTTTCTTTTCTTTAAATATAATATTTATCATATAATGGCAAGTCATAATTATGCAGCGATAGAAGACCCGGGAAACTCTAGATTATCACAGAATAACACTCCTTCAGTTATCAAGCGACTCTTCTACTTTATTCGTCGCCATTTTTATCATTTATTAACACTGTTTACTATTGGCATTATCATGATTCTCTTATTTGTCTATACTTTCTTATTACCTTCTGATGCATCTCCAAACCCATCTTTAGCAGAGGTAAGGCCGGTAGGTATTTCATTGGCCACAATGGAAGAAGGTCGTGCCAAATGTCGCGCCCTTCTTCAAAAACAGGAATATCCATCTAGTTACGAAAATCTTCGTGCTGATCCTAACCAACCACCTATCTTGTTAAAAAATGCTATTGTTTGGGATGGTCAGGGTAATATTCTAGCCAATGTCGATCTCTATTTAAAGAAAGGTTTAATTGAACGTATAGAAAAGGAGATTTCATTGGAGACACTCATAGATAAAGATAAGATTAAAGTGATTGATGTAGCTGGACATATTGTAACTCCTGGTATTGTCGATATGCATAGGTAAAATAATAACCAAACCTCTGTATAAATAGATAGTAGTAGTAGTAGTAGTAGTAGTAGTAGTAGTAGTGGTAGTGGTAGTGGTAGTGGTGGTGGTGGTGGTGGTGGTGGTGGTGGTGGGAGGGGGAGTTTTTTTTTTTTTTTTTTTTTTTTTTTTTTTTTTTTCCACTTTATGCTGTAACAGTAAATAATAAAATCGAGTAAAAAAAATAAAATAAAAAATAAATAAATTATAGTCACTTGGGTGTTGATTCTTGGCCTGAATTAGATGGAACAGATGATACAAATGAAATGACACAACCTTTAACCCCTTTTGTTCGTACTTTAGATGCCTTTAATCCTTCTGATAAGGCTATTCGTATTGTAGCTTCTGGTGGTGTCACGACTACTTTAGTACTACCTGGTTCTGGTAATTTAATGGGTGGTGAGGCCTTTGCGTTCAAGTTGAGACCGATGGTCAGTACTGAAGATATGCTTGTTCAGGCTAAATTAAATCCCGATGATCCATACAAGAGAAGATGGATGAAAATGGCTTGTGGTGAAAACCCAAAGGTAAGGTGTAATATATAGATAGTATTTATATAATAATAGTAATAGTATATATAATCACTAGAGAGTATATGGCCACCGAAACATGATGCCATCTACACGTAAATAGAATTATTATTTGCTATATGTGTATGCATAAAAGAATCTCACGGTCTTTTTTTTTTCCCCTTTTTCTTTTCTTTTAGGTCTTGGTGAAGCCTTTCTCTTCCGTAATGAATTTGCAAAAGCTCAAGCACTTAAGCGTCAACAAGATGATTGGTGTCAATCTGCATTTGATAATAATAATAATAATCAACAATCTCTTTTGGACCAACCTTTCCCAGAGGATCTTCAACTCGAATCTTTAGTAGCTTTATTACGTCACCAAGTACTTCTTAATGTTCATTGTTATGAAACACATGATATTGAGGCCATGGTTCGACATGCACTCGAATTTAATTTTACTATAGCTGCATTTCATCACGCCCTTGAAGCTTATCGTATACCACAGATCTTACGTCGATTATCACCTCATAAGGTGCCAACCGTAGCGACTTTCGCAGATCATTGGGGGTATAAAAAGGAAGCCTTTGGTGGTAATCCAAGGGCTCCTGAGATCTTGTGGAGGGCCTCTATACCTGTTGCCCTCAAGAGTGATCATCCTGTACTTAATTCTCAAAGATTGATGTTTGAGGCTGCCAAGGCAGCTCATTATGGATTACCTGCTCAAGAGGCCCTAAAGGCTGTGACATCGACCCCCGCCAATGCTTTAGGGTTAGGACATCGCTTAGGTTCTATCAAGAGAGGTTATGATGCTGATCTTGTTATCTGGGATCGTGATCCATTGACATTGGGTGCGTCCCCCTTGCAAGTCCTTGTAGATGGCGTCCCCCTATTTGAGGATCGTCCAATAACAGACCTCATCATGAAAACAACGCCCCATCATGAAAATAGTCGAGTAGTCAATGTCATAAAAGGAGGAGATTCAACCGATTTTATATTAAAAAATGTGGGATATTATCATGCATTGAAATCAAAGGAGCCTATCGATATTGTTGTTAAGAATGGTTCTATTGTGTGTGCTGCAGTTGACTGTATGGAAACATCCGATAATATGATTCCAAAATATGATATACAAGGTGGATATGTTCTCCCTGTAAATAATATAATAGATGAAATAGAGTGTGCTGAAGCTTTATATTAACTTGGCTCATCTACTTTGACTTTTATCTATTTTATAGGGTTTTATTGGAGTAGGATCTAAGTTAGGCTTAGTTGAAATAAGTGCAGAAGCAAGTACAAGTGATGGACGTATGCATTCTACACTATCAATGGACCCTAAATCGATCCCTCAAACTGTGGATGGTATTAAATTCAGCACACGCCATCTTGAAGAGGCCTATCGAGGTGGTGTCTTAACAGCCATCACGACTCCACTTTCTGATCATGTTGTCATGGGTGTTTCAGCTGCCTTCAAGACAGGTGCCTCTTCTTTACTTCAAGAGGGTGCCCTCATATCCCCTGCCGTTGCTTTGCATTTTCAAATTGGTCATCATCTCAAATCGTCTGCTTTCCCTACTATCTCTAGTCAAATCAGTTATATTCGACACCTCTTGATGACGTATATGAAAGCAGATAATGTATATGGACAAGCAGCACGTGGTGAGATACCTACGGTTATTGTAGCTCATAACAAGGATGAGATTGCATCCCTAATCATCCTCAAGAGAGATCATGTACCCAAGATGCGATTGATTATTCAAGGTGGTGCAGAGGCTCATCTGGTTGCTAAACATCTAGCTGAATTTGATATCGGTGTCGTACTTTGGCCTAGCCTTTGTACACCAGCTAGATTTGATTCAAGACATTGTTTAACAGGTTCCCCCTTAACGAATGGTACAGCAGCTCATGTTTTACATCAAAATGGAGTTCGTGTCGCCATTGGCATCAGTGACGATGGTTGGGCACGTAACTTGGCATGGGATGCAGGTTGGCTTGCAAAGACAGGATATGGTATTAATGAAACAGATGCCATTGACTTTATTACTACTAACATTCAAGCACTTTATGGTCTTTTCTTCTCTTCATCATTAGTTGATGAGTTTATCGTTTATGATAAAAGTCCATTTGATATGAACAGTCGTATCCTTATGATTCATAGTAAATAAAATTTGGGCCAATAATTTATTTCCAACAATAAATTAAATAAAGGTCCGATAAATTAAATCGCATACAAACAATACGCACTATATGAAGATACATTTTTTTTTTTTTTTTTTTTTTTTTTTTTTCAACGTGTGTTAGATGATGTTGCGAGGCTACTTGATTACGTTCATCTTCATCTTGTGGATTGTTCTAGTAACAGCAGGAAAAGATTATTATAGTATCTTGGACGTGCCTCGTGATGCACCTAAATCTCAAATCAAACGTCATTTCAAGAAATTATCAAGAGTTTATCATCCAGACAAGAATTCAGGTGATGAACAAGCTTCACAGAAATTTATGGAAATAGCCAATGGTATATTTGAAAGAAAAAACATGTCTTTTTCTTTTTTTTTACACATGTGTATCTATAGCTTATGAAGTGTTGATGAACGATGAAAAAAGAGCCATTTATGATCGTTATGGCGAAGAAGGATTAAAACAAAGTGGAGGACATGGAGGAGGAGGAGGAGGAGTATTCCATGATCCCTTTGATATCTTTTCTCATTTCTTTGGTGGTGGTGGTGGTCATAGTAAGTTATCTCTTTTATCTCTTTTATGAAAAACTACATCTAAAATTAACTGCCTTACTAAATACTTTTTTTTTTCAATAAGGACATCATCAACAGGAAAAGAGAGGCCCAGATGTGACAGTTCCACTTCAAGTCACCTTAGAAGATATATATAGAGGCGTAGAAATAGAGATAGATATTAGTAAACAAGTCCTCTGTGAATATTGTCATGGTAGTGGAGCTCGTCAGCCCGAAGATATTCATACTTGTAATGTCTGTGAAGGTCGTGGAATGATCGTTAAACGTGCTCAAGTGGGTCCTGGTATGTTTCAACAATTTCAACAAGTGTGTCATCAATGTGGTGGAAAAGGTAAAATCATTCAACATGTCTGCACACACTGTGGAGGAAAGAAGGTGAAACGAGGAAATGAAAATTATTCAATTCATATTGAACGAGGCATGAGTGATGGAGAGGCAATTGTAAGTATTATAAGCCAAGAAGAAAAAATAAATAAATAAAATAGAATGGGGCTCCTTACTGTTGTTTTCTTTTAAGATTCTTGAAGAAGAAGGAGATGAATATCCTGATACCATTTCAGGTAATATTATATTTGAACTAAAGACAGTCCCACATGAAAGATTTGAGAGAAGAGGCCATCACTTGTATACCAAACAATACATTACACTTATTGAAGCTTTGACTGGATTTAAAAAGACTTTAAAGCATTTAGACGATTCAGAGATTGAACTCAGTAGAGAGGGCATTACTCAATATGGATATGTGCAAACTATTCAAGGTGAAGGCATGCCAGATAAACAGGATCCTTCAAAGCATGGAGATTTATTTGTAGAATACCAAGTCGTATTTCCTACCGAAATTAGTAAAGAAACAATTGACTGTAAGTTACCATCCTATCTTTCCTTTCTCATTTTTACTTATTCATTTATTATAGACTTGAAGAAAGGGAGTACATTTAAAGAGGAAAGAACTAAAGAAGAGCCTCATTTAATACATCAGGAACTTTAATCATGTGTAGTTTTTTTTTCTCTCTTTTTCTTTCTTTCTTTGTACCTGTATAAACATATTAAAACGTATTTCTATAAATATATTCTACAGCAAATACTCCTTAATAGCTATTATTTGCAAATAATGAAATCAGTTTTATTACCTGATTTTGCTATATTTCATGAGATAAACGGAGAAAAAAAAGTAAGATTTATAAATTAAAAGCTACACAACATAACGCTATAAACATGAAGACTGTGCACAATTGAGATTATACTAACAAAGAGAATAATGAAATACATGTCATAATACACATTAAATGTTCCTTAAAAAAAAAAAAAAAAAAAAAGTTGTTTGCATAATAAAAATACGCGCTTATATTTACAAAAAAAAAAATATGACATTAAAGTCTATTTACTTATTAAACAATGAAAACCTTTTATATATAAATACACATATAAAGTTAAAAAATATTCATCATGTATAATCTATATACTTTAATATGATTACACCTGCTGAACTTAATCCAAATGCAAAACTGAATGAGGCAGCGCCTTCTCCAGTTGGTTTCAAAAATGTTCCTTCAATAGACTCTCCAATTACACTTAAAGTAGAAGGCAAAATACCGTCTTGGGTGAATGGTACCATGTACAGATCAGGTATATATCCATATATATGTATATACGCTTAATAATTTACATTATTATTTAAAAAAAAAAACAATCCTATAGGCACAGGAAAATACAATATTCTATTAGACGATGGTAATACTTTCCATATAGGACATCCCTTTGATGGACTTGCTATGCTTCATCGTTTCGAAATTATAAATGGTACTGTAAAATATAATTCACGACATACTTCACATGGTGTTGAACGACGTATTGGTCAAAGAGATCCAACTCTTTTAACGTTTGGACCTGATCCCTGTAAAACCATCTTTGGTAGAATGCAGACGGTCTATCATCATATCTCCAAGTTTGGTTCAAATGCTGCTTTACAAGAAAATGATTCTGAATTTGATATGGTCAACGTGACCATCACTCCCAATTTCCCTCTTGGTGAAACTCTAGAAAAGGAAACAGGTATTAAACGTGGTGAAGCCCTGGTGGTCAAGCGTGATGCGAATACATTACAAGTAGTCGATCCAGAGACATTAAGTAAGTAACATTCATATACATATAATAAAATAATAATAATAAAAAAAATCAGTCTGATTATTATTATTATTATTACTCTTAGAACCACTCAAAATGTTTACTTATGGTCATATCAGTAAAAAGTTACAGGGCCAACTTTGTGCATCTCATCACCAATATGATGAAGACACGGACGAATATGTAAATTTTATGGTACGCTTAGGACCTTTCCCCACTTTTCAAACTTTTACCTTGGGTCCATACTTGCCTACACCTCCTGGAGAGAAAGAGCAAGTAGAGGCCCCTCAACCACGACTTCATCAACCCATCTGGCGTCATCTTGGTGCCTGGAAAACCTTAGAGGCCTTAAAGCCCTCTTATATTCATTCCTTTAGTATGACGAAAAATTATATCATTATTCCCAACTTCCCATATTACTATTCATTTGGTGGTCTATCAGCGATCTATTATTCATCTGCCTATCAAACCTTTTATTGGGATGAAACACGACATACCTTATTTCATGTTATTGATCGACATACGGGTCATCATGTAGCTACCTATGAGGCAGATCCTTGCTTTTCCTTTCATACCGCTAACGCTTGGGATGAGGACATTGAGTTACCGGGGGGTCAAAGGGAACGTGTGATCTACATGGACTATTGTATGTACGAAAATACAGATATTGTGGATGCTAGTTTTGAGCTTGGGAAGACGCCAACAGGTGGCATTGACCTAGATCAAGTACAACCCGCTCGTTATCGATTTGATAAGTTGACAGACCATAAAGAAGAACATCAGATCTCACCTGCTCAGTTTCGTCGGTATCGTTTAGGCCAAGTTCCCGTCACGAGACAACCCCATGAGGATCCTGAAGCCTTCTGGAAGCCATCATGGAGGGATACCTTTCGGTTTTCAAAGTGGACAAGATACAATAAGAGACGAGTGGCGTCTTATGAGGTGATTGGCTATGATCTTGAAATGCCTCGATTCAATCCACGTTATAACATGAAGCCCTATCGATATTGCTATGGTGTCTGTGAATCTAGGTTTGCACCCTCTTATGCATCAGGAGCTGTCGTAAATGGGTTAATCAAATTAGATCTTGATCACATTTATTTAGGTGCTAATACAGATCCTGAAAGTACAGCCAAGATCTGGGATGAGCCTGGTTGCTCCTGTGCAGAACCTATCTTTATTCCACATCCAGAAGCCATAGAAGAAGATGAGGGAGTCATCATGTCTATCGTCAATACCACCCTTCAAGATGGTTCTGAATCCTGCTTTTTATTAATCCTAGACGCTGCTAGTTTTACTGAACTCGCAAGAGCAACCATCGGTGCCTTTAATGCTATCACTTTACATTCTAGTTTTGTTGACCCATGCGGGCGAGGTATTGCAGTTAATTAATTTTTATTGTTACTACTATTATTATTATCATGAATAAAATCTATACTGTATTTTTCCCATTGATACCAAGTTAAAGCTTGGACTAAACAATCACTCATGTCATCTTGTTTTTTCTCTCTATAAAACCTGTTTTTCAATTCTTCAGGACAATCGATCATCTTATCGGACTCAAGCCAGGAGCGCACTAGTAATGCAGTGGCCTTCTTTTTTCTCGCTGTTTTAGATTGAAGGGATTGGAGACGTGGAGAGATGGATATGATGTCTTCAAGTTGGGTTTGCCAGTTTCTGTCAATGATTTGACGTGAAATCGGTATCATGTTCGTTCCACCAGCTATTTCAAAAAGACCATACCAAAGCATGGCTTCGACACAATTGACACGTAAAGTCACTTCAAAGACAGCATGCCCCCCACCTGAACGTGCTCTCTGTCGTTCGATTAGGATATGATCGACATTCCTGACATGATGTTGAATGGAGTGTATAAATTGACGTAAAACGGGTGCCATCACAGATGGATGAAAGGAAGGCAATTCAAGATCTACTCGAGCCCAATCAATCACCGTCTTATCTTTATCTAAAACACAATAAGCCAGGTTACGATATCCAACATCAAATGACAAAATCGTCTGTGAAGGCCTGATCTGGTTGCTAAAATGATGTACTAAACGATCAATAACTTCTACTTTTGTACCACTGCTAAGAACGCCACTCTTGATGGCAATCGATTTCAGTTCAACAGATTTCTGAGACTTTAAATACGTGACGATTCTATCTGTACATAGACTTCTTTTAAATAATTTAAACATGGGAGGGATATTGAGCAAGAAAAAAAAAAAAAAAAAGAAAAAAAAATAAAAAATAAAAAATAAATAAATAAATAAAAATAAAAATAAAAATAAAAATAAAAATAAAAATAAAAAAGAAGGCAAGAAAGTAACCAAATTATTTTTTTTTATTAAGAAAAAAAAAAGTTCGACTTAGAAAACAAGAGCAGCACCCTTAGTCTTCTTGTCACCACCCAATTCGAAGTGCTTGCATCTCTTAATAGCCAATTGCATCTTGTACTTGCAAACTATAGATTCCAAAAAAAAATTAACATCCAATATACTACTATGTTACAGCTCTCTTCAATCTACTTTACCGGTACATTCCAAACGAAGAACAATCTTCTTGGTTGTCTTGGCCTTCTTGTGGAAAACAGGCTTGGTTTGACCACCATAACCAGATTGCTTACGGTCGTAACGTCTCTTACCTTGAGCGAAGAGAGAGGCCTTACCAGCCTTGTATTGAGTGACCTTGTGAGGAGTGTGCTTTCTACACTTGGCACCCTTACAGAATGTGTTTCTGGTCTTGGGAATGTTGACCTATAAAATTGAAAAAAAATATGTTAATAAAACCAATGCCCTGCTCTCTCTTTTGTGATGTCATAAGTTTTTCCTCCGTCCTTCCTCCATTCGTTTCCAATCATCACATTATATAATCGAATTCTTTTCAATTGTCAATTCATGCTGGGGAAAAAAAAAAGTGTCATCATCGTCTGTTGAACAATTTCAAAATGATTGATCCGCTTTAACAAGATATAACTGATCTGAACGAATGGATAGGTGGGTGGATGGATGGATAGATGAATGACTATATATAACTTTACCATTGTTAAATATCTAACAGAAAGAAGAGAAGGGATAGACAAATTTGGATATGATTTGCTTGTGTTGAGCTTTCTGCGATCCAGTGTAATTTTCCGGAAAAATATTGCTCCCGGACTATTTTTATTTATTATATTTTTTTTAGTTTTTTTCTTGATCTTTCCTATTATTAATAAGATATTCTACTTTGCTCCAAAATAGTAATAACGATAAAGTAGTCTAACTATTGCTACTAAAGATAATAAGACATATTTGCTGAATCCTTAATAATATAACAAGCCTAATTTATTATCTCATATCAGTTCTCTATCAATTCCCAAATAGTTATGAATGAGACTACTATTTGTACTCTGTGTATACTATTCTAGCAAAGTAGTATATCTAACACTTAAAAAGATATATTAAAGAATTGTATACAGATATATGAATAGAAAGTAATACTCGAGAAGACTCTTTCTATTTTAGCGTATGTAAGCCCTGTTCTTTAGAATAAGTTGTTTCTAATATAATGACTGTGTTTATATTCTCGTTTTCAATAAAATCATTACATAATCAGTCTCTCTCTCTCTCTTTCTCTCTTTTTCTCTTTCTTCAGTTAAACTTAATAAAAGATAACCTATTCAGATATATTTATAATAAAGAACAGATATAGCTGAGTTCTCTCTGTAGCTAAGTGCCTTGTTGGTAGATAATAAAGCCTTGTAGAGACAAAAATTATCACAGGTATACTGCTAATTTATATGTCCATCCAAGTTCTTTTTTGTTCAAGTCGGAATACTCCCCCCCATCCTTTTTTTTTTTATCAAGTGCATTATAAGAGAAATAGATGTTAGTGAAACAAAAAATGACAGACTAGAATATGATGTTTTGCTCGAGAAGAGTCAGAGGAACCCTCCAAGTCCTGTTATATAAATAGAATCGACCAGCATTTTTTTTTTTTACATAATATAATAAATTATAGTATACAAAAATAAACCCCTTCGAAATATAGAGTGTCCTTTTTCTTTTTTATTTAATCAATCAATCTCTTTCTCTTAAAGTAACGACGCAAATAAAGGATTTGCCAAGTACCAAGAGCAAACAAAGTAAATAAAGAAAGAATACTAAACCACTTGACACGTTCATTTGTAGATTCTATAATAGCGATATTATATATATGTATGTATGTAAGTATATACACTTATTTTTATATGTCCATTTTTTTTTTTTTACCATTTGTGTCTCTCATTCTCGCTTCACGTCGCTTCAAATAATTCATCTCATCAACAATTTCCTTTACTACAGTCTCCAATTTACGAAGTTCAAGTTCAAGAGGAGTTAACTTTTCAGCTTTAGCCATGTTCTTAAAGTCAGTAGCCTCTGCGCCAACACTGAATTGTAATTCAATTGTGCGTCTATATTGTGATCCTTCCTGGAATCCTACAAAAAAAAAATAATGATTGATATATGTATATATATTTCTCAGCTAATGAACATATACATCTATATATTTACCATCATCAAGTACATTGGTGAAACAGACCATAACCTCACCATCATCAATCGTAGTAAAAGCATTACGAAGTTCACCATTCACATTACTCTTTTTAATGTAAACATTACGATTTTCTGAGGTATCTGTAATCTAATGATACATGTATATATATGTATACACACACACACAAAAAAAAAAAGAAACTAAATCAATACACTCTTCCCTTTTAACTTTTTTTTTCTATAATGTTTCATTACCTCGAGCTCAACGCGTTGATTGTATCCTTCGCCCACGTTAACAGTGGCCAAAATTAAGGTATCTTTGGACACGTATTGTGAAAGACATTTAGTCCCTTCTGCAAATCTATCTTTTTTAACAGCAGATAAATCAAACTTGATGGCACTGGTCAATGCAAAAAAGGTCGAAACGACGACTAGCAATAATGACCGAATATACATTTTAAACTATAAATGTCTATTATATATTTATAAATATAAAAAAAAAAAGGAGTAATTACAACTGTAGTCGCGTGCGGCTTTCTTATTGAATAAAAACAAAAAAAAAATGAATCGGAAAGTCAAATAACCTTATAACCTTATACATATAAATAAAATAAAATAAAATATAAAGGAATTCATGTAACAGCAGAATGGATTATCACTTATTTTTTTTATATGCAGTATTGGCTTCTTTCTTTTGTTGATGTTATATATTTTGTAGCTATTTAAATAAAAGAAAAAAATACCTCTGCTTCTTAAAATAACTAAAGCAAGTAAAATAGTAGTGTTGATACAAGTCTTTAAACTGAGTGAATACAAACATTTCCTACTCTTTTTTTTTCCTTTTATTCTTTGATAAATAGGAAATATCCCTCTTTTAAAAAGAAAACAAAAATAATAAGTGTAAGATTGGCATATTGAGATTTACTATTACTACTGCAAAAAAAAAAAAGCATCAAAATTATGCCATTATATTATAGTCCGCAAGCCACTTTAATTTTTTTTTCCCTTTCTTTTATTTATTTATTTCTTTATATAAATATATACATATTCCCCCCCCCTCCCCTTTATTCACATGCCTGAACCACTCATCTCACCAGCAGAAAAGAGTTATATAGAGCAAGGTGTAGAAGATGACTGTCGTGCCGATGGTCGTGCTCGCTTTGAATACCGTCATATTGTTCTTGAAAGTGGTCTATTGTCACAAGCATCAGGCAGTGCACGTTGTCGATTAGGTGATAGTGATGTACTTGTAGGTGTTAAAGTGGAAATTGGTGAGGTAGATCCTACTCGACCCAACCAAGGACGACTTGTGTGTAATGTAGAATGGTAAAAAAAAGTCATTCAATCATATATTGTATTGCGTGTGCTGATATACCTTTTTTTTTTTTAAAAAAAAAAAAAAAAAAAAAAGCTCGCCTAGTGCTTCACAACAATTTGAAGGCCGTGGAGCTGATGAAATCAACAATACATTGACATTGGCACTTGATCGTGTATTTAGTGGCCCTCAAAGTGGACTTGATCTTGAAAGTTTATGTATTATTCCAAATCAACAATGTTGGATCATCTATATTGACGCCATGGTAAAAGAAAAAGAAAGAGAAAAAGAGAGAGGGAGAGAGAAAGGGGGAGAGGCAATTATGCAATTTTATAATAATCATTCTAATCATTTTTGATTAGGTTATGGATGCAGCAGGTAACTTACTCGATTGTATCGTCATGACAACTCGTGCAGCTTTACACAACACTCGCATCCCTAAAACTCAATTAATTGATCTTGAAGATGGTGATGTTGAATTTGAAATTGTTGATGACGTTGAAGAAGCAGAACCACTCAAGGGCTGGCAAAACCTACCTGTTACAATTACTCTCTATAAGATTGGTCAGCGATATGTAATTGACCCAACTAGTTTAGAGGAACTTTGTTCACAGGTGACATTAACAGTAGGCGTCAATCGATTAGGTCAAGTGTGTGGTATCAAGAAAGGGGGTCGTGGTAGTCTAGAACCCAGTCTACTGAATGAGATGGTGGGTACAGCTACAACATTGGCCAAGCCCCTTATTGAACAATTGGACACTAAATTAATAGAAGAGGAGACTAAAGTGCAGGAAAAGAAGAAGGTAGGACAGCCTGTGGAAACACTTGGTTTCTTTGCTGCTGTCATTTAAACAAAAACAAAAACAAAAAAAAAAAATGAAAATAAATGATTATTTGTTTATATGTGTATACAAATGTATTATTATTATTATTATTTATTATTATTCTATAAGGTTTTCTTTTCTAATATTATTACAGCAAATCCAACATTTGCCTAAACCAATTTGACTCCAGCCTGCCTTCTTAAATAGGTTTGCGCTAGGAGTATTATAGGATTCTACACAAGCATTAATATACATTTGTGATAGAGGCACATCGGGTAAACATTGCTTATAGAAATCAATATAACGTCTTGTAATATCTATTAAAATGATTTCTGCAAGACCTCGTCTACGATAATCTGGCAAAACATGCAAAGCTCCCACATAAACTAATTACATACAAATATAAGAAAAAGAAAATAAAAAAAAAATCAATTCAATTCAATTCAATTCAATTCAATTACTTACGATCTCTGTGAGTCATGGCCCATGCAACAGATTCATTTGTATCGACTTTCTTGATCGCGCTTGTCATACAAAAACAAGCCTCTACATATTCTCTATCAAACAAAATCTTGTTACTAATTCTTACAAGTTCAACATCATCTGGTTTGACTAATTCTGTCAACTTGAGTGTAGGTGGTAACTGAGTGATAGGCAATAAGGGTGTCGAAGCCTGCTTGACAAACCTATAACAAATAGTTTCATAATCCTTATTAAATTCATCAAATACACTATGCCATAATAAACTAACATCAGCGTATTCAATCGTGAGGCGATTATCTAATTGAAGATGATGTAAGACGGCTTGTTTGACCTTGTTTAAACTTTGTCGAAAGAGTTCTTCATCAGCTTCAGAAACAAAATAAGGTCCCTTATAACCCTTATTATCAGCTAATGTAGCAGCTGTGATTATCATGGGTGCATGATCAAGTTGAGGCTCGGTATTCACATAGATACGAGTACGTTTCTCGCTAATAATAATCCAAACAACAATGTCGGATGTATTTAAGGGATCAGGATGAGAAACCCAAATGTGTTGAGATCTGTCAAAATCGAAACAAGCAGTCCCAATGAAATGACCGAGCAATGACGAAGTAGTGGGAGTATGTTTTGTAAGGTACTGTTTGAATTGCTCGATTTGGGTCTCACTAGTCCAAGGATATAGTGTAATTGTCATTGCTATGTCAATAAATACAAATAAAAAAAAAGGGGTACACGGAAAAAAAAAAAAAAAAACTTTTTGACAATACCATTTTATTTCCTAATTAGGGATAACTTTTTCCCGATCTGCTACCTTTTTTCTATTAAAATAAACCAATTGTCGTTCATAATCAACTGAGAGAATACAACTAGGTTTTACAAGTCTATCCATTTCTTTTAAAACAATATTATTATCATGATAAATGCCTATCCATTGTCCAATCCAAGAAATCGACGTCGATAAATAAGCTTTCCTTAAGGTGTTAATAGCTTTTCGTCGCATCACATCATTGTAATTATTCATAAGAACCTTAAATGTCCAATAAGGATTATAATGGTATAAACGAAAATAGTGAATTGGATTTTCCTGTGAGATCGATTTAAGTAGGTGTTTTCCAAAGTTCCCTTCATGTGTATTTAAATCAAGATAATGAACGTGTCGCCATGCTAATTTTAAATTTTGTAAATAGCACGAATGATATAAAATACTCAACACAACATAATAAGATTGACGTTGACTGCAAGTAGTAGACTTTAAACATAATTTAATAAGTGTCTGTCTCAATTTGTGGATTATTTTGAAACTTACTATTTTAGTGTATAAATGATCCAACAGTCCAATTAAGCTCTTTGAAAGTTCTTCATATCTTTCAGCTTTGACACAACAATCCGCAGATAACTCAAAAACTAGTATTGTTTAAGATTCAGATTACGTAATGATAAAGCTTTTTTTTTTTTTGTTAGTACATCTATATTACCTTTTATTGCAAATGAGTAATCACTATAGCTCCAATGAGTAGCATAGACACCTTCTCGAAGTTTACGTAACAAATCGACAATAGGATCCCATTCTTTTTTATCTTTTTCATCTTTAATACCTTCGGAGATCTAATACACCTTATCAATAAATATATACAGAAAGAATATATGTATAAATATGTATATTTATAGGAAGAAAGTTTACTTTTTCTTGAATATGATTCCAAAGGTCGTGTTGAAGTTTCACATTTTTTAAACTGTATAATGTATGTAAGAGAATAGAAAAGAAAAAGGAGGAGAAAGAAGAATAGTTTTTTTTTTTTTATTCTTACCTATGCTCGTCATTACTAACATTGGATCGACTTACAAGTGATAGATCTTGTACTTTTTCGAATTTTTTTCGTCTTGTATCTTCATCCCAATTTTTAGTAGATTTTCTTAATCCATTAATTGTTTCTGATGAAATAACATGAATAAGGGGTATATAAGATAACAAGATATAATTATGCTTTATTACCGTTCTTTGTTGTTGAAGTTTGTGGAGAATCATCTAATGACCATAGCTTTATTTCTATATTATAATTATTCTATATATTCTTATCATTAATACTTCTTTTTTCTTGAAAAAAAGAAGAATACCTATTTCTTTAGTGTGTTGTTTTATATTTGACATTCAAAAGAATTAAAATAAAATAAAATAAAAAAGACATTTTTTTTATACATGTATAATTTAGATAATTGTAATTCGGCTTTTAAATACACGCCTATCTCCATAAATACTACTGGCTTTTTTATTATTATTGTTATTAGAAAAAAAAATACAAATGCAAACTGACGAAATAACAGAGCAATCAACTGATCCAATTACTCTTGATGAAGTCATTGGTCGTATTGTATCTGGCAGATTTACACATCAAGAAAATCTCACCATGTTAAATAAATTAACAACACAACAGCTCACAAGTTATACACTGGACGGACTTGATCCACTCACTGTTATTAATCCAGCTACATTTTCATTAGCCTATCTCTACTTTATGTAAGATGTAGTAGTGTTATTATTTAATTGACATGTCCCTCTTCTTATCTTTTGTATAGTACAGCAAGGTGTTTGGAAGCAACTGAAAATAATGGATTACATTTGTTTCAAATGTTGCATCATTTTATTCAAGTATTTGAAGTTGAACAAGTACAATTAGCACCTTCGCGATGTAAGAAATATAGAACAATATATTTATCAACATTGACTCACTTGTAAATTAGTCTCACTTGTCGGTAAAGCATTGTTATATTTAACTGAAGTTATGCAAAAGGTAGTATCGCAAAAGGGCAAAAAAAAAAAAAAAAGTAATGATAATAATAATCTGTATGCTTGTCTTACTTTTATTAGCCTTTATTACCTCTTCAAACATTCAAGTTAGCTATTAATCGTTTCTCAAATAATAATCTACATGAATTAACTTCTCTTCATGCTCCATTTCTTCAAGTTAGGCATATATATACTTTTTTCACTATAATTTATTATTTACATATATATATAATAGGCATGTATTTTAGCTAAAGCATATCGATTCCCACTTGATATCTTGACCCAAGACATTGAAATAATTGACCCTAAAGTAAATGATAAGATTATTATTTGATAAAAGAGAGAGAGAGAAAAGCTAACCTTTTTTAATAGAAAAACGATATTGATATTCAGGGCTTCTTGGAATATTTTTACTATGGAGCCATCATCTACATTGGTAATAAGCGGTTTGGAGACGCTTTAGATTCTTTAAGTATTGTGATTTCGGCTCCTATACAAAAGGCGATCAGTGCTATTCAGATTGCTGCCTACAAGAAATATGTGCTAGTCTCTCTTATCTGGGATGGCCGATTGAGAGCATTACCCAAGTATACAGCGCAAGGAGTTGAAAAGATGTGTAAGATGCAGGCCACACCTTATATCAACCTAGTGAAGGCCTTTCATGATACCAGCATAGAAAAGTTTCAAGAGATTGTGAACAAGTCATCTGTCTTTGAAGATGATCAGCATATAGGGTTAGTCAAACAATGTTTTGAAGCATTAAGACGCAAGAAAATTAAAGAGTTGACGAGGGTCTATATAACAGTAGAACTAAAGGAGATGGCCGAGAAGATTGGGGATATGACAATAGAGGAACTTGAGTTAATTCTAATTGACATGGTAGTATCTTATATAGCTATCATCAAATGGAATTTTTTACTTACTCGTACTATTTAATAGATTCATCAAAAACAAATAATGGCTTCTATATCAATAACAGACCAACATATAAAAATGGTTCATTTTGGAGATGAACAAGAGCAACAACTCATTGACTTGGAAACGATTCTTAAAGTTACAAATCTTACTCAACGTATAGCTCTTATGGATAAATTAGAAGGATTAAACAAAGATTTCCAAGCAAGGGTAAGAAGCTGAATAAAGATAGGAGGAAGAGGGGGGAAAAAATTTCGTTTATTAACATGTATACATAGTATTTAACACTTAGTGCAAATAGTGGTGGACAGTTATCTACTACTACGTCTTATGAAGAAGACTTTGATGTTTCGTTGGATAACGAAAACAAGATGTTTTTATAAGATAGTCACTATTTTTTGCTTGTGGATTTATTACTACTAAGCTCATCCACAGCTAACTGACCTAACTTTACGCCTATATATAAATATAAAGAAAATTAGCACATTTAATAAAACTAAACACACACACACGCATATACATATATATATGTATATTTGATTTACTTTGGCTTAGTGGTAGTGGATGGATTGGCTTTTTAGAAACAACTTTCTTTTTCTTTTGTGGTCGAATGACGGTAACAGGAACTGTTGAATTATGAACGAGAAAAGTAGAAATAGAGCCCATAAATATCCTATTTCAAGTTATTGTTAATAATGTACTCGATTCTTGTAGTAGTAAGAATTAATTCTATACCCTGTCATTGTGCCTCTGCCTCTACTACCACAAATAACCATTGTTAAAGATAGATCTTCAATCTATTATCCATAAAAAATGAATTAAATTAGACCCATTATTAGTATTCCCTCTCCTCCCCACACACACTACTTGCCAATTTTGATAAAACCGTCTTCACTCGTCCACAAATAGCAAACGTTATCAAGTCAATATCAAATAATAACATTTGTTTTAAGGCCTTTTTGGATATTTCCGTGACACTCTCTGATGCTTTCTTCAACTATTTACATTTAATAAATAAGTACATACTGCTTTCTTTTTAACCTATTTATATATACATACCTCCTTTGATAAAGAGAGTCCTGTTTTCTTCACTGCTTCTGGATTATCTTCTCGATTGACAACCGTCACTACATAAAGACGGTCTCCATCACGCATCATCGTTCCTGTTGTCCATTCAATGGCATTTTGACTTTCATCACTAAAGTCACAGGCTACAAGATAGGATCGTTGTTGTCGTGTCGGTCGTTGATCGTCATCCAGGGCTCCTTTTGGCCCCGCTCCATATTTATAATGAGTGATGATACGATCACCTTGCTCAATTACAGTGGGTTGATCAGAAAAGACCAGCAACTGACGACGTACTGATAGACTAAGACTGCGTAGGGATTTGGAACGTGGCCGTTGTGGTGTGGGGGGTGGTGGAGTGATGTGACGATTGGATTCGGTGATGCGTTTCAGTTCATCATCATCATCATCCTCTGATTCATTATTCGATAGTTGCGTTAAAGTTTTAGGAGTTTCAAGTGCACCCTGGATAGTAGTTGTAGTTGTAACTGTAGATGCAAGTTGAGATGGGATAGGTAATGGATGACTGTGAAGTTTGTTGGGCTCTTCCTTATCGATAATAATAGCAGTAGGAACTTGTATGTCATGAGGGTCGTCAACTGCGTTCAAGTCTTTTATTTCCTGTAAAAGTTCTGGATTATTTAAAGGCTCTTCAGTTGTTAAAGGAGGTTCTTCTGTAGAAATAATGTAATCTGTCATAGTTAAATGGGGGGGGAAATTAAAAAAAAAATAAAAATAAAATAAAAATAAAAATTAAAGGAATTAAAAAAGAATATGCAAAATTCTATTTTATTATATTTATTAAATCTCAATTGTATGTCTATAAATGGGCAAGTCTTTCTTTAATTTCTTTAATCATGTCAGCTTGTTGAATGACGATACCACCTCCTTGTGCTTCATTCTTGGATCTCATGTCTTTAATACGAACTTGACCTTTTTCCAATTCATCTTTACCGATAATGATGGCCAATGGGATCATATCCTTTTCACAAACATCAAATTGTTTATCAAGTCGAGGCTTGTTCTTGAACATATAAGAAGCTTTAATACCAACATCCCAGAGTTGTTTAGCAATCGCCATGCGTTCCTTCAAAAGACCATCACCTACAGCGATTACATAGACTTCAGTTTCATTACTCTTAATCTGTTGAGGGTTTTGCTTAGACATCAAAATAGAAAAGACACGTTCAACACCAATTGAAACGCCCACACAAGGGATTTGTAAGTTGGGCTGACCCTTCTTGTTGGTGCCTGAGAACATACCCACAAGGTTATCATAACGACCACCAGCAGCAATAGAACCTACACCTACAGTAGATTCATCCAACTCATCTGTACCTTCCTTCTTGCGATTCACAATCCCTTCAGCCAACTTGGGAGGTGCAGACTTCTCGGTAACGGCTTCATAGATAATACCTGTATAATAATCAAGACCTCTAGCCAAACTAAGATCAAATGACATTTTATCCATGACCTCAAAGATTTCTAAATAATCAAACAAGATTTCCATATCCTTCAAACCTTCAGCGGCACTCTTGTTGGCCATCAAGACAGTATCTTGCTTGAGCTTTTCTAAAAGATCACGACCCCCCTTATGCTTCACGTATTCACCAATCTTATCAGCTGCCTCTTCAGCAAGTCCCTTTTCCTCAACCATCTCACGCTTCACATCTGCCCAAGGTAATTTATCCAACTTATCAACTGCAGATGAAATAGGACGAATATTGTCAACAGGTACACCACATACCTCAAAGATACCATCTAAAATCTTACGATGATTCAACTTGACAGTAAACTTTCCAACATCCAACGCAGTCAGGGCCTCACACAGGATACGCAAAATTTCAGAATCTGGAATCATAGGATCATACACACCAGCGATATCGAAATCGCATTGATAGAATTCACGCATACGACCCTTTGTCATCGCAGGTTGGTCACGACGGTAGACCTTAGCAATTTGGTAACGCTTGATATTTTGGTGCTCTTTACCATTCATAGCTACAAAACGGGCAAAGGGTACTGTCAAATCATAACGCAATGAACATTCTTCACCACCTTGATCAGCCAAGTCATAGATAAGTTTACTGTCCTCACCATATTTGCCAGCCAAGATTTCCTTTATTTTTTTTTTAAAGAAAAAAGAAAAAGGGTATGAGATGAATAGATTCATGTATTATATATAGTTATATATATATATCTTACCTTGAGTTCAAAGACGGGAGTGTCTATAGTGACAGCACCGTGTTTTTTAAAAACTTTAGTAATAGTATTAAAGACCTTTTCACGAATAGCCATATCCTTATCATTATAATCTTTGGTACCCTAAAAGAGAGTATGATGCATAAGATAAAGTAAATTATTTTTTTTTTATTTTTTTTTTCAGGTTACCTTTGGTGTTTTTAAGGTAAAGTTGGTTTTGGTAGGCTTCTTGGTGACATTAGCGGTACCTTCAAGTTCGGCTAATTCTTTTTTAAGTGCTAAAAGAGCTTGTACTTCTTGATCAATAACAGCTTTTTCTGCTTTATCTGCTTTTAATTGACGCACTTTTTGTCCTTGAGCTTCAATCGATTGACTCAATTGTTGTTTACGATCTGTGGTAGACATTTTTAATTAGATACAAAAAAAAAAAAAAAAAAAATTTTAAAAAAAAAAATAAAATAAAATAAAATAAAAATACCTTGATGATGACTGACTTTTAAAAAAAAGAGAAACAAATGTATTAAAAAGGAACAAAAAAGCCTATCAATGACAAGCAATAATTTTTTTTTAATGATTACAGTGAAGATAAAGTATCGAATGTATTATAACCTTTATTTTTTTTTATTTATTAAAAAAGACTTGCAGAATAAATCATTGTATGGATAACAAAGAAAAAAATTGCTATGATAGTCATTATTATCATTATAAAAAAAAAAGGAAAGGAAATTATACTTTGGATACAAGATGTTGATCACATTGAAAACTGTAAAAGTTGTTTCAAGGAAAGAAATAGGAAGCAGCTATATAAGGAATTATATCAATAATACTGTTAGTCTGACAAGCCAGTCCTTTGCATAAGACTGTAGAGGCAATGAAGGCGAATCTTTTATGAAAGGTTTTATGCGAATTTTGATTGTGGCACAAAAGTAAGAAGCATATTTCGTTTAATAAGATCAGCCATTAATGGGTTGGGTAAATATCCAAGGTAGAAACTAATTAAGGATTTTTTACTCATGATATTATAACCAAGCCAGAATAGAAGAAGAAGTCTAATTTTGACCCCTCTATTTAATGGCGTGTTTATTCTTCAGCATTATTTACTAGCCAACTACCTTGTGTCTGGGTCATTCATATATTCCATCATTTTGTTAACCGAATTTTAACCAAAATACCATGTCTCACTGTAAATATCCAATCCCTAAGAGTATGGTTCCATTTTTGGAGATTTCAGTAGTCTTTTATTACATAATGAAGCTTACTGGCTAATTAGATCATGAGCCTCTTTTTTACTATTATTAGTTATACTTATTAACGCATATAACATATTTAGTGTTGATTATTATTTGGTCAAGTTTAGTTATTATTCAAGTAATATTACACATCTGCGTGATTAGTGGATAGATTGTATAATTTTTTTTTTTTCAGTGAATTTACTTGAAAATAATAATAATAATATGTACATGTTTTATCTATTTTATAAAATGATTACGAACGACTACCGCTTGCACCTTCTTGTATATCATTCAATGGTATCTGATCGTATCTTTGGTTTTGTTCCTTGTTGAACATATTTTTAACTTTATCTAATAATAAAGGTCCTTGTTGACCATCTTTTCTTTTTGCTGTCTCAGTTGTCGATGAAATCAAGATGGGCTTCATTTCTCGATGCATACAAGCCCATTCACCACCAAATGTCATGATAATTATCGTAACAATCTGTAATAACCACCATGTCCCATTAGTAGGGAATGCTACCCTATACCAACACCCCAGTAAATGAAAAAAATGAAATGTCAGGACATAATCGAGAATTTGTTTTGCTCTTTGTACAATAATCGTCAAGATGGGTATTGACAATAAGGCATTTATAAGCCAGACAGCAATCAAAGACCATCCAAATCCTGTATCTGTACGTATTTGAAGAGGATCGAAAAGGAGATCAAGTGAGACATCAGTGCCACTTAATGTAAGATTGATAAGCAGAACAACTGTGAATGAGATGTAGCAGAGAGATTGGACGGCCATAATCTACTTGAAAAAAATAAAATAAAGTAAAATAAATAAATAAATTAATAATTATTATATATAGACATGGATGGATAGATTGTGAGGGAGTTGGTAAGTCATTACTTGGGCTATAATGTAAATAGGATCCCATTTAGAAGCTCTAAATGTGGAAGTTGCCATTGATAATTATAATAATAATAATAATAATAATAATAAAGATACGTTAAATGTGATATTATGCGAAGTTTAAAAAATAAATAAATAAATAAAAGCCATAAATTTTAATTTTTCTTCATCAGTGCAATTAATTATAATTTTACATTGTAGTGTTAGAATTTTTATAATAAAATAAGCGCTTTACTTTTTATTACTTTCGCATCATTTATTTATTATTATTAGCTCTGTCTGAATAAATAGCACTCTCCCTCCCCCCTCTACAAAATACCTACACTTTAAAATACAACAGAATAGCATGTAATTTATGATTATTGTTCTAGTAGTTGGTGAGCTAATTAGAGCAATTGAACCTCGATTTTTAGATTCATTGTTTAAATTGTTTATGTAATAAGAAAAAAAAAGCTAAACGACATGACATCTTATGTTGAATAATCCTTTATTTTCATATTAAAATGCTATTATACTGGTATACACATATATATTATTTCTCTTTCTTTTTTCTTTATCTTTTTCTTTTGTATTGTATTGTACTACTAAAGTCAATAAGAACTTGTATAAAAAAAAAATGAGAGAATATATATACACACATATACATCATCGAGATAACCATTACCAAAAGCAAAATAATAATATCCAATCCGTGCCCTCTTAAAATCTATTTTTCCTCCTCATTTTAAAACTGAGTGAATGATTGACTTGCTTGGCTACGAATATCAAAATCTTGACTCATCATTGACGTAACATCCTGTGATTTATAATCTTCATAAGGGTACTGTACAGTATCCTGACTCATTGTATTTTGACTTGCTGCCATCATACGTAATCTGTCACTTTGTGAAAGTGCTAATCCAATGGATGTCTGACTACTATATAAATTTTGCGATCCTTGTTGCCATCCCATCACATGATTTGCAAATGTAGATGATCCGGGAATATATCGCTGTGTTGAGTCAGTATTATCTGTTTGTTGTCGTTGCTTACGATTGAAAACACTTGATTGCGATAAGTCTTGCGTGAAAGGTCCACTGGCTGAAGGAATAAAGGGAATGCTGAATTGAGAGCTTGGAAGTGAATTAAGTTCAGAGGGAATGTAACCAATAGGATCATGCGTTTGCATAAAGTCTTGACCATATGTTTTTCCACGTCGATTATCCATTGCTAATGGGGGTCGTGCAAATGCTTCACGAGCATCTACTTGATGGGCAAGGCCTTGTCGGAATTTATCATCTTTGCGGTATGTCTTTCGAGGACGATTGAATTGAATCATTGAAACACGCAAGTTATTAAGTGCACCATCGACAAGACAACCCTTTTCTTTATAATGTACCAACAAGTGATGCCATAAAGGATGCTATATATTTTATATATTTTAGTTACACTTCATAATTCCCAACTATATATTTATATAAAACTTACTCGGCTAAGGATCTTAGGGTTACCAAGAATTACAACACCATATTTTGCACGTGTCAAAGCAACATTCAAACGTCGTGGATCACTCAAGAACCCAATTCCTTGATGTTCATTTGATCGTACACAACTCAGAATAATATAATCTTTTTCACGACCTTGGAAAGCATCTACACTAGCCACTTCAATTTCCTTGTAAAGATCTTTACGTAATGATCCATTAAACTGCATATATTGAACAATATACGAACGCTGTCCTTCATAAGGTGTAACAATACCAATTTGCGAAGGTAATACACCAGACTTCATAAAGCGAGTTACAATCTTTTCACAATTAGATGCTTCTGTACGGTTCAAGTAGGAGGTACCAGATGTCGAAATCTCTTCATTACCCAAATTAACGTAAAACATCATGGGAGTTTCAGGTACAGGCCAAGGGAAATCGACATTTTTACGAATACGCTCTTGGGTTGTAATACCATTCTGAAGTGTACCTTCATAAAACATATTACTGGGGAATTCGGACAAGCAGGGATGCATACGATATTGAACCTGCAAACGAATAGGTCGAATGCCTAAAATAACAAGACGTTCAAAGAGTGATTGGCAAAGGCCAGCACGTGCTGCCTTCTTGTTCATGATGACAGGACCCAATTGTTGATGATCACCCACTAAAACTGCTTGCTTACAACCTAATACTAATGGGATCATGCATTCAGGTTCAGAAGCTTGAGTAGCTTCATCAATCAAAACAGTTCTGAATCGCATTTTAGCAATACGTGGGTCTCCTGCACCAACACTCGTACAACAAATGACATCTGCATTTTGTAAAATCTCCTTTTCACAAGCACGTTTTAAGGCTTTATATTTCTTTTCATCTGCAGCACTTAGTTCTCCCTGATCTTGCTTGAGATGAATTAGTTTTTGGAGCTCAATATTAGTGTCATTATTTCGGACCTGTTCATGCAAGGTCAAGAAGGAAACAGGTGAATCAAGCTCTTCACGAGATTTGGCAGTGATACGAACCACTTTAAGACCTGTTTGATGAATTTTTTCTGCTAATTGGTCAACAGCAACATTGGATGGGGCGCATACAAGGACTTGTCCTGGGTTCATTTTGGCTAAATGATAAACAATAGATGCGGAGGTTACTGTTTTGCCCGTACCAGGTGGACCCTGAATTAAACTCAACGGCTTTTGAAGAACAGACTTAACAGCATAAACTTGTGAATGATTAAGCTCAGGAAGAAAAGGTGCAGAGAATCGTTTGGGCATCTGTGTCTTTAAAACTTGAGGTTCAACATCATGTCCCAAAAGTCGATGATAAATATAACCACTAACGCTAGTTTCATCTACTGCAAAGGTCTTCATAGCTGATTGCATACGATCAAAGGATGTTGATTTCCAAACAAAGTCAACAGAGAAGTTATGCGTGCATTCAGTAGGTGCTTTATTAGAACGTGTTAATTCCAAAGCTACTTCATCACTAACATTATTGGGGATCTTGATAACATGGCCGGTGGCACTCCATGGCTCATGAAGTTCACCACGATATCTTAAACGAAGCTCATCACCAACAGCTAATTTGATCTCACCCATTTCTAATTTAGGGAAATAGAACCATGCAATGTTTTTTTGATTAAGACCTACATCCCAACGAACTACAATGTCATCACATGTCTAGAAGAAAGAAAAAAAATACTTCAGTCAACTGTGCCAAGTCCCTTAATTTCATTTCATTTCATTTTATTCTTTACCTGTGATTCCTTTAACTTTTTATCATATTCTGCTTCCATCATAACTAAAGGGCCAAAAATATTTTGATATTGGTATGCATCTTCATACCTAAAATTATAAATTAATACATATAATCTCTTTCTGTATACTTTTTAATTTTTACCTTAGTAAAACAGGGTGGGGTTCATCATCTACACCTGGTTTTTCTAAATCCTCTAAGGTAGCTTCCTTATTCTCCTTCCATAATTCTTCTAATTTATTAATTTGGGCTGAGGAAATTTGACGTGCACGTAATTGTTCTTGATCGGAAGGAATCTTGACAAGCCAAGTCAAGAAACAGCGATCATCTATGAGAGGCATCCATTGTGTAGTATCCCAATTCATATCTTTAGAAGAAGGAACAGCTGCGCAAGGTTGTCTAAGTTTATAATCATCATTAACAATGCCTTCAATTATGACTAATTTAATTATTCAATTATATATATATATATTTTTTTTACCTGCAGATCAATACGACTACGGTATCACTCTTAGCTGGAATGAAGCCCAATAAAAAGACATTACGACAACCACAATTGTAACATTCTAATACAGTATCACCTAATGGTGAATCTGGGTGAAGGGCTACCTCCTTATGCTTAGCTCTTACCAAATGGTTGATGATGTGGGAGCCAGAGGTATTGCCTCTGGAATTACAAAACCATCGATCACAAGTAACACATTTGACAACAGATGCAGGTGAATGGATACCACAATATTTACAAGCATGAGCAGGCAAATCCTTTTTCTCTTCAACAGCTAGCTGCAAATCATCTGTATCTTCAAATTGTAAGTTATCAGAAATTGACAATGTCGAAAGATCGGGCTCATCATGAGGTGTTTGGGTAAAGTCACTAGTAAAATCATAGGCTTGTTGTGAAGATTGCGTATCGGCCGAGTATTCTAAATAAGTAAAGTCATCTTGGGATGCACCTTCAACAAAATGGTCCATACTTTTTAATGCTTTTTTCTAAATGTGAATTGAGAAAAAAGAAAAAAAAACCGTTAAAAAAAAAAAAAAAAAAAAAAAAGTATTTTAACCTCAGTTTTGGACAATTAAAAAAAAAAAATGAAACTATAGTTTTTCAACTAGAGATTGACACTATTTCCAAAATAAATTAGACGAATCAGGCTTATTTTGGAATTATCACTAGTTTGTGGGCAAAATTATTATATCCATAGTTTTACATTAGAAATGATCTGCTATAACTAAAAATCATCCATTTATCAGGCACATTAAAATTTCACTCGCAAAGTTCGATCACACCAAAGATCTTAATAAGCATTATTTAGCTGGGAGGAACAGAAGAGCTCCCATGAGTATGTGCTGTAAAACATAGAAGCATTCTTTTTATAAACCTATCAGTGGTTCCTTTAAAATTATATGGTCACTATCCTCAAAAATTTCTCTCTTATAGCCGTCTTTCTTTGTGGGCGATCTTTTTCTACTGATACTAATAGATAAGTCATATTATATTACATAAATGTAACTTATTCCTCAAGATTCTAAAATATTTCTTTGATATAAAATCAGTAACTCGGTATTAGATATACCACTACATCGAAAAAAAAGGGGGGCTTTCAATATAGTAACATTACTATTACACCTTTAGCATCCTATAGAATTAGTTTTATAAAAGAAAAAAAATTATTCTGGTCATTGTGTAAAAGTTATCGATTTATATATTTGAATGTATTATTAGTCTCTAATTACTGATAGAGATTTATATACAATTTCCTTTTCTTTGACTACACTATATATATGTCATTATTTGAAAATTTATTATGCCATCCTAAGAGACAATACTATATTTATAACAAAGGTATGAGATAAAGTATGTATTGTTGTTTGGTGGTATGTTTATTAGTGAATATCAATGATTATATATTATTCACAAAAAAACCTAATATTGTATGTATAATAAAAGTATTGTTGAAGATAAGAATGTTATCATTTGCGTTGACTGCAACGAAACAAAGCATAAAGATAAAAAAAAACTGTATCTATATAAAATTTATAAAGGTATGCACATAAAGCATAGTGCGTTATGTGTCAAATAACATACTAATAAAATACTCAAATTCAGAATAATAGCACTCACGAAAAGGAAGAAAGCAACGCAAAGGGACAATGTACAGACCAAAATAGAAAAAGGTGAAGGAAAATGAAGATGTTTAGCAGATATGCAAAAACAGAAACAATTGGCATCAGGTGCTTCTGTAGCTACAGTAAAATGTTCTTTATGCAGTGTTGATACAGGTCATGCTAGTGATCATTATAAACAGTGTAAAAACTATTATCAATCACGATTTAGATGAGACACTCAAAAAATCACTTGGTTTCAACTATGAAAGATATACAGGAAAACTCTTCTATTTAGAAGCAACAATTAGAACAGAATACAAATAAAATATTTGTTGAATAAACATCTTATTTTATCTTACATATAAGCTTAATATGACCTTTATATAGCATACACTTATAACAGACAAAAGAGTTTATCATATCATAGAGATATATGGTTTACATTCTATATTTAATATATTCTAAAGTTAGTTTATAATACATCATGCAGGAAACTAAAATTTATACAAAGCTTATTCAATATATGCAGAGATAGCTTGATATGTGTCTTTTGTGTTAATGATATCGTTTATTATTATTGATCAGCTTAAATAATATAATGTTCAAAAATGAATACAAGCAAACAGTACTACACAATTAAGCACATCTAATTAGAATAGCTATGCATAATATTTAACTAATAATTTTATTGCCAACATCAGATTACTAACAACGAATGTTATGGTAAATTCTAGCAAAAGGAAAAATTACAAAGTGAATCAAAGCATGGTGTCCGAAAAAAAAATGTATTAAATAACATTATATGCTGAAGTTTAATTCAGCTGAATCAAGGTTATACCTTAGATGTCAAATAGAGATTGTTTACTATCACTTTTCTTGTATCAAATATTCCTAATATAGGATCAAGGCATCAATAAAGGATGCTTGTTAAAAAACTATAAAAGGAGCTAATTATTCTGAGAAAAAAAAACAATATAACAGATTTTCACAGATTTTTCTTTGTCTATTATTTCTCCTTTCACTGATCTAACATATATAATTTAGCAAAATATGATTACTCTACTGTTTGATACCAGTTGCCAGGTCTGATCAGAAAGTAGTGACATTTATTGTGAAAGAGCTTTCAATTATTGTTTACTTGAAATATTATTTCAAGGGTGGTACTACCTTAGAGTCCATCCTCCTTTTTCTTTTTTTTTTATGAAAAGCTTTAGAAAAAAAATTATTGAAGAGGAAGTCCTTTATAGTGTAGAGGTAGATTACATTCTGTTCTTGTTTGCCTCTACTACAGCGGTGTTACTCTCAGGGAGTCTCAATGCCGCAAGCTTTTCTCTTTAGCATGGTAGGTAATTACCCCACGATTTAACAACATCCTTTTGGCCTCCATTGAAGGCCTGACGTTGAACACTGGATCCTGGAAGGCAGCATGTTTTCATCAAAGCTCAGAACTAACCCCAATTTTATTATTTAATTACTCCCATCTATAGCTAACAAGTTCATCTCTCCATGATCGCCGCTTGGCCTACAGAAAGGTGTTACCCTTTCCGAACAAGTTATTTTATTTGCATCAATTTTTTTCTTTATAAACCCAATTTTTTTAGTTCTATTGACAAGTTGTAATATTAAAAAAAAAAAAAAAAAAAAAAAAAAAAAAAAACGACCATAGAAATAAATAGGTATAGTCAGAGTTACTTACTTACTCTTTCTTTATTAAATTCCAGACTTAAAGTACCTGGACAAATAATATAAATGAAATCAACTTCAACTTATTTATGTATTATACTTCTTCATATTTTATAAACTTAAGAGAGTTGGTACACTCTACTGACAATACTAAAAATAGGATTATTCTGTCCTAACTAATACTTCTCTAATGCCTCGCTTGTTGTAATACTAGTCAGCTATAATAATTTGCAAATGCATCACTGCCAATTTAATACATAGACAATTTCCTTGTTTATGTATATTTTGTATAAGGGTAGTGATTTAGTATCAGTTATGTTGATGTTATTAACAAATTCAATATCAGTTCATAAGACATTTTTTATTAATTATCAATAGTTGCTTAAGTGATTTTGAATTTTGCATTACGCGTTATAGAACAGAGAAGGTGACATGAGCAGACTTCTAATGTCATGTTTCTTGATTAAACATGTAGATCAGAAAATTATTCAAGGAATTCTATTTATATTCTCCTGAAACTTTCTTGGTCCACTTCATCAAATAATCTTAAAACTTCTAACACTTCATTATCTATAACATATCTTATTCGGTCATAACTAACACTTTTCTAATTCACATCTTATCTCAGACTTCTTTAACAATTCTTATAAATATTCTATCAATTTAAATTCATAAATAAAAATAATTGACTTTAGAACTATTGTTCGGTCTCATTGAATCTTTTTGTCTTAATATTATTATTTTATAATATTTTTTACTTGATATTTTATTAGAAATATCACAAGAGCGTATATCAAATTTGCTAAAAGTATATTCCACATTGTAATCTAAAGGTAGTATGTCTCTCTTGGCTTCAAAGCAATAAAGCTTCTACTGACAGGAGTAACCGCGTGAAGGTAGAGATAATTCTACTCCCATCCCCCAAACCCCAAAAAAGAAAAAAATAAAAGAAAGGGTCAGAACATTATGTACGCTACGATTCAAGCAGAAATACCACCTGAATGAGAAAAAAACTAAAAATATAAATATATGTCCTAATAGATGTGTTTTACTTGTCTTCTGCTAATTGTTTTTAAAAAATTAATTCCTGAAAATCAATACTTTTATTATTATAGCAACTTCACTGTTTACAAAAATGTCTGAAATATCTAGAGAAAGCAATCCTGCCTCAACATGGAATACAGAAAGTATGTATTTATTCTCACATATACATATAATTGCACATTATAACTATATATAATAGAAATTAAAGAAGCTATTTATTTGTTGGGAGCTTCTGGGATATCTCTAACGATCAACAACATTACAAATCAATTGACAGATTACATTGTAGAAAACTATGATGGAAAAACCTCTTTATTTGTATACAAGGCCAATTGGAATACTGATATTGGTCATGTTTTGACCTCAATGAACATTAAATATGTATGATTAATATTTATAATATGTCATATACGATTTTACTAACTTTTTTTTTTTTTTTTTTTTTTTTCAGAAAAAGGGCCGCCCAAACTGGGAAAAAATTGCCATGTTAATTCATGATGAAAAATTAAGGATTGTTCAGCCTACTTTTGATCCAACCATGAATGTCTATAGTCGTGTTAGCGACTTAACCACAGAATCCACCTGTACTATCAATAGCAGCAAACAGTTGAGGTTATTGTCAATCGATAAAACCAAAATTATAAAAGTATTTGAAAATTTAGATTTGGATAAATGTTGGAAGTTATCTACAGGAACAATTGTAGAAGAAAGAATGAAAGAGTATGCGATTAATTGTAACTACGAATAGTAAGTATCATTAAAAATTATTGAAGTTAGTGATGTGGTAATAACTTTGTATTAGCCCCGTACATTCTTTAGTTTTGGATACAAGCGACAAGATCTGGAAAAAGTACTTTATCGATGAAGAGCTTTTGGAAATCAAAAATTACAATAGGAAGAAGCTTACTGATTTGCCTATGTCATTGCAAACATATATAGATTCTCTTAAAACATCAACAGACGCTATTTCATTAGAAGCGAAATTGGTCCAAGAACAAGAATCCCTTGCCTGTGAGTGGGTAAGAAGTACCCTCTTGGAATATTTCAATTTATTTAAATGGGAGTATTTACCTCTTACCGACCAGTTAGAAGAAGATATGATGAGACGAATATGGAGATTTATTGACACTGCTTTTGACGACTCAAAAATCAAGTATAGAAGGTGCAGTATGCTTGTAACCTAAATTTATTCATAATAATAATATTGATTTTTTCTTGTACAACGTATTTTAGTGTTGAAAAAGTAAGCAAGTCATCATCAGCTAGTATGAACACTGATAGGGCTTTGGCCGGTGTTGATAAGATGAACTTAATTTTTTTTTCGTCAGCTACTAGAATATGGATGTTGTGAATGTGGTCGATATGATGACCAGACAAAAGAGTTGTATGACGGTGGCTTTAAAATGACCAAAGTTTTGAAGGAAATGATGTGCGCATTATATAAAAAATTGCCTGATGTCTTACGTGAAATAACTCTTGTTGGCTTTTTGCTCTTTTGTAAGTAAAATCATACATATGCTTTACGCTTTTTGTTGCTAATATTTTTATATTTTACCTATAGGCACAAAGTTCACAATGGTATTATGTGACTCGCCCGCCAATTATGTGTGCCGCATCAATCACACGAAGACTATTAACTTGGCTGAAGAAGCTGACGATATTTGCAACGAATTTCTGTCAATGTTAAAAGCCGTATATCAAGCTAGATTGATGATGGAGAATACCAACAGGCTCATCAAACAAAAACCAGCAAATATTGACGATGATATTGAGTAGTACAAGTCATTTCTTCCTAGTTTTACTAGTGAAGGAAGTAAGAGGAAGAGTAGAAGAAGTGACTATCTTTCTGAAGAATAACTTGGTTACTCCCCTCCCCCCCACAAATAAATACCTACTTATCTTCTTTTTTTTTAAAAGAAAAAAAAATATATTCTTTAATGACATTCATCATTCCATATAAAGAAAAAGTTATTATTCAAACTAAATAAATTCATTGACCATTTTACGTTTTTTTGAATGATCACACAAAATTTTGATTGCAGGGCATTCTTACTCCAATTAGAGTTTCCTTCATTCAGACCTCAGATACTGTAAAAGAGTCTCTGGATCAAGCTTTTATTATTGGAAATAATTTTATAATGAACTAAATAAACTATATTATCCATCGAGAACTTTGCCTCAATCCCCGAACAGATTGCGAATCTATACCGAAAATTCAGACAACAAGCTCGTCATGAAGATGAATAACGAGACGAAATCAGTCTACTCCAGAAGAGTTGGAAACCACTCACAAAGCTGGTCTCAAACAATGTCTCAATAAATATCAACGAGACTTGCCAAGATATGAATGAGGCAAGTGAACAAAAGCTTCGTCAATCAATAAGTGCTTTCATACCGATCTCCGATGACATAATGTTGACACCTACTAAATTATCGCCCAACATTGTAAACACTCGGGAGAAACTTCGCTGTTCGGCCACAAAAGCCAAAGAGATTTTTGAGGACCTCAAAGTCATATCCAAGCAGATACTCCATAAGTAATTCGCAAATATCATGAAAAAAGCCAGAAGACCGGCAATCTTCTCGTATTCAGAAGCAAAATTTGTTGATGACTAAGCAAAAGACATGGTAATCCGAGCACTTAATCTCCCAAATAGTATCAGGCATCCGGAAGAAGAAGAAAATTCAGACAAAATATTGACCTTTTTCTTCCGAAACTGTTGAAAAAGTCCACAAAGTTAGATTTGAACAATCATCCATCAGAGGATCAACAAACAGATATGGAAATAGATCCTATTATAGATCCTCCTACAGAGAAAAATCCTTCAATAATCAAGGAGGCTTCAGACAATCGACGTATAATCAAACCATGTCTTTTTTGGCCGATGCCACTCGACCATCACAAGCACCCCAACCATCATCCAAGGAGTAATTCCCCATACACAACCAACCTACAACTACCAGATCTCACCAGATATGATTCTACCGGGCGTCACTTACAACACTTCCAATACTATTGGGAACAGATAGTACCATTATAGAACAAGCTCTGGGTATGAGCATAAGTAATATTATAAAGAATAAATTATATATTACATAATAAACTATGAACCTGAACATGTAATAAAAGATATCATATCTTACTATGTATAGCATCTTATAAATAATATAATATAAACCTTATTGATATCCACTCAACTAAATGTGTCAACTAAATAATATATTGTAACATTCCTAAATAGTTATTTTTATAACCTTGATAAAGGATTTAGATCGCCTTTGATCCAATAAAATAGACATAAGGAGCCTATATTTAGATCAAACAATTTAAATCTTAAATCAGATCATTATAACACCCAATAGATAATCCATAGATATCAGATTCTTGAAGCAACAAGACGTGTATATCTGAATACTTTCCATTCTCAAAATTGATGTCCCAACTTTTTTTTTCATCGTATTATCTTTCATACACTCTTTGAAACTCTATCTGTTTCTTCTCTTTAAATCCACTATTCCTTTCAAACTGATCGAAATCTAAAGGGCCTTGTTATCATGATCATCATAAAAAAAGAGCTCAATTGCCATAATACAGTAATAAGATAGTTCACAGCCTAACTATTTAAAATGCATAAACCGCCAGGAATATCTTATACGATTGAACAAAAAGAAAACGTCTATATTGTGTGTGAGAGTGTGTGAGAGGGAGTATCTTAAGCAAAATTTAATGGGTGTCTAAAAATAAAAAAATAAAAATTCATAAACTCAAAATAAGAACTGCTGTATAAAATGACATTTTTAAATTATTGATAACTTATCTACTCTTATTCTTTTGGAGAATGTATGAACATCATGCTCTTTCGTGTAACAGTATTTGACTAGTTTTGGCTTAATTACTTTACAAGAATGCTCAGCATATTCACATGAATATTTATACATATAAAAAAAGTAAACAAACTTCTTCTTTTCTTACTTTCTTACTTTCTTGCTTACTTTCAAAGAAGACAGTAATGCTTTACTATATTCAAATAAAAGGCAAAACTTATCTCTAAAGTATTAAAAAGAAAAGAGAAAAAAAAAAAGACAAGTAGAAAGGCAGGAGAGAAGATTTAACGCAAAGTAAATTAAAAACAAAAAAAATCACTAAGATTAAACTTTAATAACTTCTCCTTCTTTTCGTTTATTTTTTTTTCTCCTGAATTTTACTATAAAAAAAAAGTACATTTTTTCGTTTTTTTTCCTTTTTTTTTCTCTTCTTTTTTTCTTTAGCTTTTTTTTATTTTTCCTATTTTTCTTTATTTTTACTTGAAACTATGGGTAGACATTGTCAGGGTTATGAAGTGTGCTCAAGTCACATAGCTTGGCTTACTTGAGAGTGTAGAACTGTCCGTTTATAACATGGCTAAAGGAGAGGGCCTAGACTCTCTTTTGGTTACTACATGCATATCCGCCTTCACCTTGGGTTATTGCAACCTTAGATAATTGATGGGACCTTATCGAATTTTGACTGCTCAAGTTTGATTTATTTCCAAAGGAGGAGGGAAATAAAAAGGATACTTGGGGTTGGAAATTGTAAACCTGTTCCTTTTTTAGGGAGATTAGCGTACTCTTTGTCTGCACCATTGAAAGGGCTTATCTCAAGGTTTAGTTTTTCTGTTTTTCTTTTTGGAGGTTTTTCCTTCTTTTTATTTTTATCTAGTTGCTGTTTATAAAATAAAAATAGATAAGGATGCACAGCTTACGTTTCTGACCGTGGTTTTTTCATCTATTGATTTAGTTGAAGAATCCCAGCTTGTATTTACTGTTAAGTCAAAAGTAGATGCTAGGGGTCAAAGAAGGGACATTCTCAAGTAAACAATAGTCAGGTCGTGCACTTCATGTATCTGGATTTCTTCCACTTCGCCACGCTACAGGTCAGAATGTTTAGCCCGGCTTCCAATGAAACTTACATCCAACTGTATTTTTTTATTGGGTTATGGGGTGAGGAATCCTATCTTTTTCTTCTAGCAAGGCTTGGGTCAGGTTGGTACTTTGCCAAGTGTCTACTAGTTGAAATTGGACGTTTATCTTTCAAGTAGAAATTTAGAGGGAGAAGAAAAAATTACAGCCTGTATCAATTTGTTTGTATGGGTTGTAATATTATTTTTGGGATTAGATATGCTTTCACCTTCTCGTGGTTAATCCTGTTAGTATCAAGTCTCTTTTAAAGAGATTTGAGAACTAAGAAAAGCATCTTTTTTTTATAATATTAATAAAAATGAAAAAAAAAAAATTAATAAAATTGTGTTCAGTGAATTTGTCTCATTACATGGATTAGTTAAAGGAAAATCTATAAATTAACTAAAGTTAATGCACATGATGTGAACATACATGTTATAAGAAACTACTGTTATCTTTTATTATGTATGATGCTTCTTGCTATTCGATGACTTCTTTTCATAATTTACATGTTGATGCACTCACTATTTATCGCTAACTTAAACCCTTCCACAATGCTTGACTTTTTTTTTTTCATTTATAATATAGAGTAGGTTGTCTTAATATTATCTTATTCACCTTAAATTACACTATAAAAAACTTTTTCAAAAGATTGTCTTAAAGAAAGAAAAAAAAAAGTAGATCGCCAAGTTTTATTTGGCAATTAAACTATTTCCCTGGCAAACTGTGTCGTCGTTGACTATAAAAAGTCTAGTTAACTATTATTGTAACATTACCCTCTTTAGGAATTCATATCTTTTTTTTTTAGCAGAGTAAGAAAGCCAAAGAGTATAATTCGCGACCTCTAATAAGAAGGTGCTTATAATTCAGTGTTACTATTGAACAGTACAAGACATACTTAATAATGACTTATCTGCTGGAGATCCAAGAGGAATTAGAAGGACAAGGATGGCCATAATAGAATATCATCCATCAGAATGTATGTATTTTGAACTCTATACAACTTGATAATGAGCCAGCAATAATGCCTTTTTTTTTCCTCACTCTTTTGGGACAATGAGCCTTAAAGTAAAACGGTTGATAAACTGGAAGGAATGCAATTCAAGTTAGTAGCTCCCAAATAAAAAAGTTAATATCATTTATAATCTTACCTTACCTTACCTTGCTAATACTAATACTAATAATAATAATAATAAAGAAACCGACCAAATAGTGTCAATTTTGAAATGTAAGACTACTACAAGTCAATTAGTGAATCAATAAAGAAGATTACAAGTAAGGGACTTCCAATACTAAACTGGCTCATATTTATTGCTATCATATAAAATGTACAGGCAAGTGATGATGGCATTGATAGATGGTTGCTCGAAAAAGGGTTAAATATAATAAAAACTACATAAGAAGTACGCATATCACTTGAAAATTGAGTTGATAATGAATTATTAAAAGTGATTCATTGTAAAAGTCTTTATCATGCTTGAAAGAACAGTAAATGGTAGTCGGGTCGTTGTAGTTGACGGGTACAAAAGTATTAAATGAGTAAGGCTGATCGACAGTTTTCTCACTATCTCGCGCAAAATATCGCGGGATAATTTGTTTACAAGTGAAATGACACCTTTTTCTTTTTTTCTTTTTCGGAAAAGCTGATATGTAACAGCTTCAACTGTTATGCCTACCATTTCACAAATAAAGACAGTATGTGTGATGGAACGTAATATTTTAAAGAAAAATAAAAAGAGAAAGAAAAAAAAAGAGAGAGAGAAAACAAAAGGAAGTATAGTTTGAGACTTGTTTATTCAATGTAAAAAGAATGATATAAAGATCATTTCGTGTCTAAACAGCTACTTGTATTTATACTAATGAATCCTGAATCAAAGAAATAAAAAATATAAGTCATGAAACAGTGTTAGTATTCAATTATACACGTCTTGTTGCTTCAAGAATCTGATATCTATGGATTATCTATTGAGTGTTAAAATGATCTGATTTAAGATTTAAATTGTTTGATCTAAATATAGGCTCCTTATGTCTATTTTATTGGATCAAAGGCGACCTGAATCCTTTGTCAAGGTTATAAAAATAACTATTTAGGAATGTTACAATATCTTATTTAGTTGACACATTTAGTTGAGTGGATAACAATAAGGTTTATATTATATTATTTACAAGATGTCATATACAGAGCTTTATTTTATATTCAGGCTTATACTTTATCCTTTCTTATGTAATTCATCTTTTATAATATTACTTACGCTTATATCCAGAGCTTATTCTATAACACATTTGGTTTAAATCATTCATTCGCAGTGCTTTGTCGAGAATATATAATTTACAAAGATACCAAATAGTGAGGATGATAACAACGACAATAACAACACACTAAACCGTAATAATCAAAATAATAAAGTGCCTCAAAATATCATTATTACTGTTACAAAAAAAAGAAAATAATAAAATATATTGGTTTTATGGCTTGCTCTTTGTCTAAATCATAAAGAAACTATGATACTGCGAAATGAGAACTTCAAGCCTTAAGAAAGTTCCTAAAATTTCTATGTGGTATTAAATTCACAATATTTTCTGATCATAGAGCATTAACATATCTACATACACAAAAATATGCTAACAGCATGACCTTAAACTGGCTTGATGATATATTAAATTACGATTTTGAAGTTATTCATTTACTAGGCATAGATAATATTCTGGCGGATCGACTAAGCCGTTTATTTCCACCTATGAAAAAACTAGGGGAGGATATGATCTTTGATAAATCTAATAAAATAAAATATAAAAAGAAAAAAAAATGAATAGCTATAAAAAATTAGAAACATCAAAAAGCAAAACGAGAAATTTAAAATAAACTATACAGAATATAAGAGTGGGGATTACATGGCACCACCAGAAAGTGAAAGAAGAGCTATTCTAACAAAAGCTCACGTATTCGGACATTTTGGTGCCGAAAGTATAGTAAAAGCTATTCATACCGATGGCCTATATTGGCCACATTTATTAGAAGATGCCGTTGATTTAGTAAAATATTGTAAACCTTGCCAAAAATATAATATTGTAAAGTGTGGTTTCCATGGATTACGTTTATATATAGTTATATACCGGACAATCATTGACCCATTGATTTGGCTGAACTACCACATTCAAAAAATGGTTATAAAAATTTACTCATCATGATAGACATTTGCACTAAATTTTGTATTCTTCGATATCTAAAGAATAAAAAAGCTTCTACAATCGTTGACACATTAGTAAAAGTTTTTCATGACTTCGGTTACCCTAGAACTATAAGTTCTGATAATAAATTTGACACTATGATAATGCAACTTTTAAAAGAAAGTATGCACATAGATCACAATTTAATTACAGTACATAATAGTAGAAGCAATGGGTCTAGTGAAAGATATATTCAAACTGTAAAATTAGCTTTGGCAAAGGCAGTTAAAGGTGCTGGACCTGAATGGGATTTATCTGTTCCCGGGGTACAGTTAGCTATGAATAATAAAGTATCAAAAAGATTAAATACGCCTCCATTTAATTTAATGTGTTCTCGAAAAATGAATCCTTTTGAAGATAAGATTGTAGTAAAGATAAGGATGAAAATAGTAAATCAATAACATATGAGCAACTAATAGATCGAATAGATCATATGTCAGAAGTAGTGTTTCCTGTTATGAAGGATATAACTGACAAATATATAAATAACACGAAAGAAAAATACGATAAATACAAAAATATTATTAAAGATTTTAAACCTGGTACACCAGTAATGATAAAATACCAACTTTAAAAGGATCCTTAGCACCAAGTTACGAAGGCCCCTACTCTGTTGTGCGCAAAACAAGAGGTGGCTTTTACGTACTTCAACACGAAACTGAAATGTTAAGGTCCAGAAATTATTCACTATCTGAATTAAAAGAAATTAGTCAAGATTGTATTGACAATAATAATAAAGATGAAGAAATATATAAAATAGAAGGTATATTAGATCATAAGGGTACCGGTAAAATCACAAAATATAAAGTACGATGGAAGGGTTATAGCAAGGATGACGATTCTTGGGTTACCCCTGATCAAATCGTGCATGAATCTACTATTCAAACATATTGGAGACGTAAACTAGGGAAAGATTATAAACCCTATAAAAATAGTAGACCTTTGAATTTTACAGATACTCTAAAGACAACAAAGAAAGGAACTTTACATAAAATAGATAAATCTATTAAAGCGCTACAATACTATAATGAATATTCCGAACAGGTAACTGAATTAAAACAAAAACGAACGTAAAAGATCAATGATAAATCCTTAAGGAATACAACTAACAAAAGATGTAGTAAAAGGTTATGTACAAGTAATAACGATAAATAAATAAACGGTTGCCTCAACCTGGTGAAGGGTAATTTTGTATTTGCACATACAGTGACTCATAAAAGTGTGGCAATGTTTCGGAATTTCAGGTAATTCATGCAAATCCGCAATAACTGATCGTCTATTTATTAAGCAAAGTGCTATATAGTATGTACTAGCGGAAAGGCAGAAGTCTCCTCTTCCTGATGATACCTATAGCATATATGCATTATATAATGTTTTTATTCGAAAAATAATCTTAAAAGTTATATGTATAAAGATTTTATGCAAATAGTTTATTGAAAAATAAAATAAACAACGTACCTTTAATTTTTAATATTTAATAGCACCACCTTTTACTTTTATTTCTGCTTCAACATGTCTTGGCATGCTTTCTATGTGTTTTATGCATAGTTCTGCTGTAACTTTATTGTATGAACCATCAGCAACTCGTTCCCATAACTCATCCATATTTTTTTTTGTGTCCTATCATAGGCAGCAAGCTTGCACTTCAAATAAAACCAAAGACTTTCAATTGGATTTAAATCAGGTAAGTATGATGGCCACTCAAGGACATTTATTTTATTTCTCTTGAACCAATTTTTTTATATTTGGATGTATGCTTCAAATCATTGTCTTGTTGAAAGATTACATCTTTCTTACAAAGGCCATAATCCTTGAGCGTATCCATAAAGTCACCTTTTAGTATTTTACAATATAATTGCGAGTCTATCCTTCCCCCAATCTTGGCAATAAAACCAGGACCATGTTGCGTGAAACAACTCCATACCATTAAGCTTCCACCCCTACCTTTGTACTTGAAGTTGATGTTATGGTCTTTTAGAGGTTCACCCTTTTTAACCCACGTCCATTGCTTTCCATCTGAACCCAAACGATTGATTTTTGTTTCGTCACTAAAGACGACCTTTTTCCAATCCTCAACCGTCCAGTTTCTATGAGCTTTGGCTCATTGTAGACGATTTCGTCTACGCTCATTCGTCAATGGTGATGCAGATTTCTTAATCTTCGAATCAAAGTTGAACGATTTTAAGAATCAGCGAATGGTTTGCGCGGAAATATCATACACTTGACCATGTAAATTCCGGGCAGCGTCCACTGCAGTGATAAAATGACCAGTATAAAAAGATCGCGCAATCAATCTTTCAAGTAATGGGCTAATCTTCTTTGGTCTACCTTCTTTTACGTTAATCTTAATTTGATTTTCTTTCGCAATTCTGCCAATTGTCCTAGTTGACACACCCTTTGCCTTAGAAATATCTCTATAAGGCTCCTTAGCATTAAGTTTCGCTAAAATATCCATCTTTTTATCGCAAGGAATTGGTCACATTCTATTGTACGTGATGATCTATATATTAACGGAAATGATGCACAACTGTTGTTCAGATTAGTTATGAATTTGAGGAAAAAGGGATATTAAATAGAAAGTAAACCTTGTTATTAATTCAATATTGATATTAAATGATTTAAAATAAAAAAAAATGATGATTTTGTTAAAGAAAAGAATTATTATGCAGCTAAATGGCTAAATCGTATATAAAATAAAATGTTCGTTGTCGAAATGAACATTCATGCATTTAAATGAGGTTAAGAAGCTATGAAAATAATGTAAATTTTGTCAATTTTTCATTAAAAATACTTCTATTAATGTATCTTTGTGCATTTAAAGAGCCAAAAATCATTGCCACGTTAACTTCCGAATTTAAATGACATACGTTATAATATAAACTTTATCTCATTAGAAAGAGAAAAAACTACGTATTGACGAAGAGTTATAACTATATGTTTAATATATATTACTTGTCATAAAAAGCATATGTTAACAAGAGTGAAAAAGAGTAAATTTAAACAATTATCGAAGCAATTTTGTGAGACAATGCAATACCTTTTATGTATAAATAAATTGAATACCAGCAGACTCAATTATATTCGCCGATTGTAAACAAAAAGAAATAAAGCCTATATACAAAAAATCAACAAGAAAAAATACTAAATTTTAGCAATATTTTCATGAACAAATAAGATTCACTACATCTCTTAACACATACATCTAATAAACCACTGAAAAAAATACCTAAAAAGGAAACAGCGGAGTTTATAAAAAATCATATTTCGCGCTCCGCTCCAAATTTAATTTAATATAGAAGGAAGAAGAAAAATGAAGGAAAAAAATGAAGGGAGATAGATAGAGAGAGAGAGAGAGAGAGAGAGAGAGGAAGATGGAGAAAATAAAATCAGATAAGATAGAGTGAGATTGAAAAGAACAGGTAAAAATAGAGGAATAGAGTTTACTACATTGTATTATATTATATTGTATTGTATTGTATTGTATTGTATTGTATTGTATTGTATTGTATTATAATATGTTATGATAGGAAGCGTTATATTATCTTAGAGCATATATTTATATAGTAGAATGAATAAATGAACAATTATTATTATTAGACTAAATTACTATTAATACTGCTGCTACTGCTATTACTCATATATGTATGTATGTATTTTTTTTTTTCTGATAAATAACAGTAGTCTTTTGTAATAAAATAGTATAGCATATAGCATATTTATATGTATGCTAAATATGTATTTGAGATATTATTGGAATATACTAATGAATTAATATCAATCAAAGCATAATAATACTGGTTAAATTTAGCTAAAACTGGCTAAAACTGGCTTATATGCTTATTATTAATTCTATTATATGTATTTTATGTATTTTATGCCTTTTAAGTGAAAACATGAATTATATAGTTACCTTTATACGATATATATCTATTACTTTATTATTATATAGTTACTATCACCTAGACAACGTTAACTTTTTTTTTCTGATATTAATTTTAATGCTTAAAATGGTATATAATTAGCTGAGGGCCAACGGTAGTCATGGACAACACACACATATATATATATTATACTATGCTATTACATCATCCTCATTTTATGATTTAATAAGGGGCAAACTATATAAATCATATAAGCCATATAAGTCATATAAATCATATATAATAGAACTTGAACATTTGCTAAGGTTTAGATTGAATCAGATCAGAATAGGCCATTTACTGACAGTTCATTTCAAGTAATGGAGTGCATTTATGACTCAAATATCTATATTTCTTTTATCTTTATTTTTATTATCGTTTTCTTTTTATTATACAATATTGGTTCCTTATTGTTCCTGAATTATTTTATTTTATTGAATATTTTGTATTTACTATGTGTGATTTTTATAATACGTATAAACAGCAATTAAACTAAATCTTTCATTCATAAAAAATAAAGATTAATAGCAACTGCTTGAATACATAGTACTAGAATATACTGTACTGTCCTAGTCGGTCGATAAGTAAAAAAGTATCATTAATCTATCTAATAAAAAACATAACATAAAATACGTGTATTTTTTTTTTATTATTATTATTATTATTATTATTATTATTATAATTATTATTATAATATTAAAGATGCAAATGGTAGTCACTCGTGTAACATTTCATTATAGAATGATATAAAAGGCACGAATGTTTAATTTCCTTCTTTTTTTTCTTTTTTTTCCCTTTTTTTTTTTCAGAAATGTGGGGAGCCTGTTTTATGCCGGGCTATGAATAGCACTGAAAATCGCCCCGTCTGTATAGTGCCTCCCATGGCTGATGGAAGGTAACACAGGCTCATAGAATATTTATTGATGATAAGAACGTGACTGCGCTCACTAAAAAATAAACTTATCAAGCTATTTGGGAAAATTGAAGAAATATATATACATTTATCTTATTTTTTATAAAGATGGTCAAGGAAAAATTGTCGACGAAGAAGGTAAAGATGCTATGGACTGGAAGAAAGAGGTACGTCCCCATCACCTAATTATATTCATCCTCAGCAGACTTTACTGCCAGCCACGAAGGCCAGAGTAAAGCTCATTCGACGAGAGATTAGACACTAAAATGGAAGTGGTTGCAGCCATAGCGAAAAGAAGTAAATAAAGCGCTAACAATATACATTCCAATGAATAGAAACTGCTCTTTGTCCACTACAACAGAGTAAAACTATTCAATACTACCAAATCTGGTAGATTAGCTGATGAGATTGCTGAACTCAAATTATTAAAATAAAGTGAAAAATACTCCATAGTGATTGTAACAAAAACTAAACTTATTATGTATTTATATTCTTTCTATGTTTAAAACATTGTAGAGTGGTTTTTGTAGGCTATGGGGTTAATCCTCGACAGTTTTTTAAGCTGTAACTTGTTTGACTGCTTCTTCAATTCTTTCAGCAAGTGATTTCGTTCTTGGTAAGGAGCGGCTTCTGTACTCTCTTCAAAGGGATGGGGTCCAAAAAGAGGCGAGTATAATGGTACAAAACTAAGTAATGCAGAACATCTGTTGCTTTGTGAACTGAGACACTGTTCGTAATAATATACATATTGAGTAATCCAGGCCTGTTAAGGGGCAGGTACCATTTCTCCCATGGTAACCAATAAATTTTCATAATTTTTCGATTGTCTTCTGCATTCAATCATTAAATAATTAATTAAACGATACCAGAGCTATGTTTGCTATTATATACTGACTTTACCAGAATACGAAGAATATCATGCAGGTTAATAGTACTTCACCTCTGTCCCTCATCAAATTTCCTATATTTAAATTATCAATAGTTAGTATAGGTCAACCTAGTTATCTATAGACTTGAACAAAAATGATATCAGGGCAAAACGTTCTCGATAGACACCTTGCTTACAAAAGTAAACAAGTCAGCTCTTTTTTTCATTTAGCTGTGTCGTTGCTAAGGGTAGCTACCTAGCCTACGGAGAACGTTCACGATAAAAACCAAGTTCCATGCCTTACAAAGCCCTACGACATGGTCTTGGCGAGCGTACAGCAATACAGCTGTACGAAACCGCGTTTGTCCATGAAGGAAAAGGCGCCAATAAAATGAATAATAAAAAAAAGAATACTCTCCTATAGCTATGATTACAGGTAACTCTAAAAGACAAAAAAAAATCACACACAACTAGAAAGCATTCTTGCATAGTCTATTCCAATAAAAGTCATTGTCTGATTTTCCACTCTTTAATTATTATTTTTTTTCAATTTACTTATATGTATGTTTTACACATAATTCTGAATTAATTGAAATTGTAGACATGGTATAAACATGTCTTACTCAAATACTAAATTTTTTTGGATGCGTTTAAACATATAGGAATAGTATTGTTAATAATTATATGATACATATACAGGGAAATAGAAGAACATATAAAAATTATAAAGAGCAGTAAGAAAAAATAATATTAAGGATGTGGAGGGGAGTAAATGGGTCCCAGCTTAGACATTCCAAGGCTATCTTCTTCTTTCGTCAGCTTGAGAATTATTGGGTTGATTATTTCATTTAGAAGTACAGGCTGTTCAGAGCTGTATCTGTAATTTCGTTTTATACTATCGTGTTCTTCTTTAAGAACTATAATGTTTTGTACAGTCTCTTCTATTTTACTCTATTTTGACAATGCTGTTAGTGCTTTTACACATGTAATCCCATATGAGATCATACGTTACCTTAATATACCAACAGAATTGAATCAAATTAGGTACGAAATCTTCCTTATCCTGAAAGTCTGGCTTGATAAGAAGTGTCGACTCTCTCCAGAGATCGAAAACATCTTCTTTTTGATAGCAAACACTCCAGAAATGTAATTCACTGTCTTTTCTTTTTTTTTTACAGAAAAGAAAATTAATGGAAAATTATATGCTGATAGATTGTTAAAATTTTACCTACTGCATGCAGAAAAAACACTTTAACCTTTGTAAAATTTACAACTGATCCAAAAGCATAATCATCAGCGATACATTTAAGCATCACCAATGTACCAAACACGCTTTTATGATGGTCGAAATTAGTCTTATTTCTATCCTTGTTTATAAGGCAGTCGGAAGTCTCTAACAACAGCAATTCTAACTCCTTCAACCCGAAAAGCTTTAATAAACCGTCAGATTTATATTGATTTTTATCATCAATATAGAGGTTACAAGCTTTTAATTGTCTGCTCATACTCTTTAAATAGGGCTGTCCTTGCACAAAATCTGATTTAAAATTATGGAGCGTGATAGTCTTACTAATGATATCAAGGTACGGCTAGATAAAGAGTTGATTAAATGCATCCTCAGAAGTATTATAATGAAAAAGATTTATGTCTAAATAAACATCCGTTAATTTATAGGTTTAATTAAAATTCAAAAAAAAAAAGAATGCTCGACTTACGTTTGTCGGAGGAGCAGTTCCAAGAATTCCATATCATGTGTATCAGGGTGATTGTCTTCCTTCATTAATAAAAACAATGAAAGAGATTTGATCATCTTTTTGGCCAGCAGCAGATCATTCTAAATATAAAACGTTCTTAAATTACCCCGTACCAATGTGTTATACAAATATATAGTTACAGAGTCAACGTATTTGTCAATATTTGTATGAAAGGTCTGGGGCATTAGATTGCCTTTGATTATTAAATTTTTCATTTGCTTGTTGTAAATATCACGGTCTAGATGAGAGTTTGGAGATATGCCATTACCAGATCTCATGATGTTGTTAGCTTCTGGGCTGATAGAGAAGGAAAATTAGTTTAGACAAATATCATCTCATTTTCGTTCTCTAGATATACCTGTAATGGTGAAACGTATCTGCATGACTTCGCATGTAGTTAATCCAGTCCAGCCAAATACTTACATCCTAAAAAAATAATATGTTAAGCCAGTATATATAAAACTGCTGGATCAAGCACTTACACTACTATTAATTAACCTTTGTTCAACCTCTCCTTTGTCAGAGTTTTTTTTCCTCTTCTTGGTATCCTCTTTTCAGGACTTTATCCTTAACACTTGGCTTTGGTATATATTAAAAAAAAAAGTGTTAAACTTGGTTAAAATGCCATATAATACAGAAAAGAAAAAGATTTACATCACTTGTAAAACGAACTTCGTTATTGCTGATACTGTTATTATTAATTGTAACCCCATTTATATTGCTGTTCATAACAAATATTGGTCCAGCTAACTTTCGTTTCTTGTTACGCTTGGCCAAACTTGCTTTCAAGGCAGCTTTTTGGGGCTAAGGTCATAGTCGTTAGTTCCATATTTGGACACTTAATAAAGATGTTTTTTTTTACCTTCTTCTTCTTAATTAGAGCACAAGCATATTCTTTGATCTCAATTGGTACCTTTTCCAACTGAGTGATCCAATTGAGATCATGGTTATAGTCAAGTTGAATCTTGGTAATGTTCTTGGATTTACTGATCTCGTTATGAGTTGATTTAAAATATGATTCGAAATCCCAGTCTTTTGCTTTGTTCGTGGAAAAAAAACAATGCTTGGACCCTTCTTTAACCACAGGAATTTTGTATTGTTCTAATGCGTCGGTTAACACCATATTTATTGTGCTTCTATAATACGAAAATTGAATATTGTTGTCGAAACCAACTGTGTGAAATTTTTCCTTTTTATTTTTTTATTATTATTTTCTTTCTGTATTCATAACATACCTATTTAGGATATTCTTACAGCAGTTAAATCTTATCCTGTATAAAAGATAGTTATTTTCTTGTACTGATTCTTTTTCTTTTGGGTTTATTACTCATAAAATAATTACAGGAGAATTAGAAAAAGTGCGTATGTTTAGTATTCTTATATTTTATTCATTATTATTAACCCCAATAAAGCTGTTGTTTAGTAGTCACTTCCGATTGTTAAGTATTTTAAAAGTCATGGCACAGGAAATTAAACTGAGTTTTCCAAGTAAAATTTTATACAGTAGAGTGAAATATGAAAGAGGGTAAGTAGTCAATAAGTTTTATATTATTTACCAGATGTATGTTATATACTAGAGTTTTATTTTATATTCAGGCTTATACTTTATCCTTTATTATGTAATTCATCTTTTATAATATTACTTATGTTAATATCCAGAGCTTGTTCTATAACACTATAATCAGAAAATATTGTGAATTTAGTACCACATAGAAATTTTAGGAACTTTCTTAAGGCTTGAAGTTCTCATTTCGCAGTATCATAGTTTCTTTATGATTTAGACAAAGAGCAAGCCATAAAACCAATATATTTTATTATTTTCTTTTTTTTGTAACAGTAATAATGATATTTTGAGGCACTTTATTATTTTGATTATTACGGTTTAGTGTGTTGTTATTGTCGTTGTTATCATCCTCACTATTTGGTATCTTTGTAAATTATATATTCTCGACAAAGCACTGCGAATGAATGATTTAAACCAAATGTGTTATAGAATAAGCTCTGGATATAAGCGTAAGTAATATTATAAAAGATGAATTACATAAGAAAGGATAAAGTATAAGCCTGAATATAAAATAAAGCTCTGTATATGACATCTTGTAAATAATATAATATAAACCTTATTGTTATCCACTCAACTAAATGTGTCAACTAAATAAGATATTGTAACATTCCTAAATAGTTATTTTTATAACCTTGACAAAGGATTCAGGTCGCCTTTGATCCAATAAAATAGACATAAGGAGCCTATATTTAGATCAAACAATTTAAATCTTAAATCAGATCATTTTAACACTCAATAGATAATCCATAGATATCAGATTCTTGAAGCAACAAGACGTGTATAATTGAATACTAACACTGTTTCATGACTTATATTTTTTATTTCTTTGATTCAGGATTCATTAGTATAAATACAAGTAGCTGTTTAGACACGAAATGATCTTTATATCATTCTTTTTACATTGAATAAACAAGTCTCAAACTATACTTCCTTTTGTTTTCTCTCTCTCTTTTTTTTTCTTTCTCTTTTTATTTTTCTTTAAAATATTACGTTCCATCACACATACTGTCTTTATTTGTGAAATGGTAGGCATAACAGTTGAAGCTGTTACATATCAGCTTTTCCGAAAAAGAAAAAAAGAAAAAGGTGTCATTTCACTTGTAAACAAATTATCCCGCGATATTTTGCGCGAGATAGTGAGAAAACTGTCGATCAGCCTTACTCATTTAATACTTTTGTACCCGTCAACTACAACGACCCGACTACCATTTACTGTTCTTTCAAGCATGATAAAGACTTTTACAATGAATCACTTTTAATAATTCATTATCAACTCAATTTTCAAGTGATATGCGTACTTCTTATGTAGTTTTTATTATATTTAACCCTTTTTCGAGCAACCATCTATCAATGCCATCATCACTTGCCTGTACATTTTATATGATAGCAATAAATATGAGCCAGTTTAGTATTGGAAGTCCCTTACTTGTAATCTTCTTTATTGATTCACTAATTGACTTGTAGTAGTCTTACATTTCAAAATTGACACTATTTGGTCGGTTTCTTTATTATTATTATTATTAGTATTAGTATTAGCAAGGTAAGGTAAGGTAAGATTATAAATGATATTAACTTTTTTATTTGGGAGCTACTAACTTGAATTGCATTCCTTCCAGTTTATCAACCGTTTTACTTTAAGGCTCATTGTCCCAAAAGAGTGAGGAAAAAAAAAGGCATTATTGCTGGCTCATTATCAAGTTGTATAGAGTTCAAAATACATACATTCTGATGGATGATATTCTATTATGGCCATCCTTGTCCTTCTAATTCCTCTTGGATCTCCAGCAGATAAGTCATTATTAAGTATGTCTTGTACTGTTCAATAGTAACACTGAATTATAAGCACCTTCTTATTAGAGGTCGCGAATTATACTCTTTGGCTTTCTTACTCTGCTAAAAAAAAAGATATGAATTCCTAAAGAGGGTAATGTTACAATAATAGTTAACTAGACTTTTTATAGTCAACGACGACACAGTTTGCCAGGGAAATAGTTTAATTGCCAAATAAAACTTGGCGATCTACTTTTTTTTTTCTTTCTTTAAGACAATCTTTTGAAAAAGTTTTTTATAGTGTAATTTAAGGTGAATAAGATAATATTAAGACAACCTACTCTATATTATAAATGAAAAAAAAAAGTCAAGCATTGTGGAAGGGTTTAAGTTAGCGATAAATAGTGAGTGCATCAACATGTAAATTATGAAAAGAAGTCATCGAATAGCAAGAAGCATCATACATAATAAAAGATAACAGTAGTTTCTTATAACATGTATGTTCACATCATGTGCATTAACTTTAGTTAATTTATAGATTTTCCTTTAACTAATCCATGTAATGAGACAAATTCACTGAACACAATTTTATTAATTTTTTTTTTTCATTTTTATTAATATTATAAAAAAAAGATGCTTTTCTTAGTTCTCAAATCTCTTTAAAAGAGACTTGATACTAACAGGATTAACCACGAGAAGGTGAAAGCATATCTAATCCCAAAAATAATATTACAACCCATACAAACAAATTGATACAGGCTGTAATTTTTTCTTCTCCCTCTAAATTTCTACTTGAAAGATAAACGTCCAATTTCAACTAGTAGACACTTGGCAAAGTACCAACCTGACCCAAGCCTTGCTAGAAGAAAAAGATAGGATTCCTCACCCCATAACCCAATAAAAAAATACAGTTGGATGTAAGTTTCATTGGAAGCCGGGCTAAACATTCTGACCTGTAGCGTGGCGAAGTGGAAGAAATCCAGATACATGAAGTGCACGACCTGACTATTGTTTACTTGAGAATGTCCCTTCTTTGACCCCTAGCATCTACTTTTGACTTAACAGTAAATACAAGCTGGGATTCTTCAACTAAATCAATAGATGAAAAAACCACGGTCAGAAACGTAAGCTGTGCATCCTTATCTATTTTTATTTTATAAACAGCAACTAGATAAAAATAAAAAGAAGGAAAAACCTCCAAAAAGAAAAACAGAAAAACTAAACCTTGAGATAAGCCCTTTCAATGGTGCAGACAAAGAGTACGCTAATCTCCCTAAAAAAGGAACAGGTTTACAATTTCCAACCCCAAGTATCCTTTTTATTTCCCTCCTCCTTTGGAAATAAATCAAACTTGAGCAGTCAAAATTCGATAAGGTCCCATCAATTATCTAAGGTTGCAATAACCCAAGGTGAAGGCGGATATGCATGTAGTAACCAAAAGAGAGTCTAGGCCCTCTCCTTTAGCCATGTTATAAACGGACAGTTCTACACTCTCAAGTAAGCCAAGCTATGTGACTTGAGCACACTTCATAACCCTGACAATGTCTACCCATAGTTTCAAGTAAAAATAAAGAAAAATAGGAAAAATAAAAAAAGCTAAAGAAAAAAAGAAGAGAAAAAAAAAGGAAAAAAAACGAAAAAATGTACTTTTTTTTATAGTAAAATTCAGGAGAAAAAAAAATAAACGAAAAGAAGGAGAAGTTATTAAAGTTTAATCTTAGTGATTTTTTTTGTTTTTAATTTACTTTGCGTTAAATCTTCTCTCCTGCCTTTCTACTTGTCTTTTTTTTTTCTCTTTTCTTTTTAATACTTTAGAGATAAGTTTTGCCTTTTATTTGAATATAGTAAAGCATTACTGTCTTCTTTGAAAGTAAGCAAGAAAGTAAGAAAGTAAGAAAAGAAGAAGTTTGTTTACTTTTTTTATATGTATAAATATTCATGTGAATATGCTGAGCATTCTTGTAAAGTAATTAAGCCAAAACTAGTCAAATACTGTTACACGAAAGAGCATGATGTTCATACATTCTCCAAAAGAATAAGAGTAGATAAGTTATCAATAATTTAAAAATGTCATTTTATACAGCAGTTCTTATTTTGAGTTTATGAATTTTTATTTTTTATTTTTAGACACCCATTAAATTTTGCTTAAGATACTCCCTCTCACACACTCTCACACACAATATAGACGTTTTCTTTTTGTTCAATCGTATAAGATATTCCTGGCGGTTTATGCATTTTAAATAGTTAGGCTGTGAACTATCTTATTAATATATTATGGCAATTAAGCTCTTTTTTTATGATGATCATGATAACAAGGCCCTTTAGATTTTGATCAGTTTGAAAGGAATAGTGGATTTAAAGAGAAGAAGAAAGAGATAGAGTTTCAAAGAGTGTACGAAAGATAATACGATGAAAAAAAAGTTGGGACATCAATTTTGAGAATGGAAAGTATTCGGATATACATCTTGTTGATTCAAGAATCTGATATCTATGGATTATCTATTGGGTGTTATAAGGATCTGATTAAGGTTTTAAATTGTTTGATCTAAGTATAGGCTCCTTATGTCTATTTTATTGGATCAAAGGCGACCTGAATCCTTTATCAAGGTTATAAAAATAACTATTTAGGAATGTTACAATATATTATTTAGTTGACACATTTAGTTGAGTGGATGTCAATAAATTTTATATTATATTATTTATAATAAGATGCTACACTAGGTGAAAAACCTGGTACACAGATATATTTCTTAATGTATTGGCTATATTTCTATGACAATGCATAGTAT